ATACCTGACCACTGTGACTGACCCAAACTTAAGGAAAGCTTTGACTATGTACAGACTCAGTGAGCATAGCCTTGCTATTGAGAAAGGTCGCCATAGGCAGACCTGGCTCTCAAGAGAAGACAGGCTATGTGCACACTGCCCACAAAATGAGATGGAAACTGAGCTGTACTTCCTAACCTCCTGCCAAATGTATGACCATATTAGAGACACATATTTCCCTCAGATTACACAGACCCACAAAGAATTCGAAAACAAATCAAATTTTGATCAACTCCCTTATCTACTGGGTGAAATACCACAGTGTGCCATCACAGCAGCAAGATTTGTGACCTTTTGCCACAAAAAAAGGGCAACCAGTGAAGAACAAACACCATTGTAAATACAACCAATATTTATGATTATTTATTTTCCCTTTTGTACTTTAACGATTTGCACATTGTTACAACACTGTATATGGACATAATGAGATTTGAAATGTCTTTATTATTTTGGAACTTGTGTGAGTGTAATATTTATTTTCACTTTTGTTTATCCATTTCACTTGCTTTGGCAATGTAAACATTCGTTTCCCATGCCAATAAAGCCCCTTGAATTGAATTGAATCGAAAAAGAGAGAGAGCGAGTGAACATCCTGTCTATCACTCAGGGATCACACAGAAACGCACGCGCACACGCACACACACACACGCACACACACGTCATAGTATGTTCCCACACTCTGAACAAGCTCGGCATGCTCCTCTCTACATGTTCTGTTCTTGCTACAGCACGTACTTTACATATCTGTTAGAAGATGAATTGTCACCAGGGTAGAAACTAGACTAGAGGCATAACATAGACTCAATCAAATAAAGATAAGCAGTTACATCAAAATGTTCCACTCTCTCATGGAAAACTTCCTGTCTTGATGGAATGCTATGCTATGCAGTCCCCTGTGTGTCTGTGTGGAAACACACATTACTGAGCCAGAAAACATACTTTGATTAGTTCTGTATAGCCGTTCCTTAGGGCAGGGTTTCCCAAACTCCATCCTGGCGCACCTGGTTCACCTGACTCACTAACACACCTGGTTCACTAACACACCTGGTTCACCTGACTCACTAACACACCTGGCTCACTAACACACCTGGTTCACCTGACTCACTAACACACCTGGTTCACCTGACTCACTAACACACCTGGTTCACCTGACTCACTAACACACCTGGTTCACCTGACTCACTAACACACCTGACTCACTAACACACCTGGTTCACCCGACTCACTAACACACCTGGTTCACCTGACTCAATAACACACCTGGTTCACCTGACTCACTAACACACCTGGTTCACCTGACTCACTAACACACCTGGTTCACCTGACTCACTAACACACCTGGCTCACCTGACTCACAAACACACCTGGCTCACCTGACTCACTAACACACCTGGTTCACCTGACTCACTAACACACCTGGCTCACTAACACACCTGGTTCACCCGACTCACTAACACACCTGGTTCACCTGACTCACTAACACACCTGGTTCACCTGACTCACTAACACACCTGGCTCACTAACACACCTGGTTCACCCGACTCACTAACACACCTGGTTCACCTGACTCACTAACACACCTGGTTCACCTGACTCACTAACACACCTGGCTCACTAACACACCTGGTTCACCCGACTCACTAACACACCTGGTTCACCTGACTCAATAACACACCTGGTTCACCTGACTCACTAACACACCTGGTTCACCTGACTCACTAACACACCTGGTTCACCTGACTCACTAACACACCTGGTTCACCTGACTCACTAACACACCTGGTTCACCTGACTCACTAACACACCTGGTTCACCTGACTCACTAACACACCTGGTTCACCTGACTCACTAACACACCTGGTTCACCTGACTCACTAACATACCTGGTTCACCTGACTCACTAACACACCTGGTTCACCTGACTCACTAACACACCTGGTTCACCTGACTCACTAACACACATGGTTCACCTGACTGTATCAGAAATGAATCAGGAAGAAGGATAAAGTTGTCCTGGCTGAGACATGTCTGAGCTCAGTTTTGTGATAGGGCTGCGTCCCAATAATATCTCCTTCCTCCTGAAGTGTGCACTTGTTCACTACTTACCACAAATCTAAAAGCATTGGATTGGTAAAGGCATAGGCTGGTGGGAGTTCCCATCATTTCTTATACCAGTCATTTCCTCTTAAATCAGTGAAGGGTAGTGAACACTTGGGAGGAAGGGGAGATAATTGGGACTTAGCCTAGGACTGGTAGAGCAGGCAAGCTGATCCTAGATCTGTGGTAGAGCAGGCAAGCCGATCCTAGATCTGTGGTAGAGCAGGCAAGCTGATCCTAGATCTGTGGTAGAGCAGGCAAGCTGATCCTAGATCTGTGGTAGAGCAGGCAGGCTGATCCTAGATCTGTGGTAGAGCAGGCAAGCTGATCCTAGATCTGTGGTAGAGCAGGCAAGCTGATCCTAGATCTGTGGTAGAGCAGGCAAGCTGATCCTAGATCTGTGGTAGAGCAGTGAGGCCACACAGAGGAAACTGTTATCGTCTGAGAACAGAGTCAGCAGATTTAGTTTTGGAAACTGTTACGGCTGTGGACATGTATACAGGCTCTGGCGTGATACAGTCATGGAAAACTAACCACTATTGAAAAGAAAGGAGAGATCAGAATAGATAGGTGGCCAATCACTTACATCTTTTCCTTTCCTCATGTTCCATACCTCGTACCAAACCAGAGCAGTCTATGGCCAAGACCAAAGAGCTGTCAAAGGACACCAGAAACAAAATTGTAGACCTGCACCAGGCTGGGAAGACTGAATCTGCAATAGGTAAGCAGCTTGGTTTGAAGAAATCAACTGTGGGAGCAATTATTAGGAAATGGAAGACATACAAGACCACTGATAATCTCCCTCGATCTGGGGCTCCACGCAAGATCTCACCCCGTGGGGTCAAAATGATCACAAGAACGGTGAGCAAAAATCCCAGAACCACACGGGGGGACCTAGTGAATGACCTGCAGAGAGCTGGGACCAAAGTAACAAAGCCTACCATCAGTAACACACTACGCCGCCAGGGACTCAAATCCTGCAGTGCCAGATGTGTCCCCCTGCTTAAGCCAGTACATGTCCAGGGCCGTCTGAAGTTTGCTAGAGTGCATTTGGATGATCCAGAAGAGGATTGGGAGAATGTAATATGGTCAGATGAAACCAAAATATAACTTTTTGGTAAAAACTCAACTCGTCGTGTTTGGAGGACAAAGAATGCTGAGTTGCATCCAAAGAACACCATACCTACTGTGAAGCATGGGGGTGGAAACATCATGCTTTGGGGCTGTTTTTCTGCAAAGGGAGCAGGACGACTGATCTGTGTAAAGGAAAGAATGAATGGGGCCATGTATTGTGAGATTTTGAGTGAAAACCTCCTTCCATCAGCAAGGGCATTGAAGATGAAACGTGGGTGGGTCTTTCAGCATGACAATAATCCTAAACACACCGCCCGGGCAATGAAGGAGTGGCTTCGTAAGAAGCATTTCAAGGTCCTGGAGTGGCCTAGCCAGTGTCCAGATCTCAACCCCATAGAAAATCTTTGGAGGGAGTTGAAAGTCCGTGTTGCCCAGCGACAGCCCCAAAACATCACTGCTCTAGAGGAGATCTGCATGGAGGAATGGGCCAAAATACCAGCAACAGTGTGTGAAAACCTTGTGAAGACTTACAGAAAACGTTTGACCTGTGTCATTGCCAATGCCAGGTCACATGGCTTATACACAACTGTAGCCCCTGCAACTGTGGCACCTTGGCAGAACATCTGGCAGAACATCTGGCAGAACAAGCAGCAGGTGTGTTCCATGTCAGCATTTAGGCCAGTCACACGTCATTAAGCCTCCTCCTACATGAGACAGGCTAGAAGACTCCAATTATCATCTGTTTATTTTGTCCCAGTCTGTCACTGTGTGGGCACCATGCAGAACAGAACAGCCTGAATCACTTCATAGTCATTAGACCATAGCCTATCAAAAGCCTGGGCCCTAGTCTGGGTTTCTAGACTTGGTTCTATCCTGGGTTCTAGCCTTGGTTCTACATTCTTAGAATAAAAAGGAACCCTTTGAAGAACCCTTTTTTGGTTCCAGGTAGAACCCTTTTGGTTCCAGGTAGAACCCTATTGGGGGGTGCAGTCTGGGTTCTAGCCTGGGTGCCAGACTGATCCTCCATCTAAAAAAACATTACGTCGCCGTCTTGTCTTGTTTGGCAAAACAGGGAAAAGTGAACGTCTCTGTAGCAGAAACAGACCAGCACCACGGCTAATCAATAGCCTGAGGGTTAGAGAGAGGAAAGCACACATTGTATCTGTAGCCTCTAATTAGGAGCTGAACGAGGCTAACAGCTTTGTTCTCTACACATGCCCATATTCTACTCTGCCTGGTGTGGATAACTGGCCATGGTCTGTGTCCCAAATGGCACCCTGTGACCTAAATAGTGCCCTTTGGGCGCTGGTCAAACGTAGTGCAGTACAAAGAGAATAGGTTGCCCTTTGGGACCATGAAAGTGGATTTGGTTTATGTAACAGAGCAGAGCTGGCTGTGCTGGAGGCTTGTGGGTAATTGCGAGGTCCCTGCCTGCCGTGCCAGAGAGAACACTGTGTGGGTGATTGTTGTCACGACGACTCGCCTGCTGTTGCTGGATCTAAATTAGCCATGGTGCTTCACGCCTCCTCCTGAGGAGGGAGGCACACTAGATATTGTTAGCCTGTTTCTCTCTTTCTGCCTTTCCTTTTGAATGATATAATGCTTTGCTGTGCTTTCATCTGTCATGTCAGCAATGATGCCAAAGCAGGTAGTAGGAAGACAGACGATTAGATTCAACAGCAATCAATTAATACTTGATTTCTCTAATTGATCAGAAAACCCATCAAATACAAGAAAATAACAAAGTTGGTTTTGCGTTAGAGATTAGATTGCTATGATGTCATATATAGAACCTGAACAAACCAACAGAGGACTTGGAGGCCTTAGATTTCTATGATGTCATAAAGGTCAGTCGTGTATCAGAAGGAAGTGTTCTCTACAAGCCATGAAGCTACATGGTTGATGCCAATGGGAGGTGAGTTCACTTCAGGTCAGAACTGACTGCTTTAAACGATATAGCTTTGACTATCCAGGCCTATTCACCTTCTCATCAAAACACCTCGGAATCATTTGTGTTTTTGAGAGTATTTCCAGTGCACAGCAGTTTGAATATGTACTGCATGATCATGATAAAACATGACTGAGACACAAGAGACTGCGCTTGATGTCAGTGTTGATGGATTGCTAAGACACTGTCATCTAGCTGAGTTCTCTCTCACGCACGCACGAGAATTTGTCTGAATTGAGAGTAACGCAGAACACAGTGTCAGACTCCCAGCATTGTGAGAAAGACACACAGAGCACGGAGGCACAGTTAGGACGGAGTTGAGATGAGGCCCAGGGCCTTGTCTGTCTGTCTGTCTGTCTGTCTGTCTGTCTGTCTGTCTGTCTGTCTGTCTGTCTGTCTGTCTGTCTGTCTGTCTGTCTGTCTGTCTGTCTGTCTGTCTGTGAGTCTGTCTGTGAGTCTGAGCCTGTGTGAGTGGACGGTGTTGACTGCCCCCTAGTCGACATGGTTAGACAATACCTCAAGCCTAAGCTGCATCCCAAATGGCATACTATTCCTTATTTAGTGCACTAATTTTGGTCAGAGGCCCTGGTCAACAGTAGTGCACTAAATAGGGAATAGGGTTCCATTTGGGACTCGGCCTAAGAGAATGAAGAAACCATTATCCAAGACCATCCATCTTAGCCTGTCTGGTTCTGCTCTCTCTGGCATGACGACACCATAAGGAGCAGAACCAGACAGGCATGTATCTACTCAATCTCCCGAAAGTGAAAGTGAAAAAAGACAGGGCCTTTAAACGAGCACCACAAGCAATAACTTCACCACCAAGGTTTTCCAGCACACAGCCTTGACGCCTGCCTGCTACAGTACTGACCTTTCACCTCTGTCTCTCTGTCTCCTCTCATTGGCCCCCAGTGCAGCCAATCCCAGCGGTGGTCAGGGTCAGGTGATGCCCATGGAGGAGTGGGGGTGTAGCTCAGGGTGGTGGGTGAGGGTGAGGGAGGAGCGGGGGAAGAGAGAGGACAGGCGGCTGGCGGGGGTGTGTGGTCTGGCTAACAGCGGTAACTCCTGCTACATGAACGCTGTGCTGCAGTGTCTCTTCTCCACCGTGCCGCTGGTGGAACACCTCCTCAGCTCACACAGACACACCCAGCTGGCCAAGTAAGACCCTTGCTGGCTGTCTATCTGTCTGTCTGTATTAGATTTTTTAATAGTACTTTTTACCAGGTGCTCCAAGCACTTTACATTAGATGGGGGAAACTTACATCCTCCAATGCCTCTCCTCCTTCCTCTCCTCCCTCCCCTCCCTCTCTTCTCCCTCTCCTCCTTCCTCTCCTCCCTCCCCTCCCTCTCTTCTCCCTCTCCTCCCGTGCCACTCCTCTCCCTCCTCCCCAGGCGTAACAGTCCTGTAGCGGGGGTGTTTGTGCGCCTCCTCCAGGAGGTGTGGCAGGGTCAGGGGGGTACCAGCTTCACCTCCCCAGGGGAGATGAGGGCCTTGGTCTCCTCCCTGCACCCCCAGTTCAACAACCAATCACAGCAGGACGCCCAGGAGCTGCTCCTCCTCCTGCTCAACGCCCTGCATGACGACCTCAAGGAAGTACACACAGACACACACAGTCCTGCCACAACACAGCTCCACCCACACAGACACACACAGTCCTGCCACAACACAGCTCCATCCACGCAGCTCCATCCACGCAGCTCCATCCATGCAGCTCCATCCACACAGCTCCATCCACACAGACACACACAGTCCTGCCACAACACAGCTCCATCCACACAGACACACACAGTCCTGCCACAACACAGCTCCATCCACGCAGCTCCATCCACACAGCTCCATCCACACAGCTCCATCCACGCAGCTCCATCCATGCAGCTCCATCCACGCAGCTCCATCCATGCAGCTCCATCCACGCAGCTCCATCCACGCAGCTCCATCCACGCAGCTCCATCCACGCAGCTCCATCCACGCAGCTCCATCCACGCAGCTCCATCCATGCAGCTCCATCCACGCAGCTCCATCCATGCAGCTCCATCCACGCAGCTCCATCCACGCAGCTCCATCCACGCAGCTCCATCCACGCAGCTCCATCCACGCAGCTCCATCCACGCAGCTCCATCCATGCAGCTCCATCCACGCAGCTCCATCCACGCAGCTCCATCCACGCAGCTCCATCCACGCAGCTCCATCCACGCAGCTCCATCCACGCAGCTCCATCCACACTGCCTCATTCTCTTTCTTGATTCCCTGCGTCCTCTCTCCTTGCCTCCTCCTCAAAACCCATTGGAGGAGAAGGTCAGAGAGGAGGGAGGAGGAAAGGAAGAATTTGAGAAAGAGCCATTAACCTAAGATCTGGGCCTCTATGGCACAGCTGTGTGAGGTTAGAGTAAGGTTGGAGTAAAAGCCTGCACACACCCAGTACTAGCTGTCCAGGAATATGGTTGGCTGCCACCATTAAGTTGTGTTCCCATAGAGAAGCGGGAGAGGAGATGGAGCTGCCACCACATTGCTTACACCTATCCAATCCTTCCAGATCTACACAAGTGTCTAGTGTCTAGGGGATATGGGATAAGTGTCCAGGGGATAAGTGTCTAGGGGATATGGGATAAGTGTCTAGGGGATACGTGTCTAGGGGATACGTGTCTAGGGGATACGTGTCTAGGGGATAAGTGTCTAGGGGATAAGTGCCTAAGGGATAAGTGTCTAGGGGATAAGTGCCTAGGGGATAAGTGCCTAGGGGATAGGGGATAAGTGTCTAGGGGATAAAAGGATAGGGGATAAGTGCCTAAGGGATAAGTGTCTAGGGGATAAGTGCCTAGGGGATAGGGGATAAGTGGATAGGGGATAAGTGGATAAGTGGATAAGGGGTAAGTGTCTAGGGGATAAGTGTCTAGGGGATACGTGTCTAGGGGATACGTGTCTAGGGGATAGGGGATAAGTGTATAGGGGATACGTGTCTAGGGGATAAGTGGATAAGGGATAAGTGTCTAGGGGATAAGTATCTAGGGGATACGTGTCTAGGGGATAAGTGCCTAAGGGATAGGGGATAAGTGTCTAGGGGATACGTGTCTAGGGGATAAGTGTCTAGGGGATGAGGGCTAGGGGCTGATTTGGTATTCAGATAGTGTGTTTATCCTTTGTGTGTATGTGTATATGATTCCCTTGCTACAGAAGGGGGAGAGGCGTCAGACACGTTCTTCCCAGCGGTTGTGTCTGGGCAGGAAGTCCCTCAGCTCGGCGCCAGCGGCGGGGGATTCTACGGTGGTGACACGTCTCTTCGAGGGACAGCTCAGCTACCAGATGATGTGTCTGAACTGCGACAGACACTCTCACAGCAACCAGGTCTTCACCATCCTGTCTCTGCCTATACCAGCTGACTCATTCAAGTGCTCCCTACAGGTACAACTAACCACATACAGACTAACCACATACAGACTAACCACGTACAGACTAACCACGTACAGACTAATCACACAGACTAAACACATACAGACTAAACACGTACAGACTAAACACATACAGACTAACCACATACAGACTAAACACGTACAGACTAACCACGTACAGACTAACCACGTACAGACTAAACACGTACAGACTAAACACGTACAGACTAACCACGTACAGACTAAAAACATAGACTAAAAACATAGACTAAACACGTACAGACTAAAAACATAGACTAAAAACATAGACTAAACACGTACAGACTAAAAACATAGACTAAAAACATAGACTAAACACGTACAGACTAAAAACATACAGACTAATCACGTACAGACTAACCACATACAGACTAAACACATACAGACTAATCACATACAGACAGACAGTACAATACTTCTTTCAGATAAGGCCAGCAACCACACTCTCTTCTCCCGCTCTCTCTCTCTCGCTCCCTTCCTCCTTCCTGTAGGACTGCCTGTCGCTGTTCTTCCAGCAGAGTACATTGACGTGTGGAGACCAGAAGTTGTGTCCAGAGTGTGGCGTGAAGAGAGACACAGCTGTCCTCACCAGCATGGCCAAACCACCTGAGATACTGGCGCTGCACCTCAAACGGTGGGTAGTTGCCAACCCAGCCCTCCCCACGGTAGTCACTAGATGGCCATGCTATCACGCTATAGTACAGATGTATTAGTGCTAATGTAAAGGACGTCACGCTGCTTGCTTAGCGAGTACCGCCTCCTCCTTATTCGGCTCAAACAGAGGCTCCAACCCAGAACCTTTGCCTTGCTAGCAGCACACGTGACCACCCTTCTGAAGCGTCTAACCCGTCGGTGCCACGCGGAGAGCTAGCTTATCGCTGGCGCAAGTGGGTTCACCTCAGGCTGAGGAGTACGTTTCACACGTCCCCATGTGCTCCACTAGCGGCGGTTTTAACCACATTAACATTTAACCCTAACTAGAGGTCAATGTAACCCTAACTAGAGGTCAATGTAACTCTAACTAGAGGTCAATGTAACCCCAACTAGAGGTCAATGTAACTCTAACTAGAGGTCAATGTAACTCTCACTAGAGGTCAATGTAACCCTAACTAGAGGTCAATGTAACCCTAACTAGAGGTCAATGTAACTCTAACTAGAGGTCAATGTAACCCTAACTAGAGGTCAATGTAACCCTAACTAGAGGTCAATGTAACCCTAACTAGAGGTCAATGTAACTCTCACTAGAGGTCAATGTAACCCCAACTAGAGGTCAATGTAACCCTAACTAGAGGTCAATGTAACCCTAACTAGAGGTCAATGTAACCCTAACTAGAGGTCAATGTAACCCTAACTAGAGGTTAATGTAACCCTAACTAGAGGTCAATGTAACCCTAACTAGAGTTCAATGTAACTCTAACTAGAGGTCAATGTAACCCTAACTAGAGGTCAATGTAACCCTAACTAGAGGTCAATGTAACCCTAACTAGAGGTCAATGTAACCCTAACTAGAGGTCAATGGCAGTAATAATGTAACACTTCATTAGAAATACACTACCGTTCAAAAGTTTGGGGTCACTTAGAAATGTCCTTGTTTTCGAAAGAAAAGCAATTTTTTTGTCCATTAAAATAACATCAAATTAATCAGAAATACAGTGTAGACATTGTTACTGTTGTAAATGGCTATTGTAGCTGTAAATGGCTGATTTTTAATGGAATAATATTTTTTATCCCCCCTCCTCCCTCCTCCCTCTCTGTGGATGACTTCGTCAACCATTTTGAAAAGAAGGTTGACGACATCCGATCCTCGTTTGTTAAGTCAAATGACACTGCTGGTCCTGCTCACACTGCCCTACCCTATGCTTTGACTTCTTTCTCCCCTCTCTCTCCAGATGAAAACTTGCGACTTGTGACGGCCGGCCGCCCAACAACCTGCCCGCTTGACCCTATCCCCTCCTCTCTTCTCCAGACCATCTCCGGTGACCTTCTCCCTTACCTCACCTCGCTCATCAACTCATCCTTGACCGCTGGCTATGTCCCTTCCGTCTTCAAGAGAGCGAGAGTTGCACCCCTTCTCAAAAAACCAACACTCGATCCCTCTGATGTCAACAACTACAGACCAGTATCCCTTCTTTCTTTTCTCTCCAAAACTCTTGAGCGTGCCGTCTTTAGCCAACTCTCTTGCTATCTCTCTCAGAATGACCTTCTTGATCCAAACCAGTCAGGTTTCATGACTGGTCATTCAACTGAGACTGCTCTTCTCTGTGTCACGGAGGCTCTCCGCACTGCTAAAGCTAACTCTCTCTCCTCTGCTCTTGTCCTTCTAGACCTGTCTGCTGCCTTTGATACTGTGAACCATCAGATCCTCCTCTCCACCCTCTCCAAGTTGGGCATCTCCGGCGCGGCTCACTCTTGGATTGCGTCCTACCTGACCGGTTGCTCCTACCAAGTGGCGTGGCGAGAATCTGTCTCCGCACCACGTGCTCTCACCACTGGTGTCCCCCAGGGCTCAGTTCTAGGCCCTCTCCTATTCTCGCTATACACCAAGTCACTTGGCTCTGTCATATCCTCACATGGCCTCTCCTATCATTGCTATGCAGACGACACACAACTAATCTTCTCCTTTCCCCCTTCTGATAACCAGGTGGCGAATCGCATCTCTGCATGTCTGGCAGACATACAGTGGGGGGAAAAAGTATTTAGTCAGCCACCAATTGTGCAAGTTCTCCCACTTAAAAATATGAGAAAGGCCTGTAATTTTCATCATAGGTACACGTCAACTATGACAGACAAAATAAGAAGAAAAAAATCCAGAAAATCACATTGTAGGATTTTTAATGAATTTATTTGCAAATTATGGTGGAAAATAAGTATTTGGTCAATAACAAAAGTTTCTCAATACTTTGTTATATACCCTTTGTTGGCAATGACACAGGTCAAACGTTTTCTGTAAGTCTTCACAAGGTTTTCACACACTGTTGCTGGTATTTTGGCCCATTCCTCCATGCAGATCTCCTCCAGAGCAGTGATGTGTTGGGGCTGTCGCTGGGCAACACAGACTTTCAACTCCCTCCAAAGATTTTCTATGGGGTTGAGATCTGGAGACTGGCTAGGCCACTCCAGGACCTTGAAATGCTTCTTACGAAGCCACTCCTTCGTTGCCCGGGCGGTGTGTTTGGGATCATTGTCATGCTGAAAGACCCAGCCACGTTTCATCTTCAATGCCCTTGCTGATGGAAGGAGGTTTTCACTCAAAATCTCACGATACATGGCCCCATTCATTCTTTCCTTTACACAGATCAGTCGTCCTGGTCCCATTGCAGAAAAACAGCCCCAAAGCATGATGTTTCCACCCCCATGCTTCACAGTAGGTATGGTGTTCTTTGGATGCAACTCAGCATTCTTTGTCCTCCAAACACGACAAGTTGAGTATTTACCAAAAAGTTCTATTTTGGTTTCATCTGACCATATGACATTCTCCCAATCCTCTTCTGGATCATCCAAATGCACTCTAGCAAACTTCAGACGGGCCTGGACATGTACTGGCTTAAGCAGGGGGACACGTCTGGCACTGCAGGATTTGAGTCCCTGGCGGCGTAGTGTGTTACTGATGGTAGGCTTTGTTACTTTGGTCACAGCTCTCTGCAGGTCATTCACTAGGTCCCCCCGTGTGGTTCTGGGATTTTTGCTCACCGTTCTTGTGATCATTTTGACCCCACGGGGTGAGATCTTGCGTGGAGCCCCAGATCGAGGGAGATTATCAGTGGTCTTGTATGTCTTCCATTTCCTAATAATTGCTCCCACAGTTGATTTATTCAAACCAAGCTGCTTACCTATTGCAGATTCAGTCTTCCCAGCCTGGTGCAGGTCTACAATTTTGTTTCTGGTGTCCTTTGACAGCTCTTTGGTCTTGGCCATAGTGGAGTTTGGAGTGTGACTGTTTGAGGTTGTGGACAGGTGTCTTTTATACTGATAACAAGTTCAAACAGGTGCCATTAATACAGGTAACGAGTGGAGGACAGAGGAGCCTCTTAAAGTAGAAGTTACAGGTCTGTGAGAGCCAGAAATCTTGCTTGTTTGTAGGTGACCAAATACTTATTTTCCACCATAACTTGCAAATAAATTCATAAAAAATCCTACAATGTGATTTTCTGGATTTTTTTTCCTCAATTTGTCTGTCATAGTTGACGTGTACCTATGATGAAAATTACAGGCCTCTCTCATCTTTTTAAGTGGGAGAACTTGCACAATTGGTGGCTGACTAAATACTTTTTCCCCCACTGTATCAGTGTGGATGACGGATCACCACCTCAAGCTGAACCTCGGCAAGACGGAGCTGCTCTTCCTCCCGGGGAAGGACTGCCCGTTCCATGATCTCGCCATCACGGTTGACAACTCCGTTGTGTCCTCCTCCCAGAGTGCGAAGAGCCTTGGCGTGACCCTGGACAACACCCTGTCGTTCTCCGCTAACATCAAGGCGGTGACCCGATCCTGTAGGTTCATGCTCTACAACATTCAGAGAGTACAACCCTGCCTTACACAGGAAGCGGCACAGGTCCTAATCCAGGCACTTGTCATCTCCCATCTGGATTACTGCAACTCGCTGTTGGCTGGGCTCCCTGCCTGTGCCATTAAACCCCTACAACTCATCCAGAATGCCGCAGCCCGTCTGGTGTTCAACCTTCCCAAGTTCTCTCACGTCACCCCGCTCCTCCGCACACTCCACTGGCTTCCAGTTGAAGCTCGCATCTGCTACAAGACCATGGTGCTTGCCTATGGAGCTGTGAGGGGAACGGCACCTCCGTACCTTCAGGCTCTGATCAGTCCCTACACCCAAACGAGGGCATTGCGTTCATCCACATCTGGCCTGCTGGCCCCCCTACCTCTGCGGAAGCACAGTTCCCGCTCAGCCCAGTCAAAACTGTTCGCTGCTCTGGCACCCCAATGGTGGAACAAGCTCCCTCACGACGCTAGGACAGCAGAGTCACTCACCACCTTCCGGAGACACTTGAAACCCCACCTCTTTAAGGAATACCTGGGATAGGATAAAGTAATCCTTCTACCCCCCCTTACCCCACCCCCCAAAAAATAAAAATAAAAAATAAAAAAATAAACATATTGTAAAGTGGTTATCCGACTGGCTATAAGGTGAATGCACCAATTTGTAAGTGGCTCTGGATAAGAGCGTCTGCTAAATGACGTAAATGTAAATGAATATCTACATAGGCGTACAGAGGCCCATTATCAGCAACCATCAGTCCTGTGTTCCAATGGCACGTTGTGTTTGCTAATCCAAGTTTATCATTTTAAAAGGCTAATTGATCATTAGAAAACCCTTTTGCAATTATTGTTAGCACAGCTGAAAACTGTTGTGCTGATTTAAAGAAGCAATAAAACTGGCCTTCTTGAGACTATTTCAGTATCTGGAGCATCAGCAATTGTGGGTTTGATTTACAGGCTCAAAATGGCCAGAAACAAATCACTTTCTTCTGAAACTCGTCAGTCTAATCAACAGGAAAGAAATCAGCTTCACCTCTGCTGCTGCTGCTATCATGCATCTCAATGAGACAAACCTGTATAAATAGCGGTTCATTATTTAAAACTAAAAACCGCTGAACCTGTGTGACATTACAGTTTTGGTTGCCATGGGAGCGAGAAGAGGAAGTTGAGGACCAATGTGTTGTTCTCATTGGACAGTTTGGACCTGACCCCCTTCCTGTCAAGCCCCTCAGCCAGTCACACCAGCTACTCTCTCTACGCGGTGGTGGTGAGTTTCTGTTCACACACAGGCACGCACACACATATCCACCACAGGAGGCTGCTGAGGGGAGGACGGCTCATTATAATGGCTGGAACGGAGCAAATGGAACGGCATCGAACACATGGAAACCATGTGTTTAATGTATTTGATACCATTCCACCTATTTCGCTCCAGCCATTACAACGAGGCTCTCCTCCCCAATTAAGGTGACACCAACCTCTTGTGATATACACCCACACACACACACACACACACACACACATAGAAACACACACACACCTACACATGTGAACGCACATACACACATTCATACACCTGATGCTCCTGTCTCGAAAAACACACAGATAACCATGAACACACAGATAACCATGAACACACAGATAACCATGAACACACATGAATCCACCGGTGTGTGTGTGTCTTCACCCCCCCTCCAGAACCACACAGGAGACCTAGACATGGGTCACTACACAGCCCTGTGCCACAGTACCCTGTCCAGCAGCTGGCACCACTTTGACGACACGGCCGTGAGCGAGGTAGTGGACTTCTTGGTGCAGTCTCCTAACGCCTACATTCTGCTGTACAGCCGTCAGCCCTTCCACAGAGCCACCATACCCCGGACCTGACCCACCACAGAGCCACCATACCCCGGACCTGACCCACCACAGACCCACCATACCCCGGACCTGACCCACCACAGAGCCACCATACCCCGGATCTGACCCACCACAGACCCACCATACCCCGGACCTGACCCACCACAGACCCAACATACCCCGGATCTGACCCACCACAGACCAAAACATACCCAGTCACAGGATCTAACTAGGACCCATGCTCTCCTAGCCACTACTCATTCCACAGGCCCAATTTACCATGGCTCTAGGCCCAGCATAGCTTCTGAGACCCACCACAGACCCAACTTACCCAACATTTCCCAGATCTGACCCACCACAGACCCAACTTACCCAAATCTGACCCACCACAGACCCAACTTACCCAACATTTCCCAGATCTGACCCACCACAGACCCAACTTACCCAACATTTCCCAGATCTGACCCACCACCGGCCCAACTTACCCATCATCCCCCATATCTGACCCACCACCGGCCCAACTTACCCATCATCCCCCATATCTGACCCACCACAGGTCAAAAACGTACCGTGGCTCTTAGACTCACGCTGGTAGAGCCCACAGAGCTAGCCCACAAAGTGCCAAGCCAACCCCTAGTCTAGCCCACAGCCCGTTCATGTTTGCAGATCAGAGGGAAATGGATAGATGACGGCTCCATTTCGCTGTCCAATGGGCTTAGTGAAGCTTCCTCCGACCCAGTTAGGTGGGCTTGGGGCTGGTCCAGGGCTTGGCTACAGACCAACCTACAGAAGGTGCTGGGTGAACTATCAGAACCCCTCTGGAGTGTGCGGGCCACCCAGAGAAAACGGATTCTGGTGTTTCTGCAATTCTTCAATAAAACGTGAATGAATTGCAAGGCAACGTGAATGAAATGTGAATGAATGCAGGTTCCCATGGATACGCAGAGGCACCAGGGAAATGTTCAGAGGATGTAACGTTACAGAATGTCCTGATAGAAATGTATCATGTAGAACAGAAGTGATTGTCTTTCAGACAGGATAGGGAATCGTGCCAGATCTATTCATTCTATTTCTATCTGCAACATTCAGAGCGTTTCCCATCCCTGAATACACCCCAGGTAAGCTACTACTAGGAAAATATTACTGTGGTTCACTGTAGCTCAGTTGATAGAGCATGGTGCTTGCAAAGCAAGGACAGTGGGTTCAATTCCCGAGACCACCCATACTTAACAATTGTATGCAGACATGACTGTTAGTCTGCTAAATGGCATACATACATTACTAGGACCCAGATGCCGCCAATATAATATATATATAGTGCCATCTAGTGGCAGAGAGGGAAAACGACACACAACACCAGGTTTTCTACTTTATTTGGAGGATTTTGATAAATAGCTACATTTTTATATGTTTGAGGTTAATACAAGTGTTATTGGAAACTTCATAGCAATAAAATAAAAATTGAAAATCAATCAACATACAACACCAGAAAATAAGAAATACATTAGAATGATTTCATGCCAGGAAATGCTTTTCAGAGGGACATTTTAAGTGATATCTATTTTTGTCACATTTAAGATTTCTATTAATCTCCCCCTAGAGAGCGACTGGGCCAGTATTCATTAAGTGTCTCAGAGTATAAGTGCTGATCTAAAATCAGTTTAGCCTTTTGGATAATAATGTACAAGATTATATGGACAGGGGGGGGGACCTGATCCAGGATCAGCACTCCTACTCCAAGACAGGCCCTGAAGTGTGATTTGTGCTTCTCCTCCAGACTTAATCTGTGAGGAGGTAGATGTTGCTCCTAACCGCTGGTCTGGGATCAGATCTATCTACATTCCCTTTATGGTTACAGTTAGGATTTCGAGATAGAGTTACCTGATCCTAGATCTGTGGTAAGAAGCAACTTCTACCTACCTTGAGTGATCTATCTTTAGGCTGCATCCCAAATGGCACCCTAGGGTTCCAATAGACACCCAGAGGTCTCCGTTCTAAAGTAGTGCACTGTGTAGGGAATAGGGTGCCATTTGGGACTCGAACGTAGAAACGATTTGGCTCCAATGTTCACGGTGATGCTGTAACGTAATCTTGGGACTGTTATGATGTCACCCCCTCCCTTCCTTCTCTACCTCCCCCAGCCCCCCCTCCCTCTCTCCCTACTGAATGTTGTGCTTAAACCTAGACCCCCAGACAGACCAACACAGAGAGAACAGTCTCTAACCCCCAGACAGACCAACACAGAGAGAACAGTCTCTAACCCCCAGACAGACCAACACAGAGAGAACAGTCTCTAACCCCCAGACAGACCAACACAGAGAGAACAGTCTCTAACCCCCAGACAGACCAACACAGAGAGAACAGTCTCAAACCCCCAGACAGACCAACACGGAGAGAACAGTCTCTAACCCCCAGACAGACCAACACAGAGAGAACAGTCTCTAACCCCCAGACAGACCAACACAGAGAGAACAGTCTCTAACCCCCAGACAGACCAACACAGAGAGAACAGTCTCTAACCCCCAGACAGACCAACACAGAGAGAACAGTCTCTAACCCCCAGACAGACCAACACAGAGAGAACAGTCTCTAACCCCCAGACAGACCAACACAGAGAGAACAGTCTCAAACCCCCAGACAGACCAACACAGAGAGAACAGTCTCTAACCCCCAGACAGACCAACACAGAGAGAACAGTCTCTAACCCCCAGACAGACCAACACAGAGAGAACAGTCTCTAACCCCCAGACAGACCAACACAGAGAGAACAGTCTCTTACCCCCAGACAGACCAACACAGAGAGAACAGTCTCTAACCCCCAGACAGACCAACACAGAGAGAACAACAGTAATTCAGCTCGAGACATGTTTTAAAAATGTCAAAATCATAAGTGTACATACATCCCCACTCGAAGATGCTTCTTCCAGGACCAAATAGAGAAAAGGAGAACAGAAGAGCGACATATCACAAATAACAATCAGTTGACGTTGTCAAAACAACCAGATTATGACAATCTATCTGATACGGCTTAACCTATACAAGTATTTATTACAGATCTCCTTAACATTGGTATTGAAGGTAAAGTCATGTATTGATTATATATTTCCTTAACATTGGTATTGAAGGTAAAGTCATATATTGATTATATATTTCCTTAACATTGGTACTGAAGGTAAAGTCATGTATTTTAGTCAGGTATTTTAGATCAAAACAAGTTTTTTAATAGCAAGGGAGTGCAGTAGACTAGTGTACACTGAATAGGTTATTTTCCAGGTTAGTTAAATGACACTGATTGATTACATTATTGATTAGGCCAAATGATTTATGTCTCAGTATCAGGCTCAACCATTTTCAATCTGTCCCAAAAGGCTACGTGTGCACCCCAAATGGCATCCCATTCCCTTAATATTCTCTGGTCAAAAGTAGTGCACCATTTGGGAGACACCCTACAAATCAAAAGTCTGTTGGTCGATTTACTAAATTACTGTGTTCTATACAAACACAGATGACTGAATTACTGTGTTCTATACAAACACAGATGACTGAATTACTGTGTTCTATACAAACACTGTTGACTAAATTACTGTGTTCTATACAAACACAGATGACTGAATTACTGTGTTCTATACAAACACTGTTGACTAAATTACTGTGTTCTATACAAACACAGATGACTGAATTACTGTGTTCTATACAAACACTGTTGACTAAATTACTGTGTTCTATACAAACACAGATGACTGAATTACTGTGTTCTATACAAACACAGATGACTGAATTACTGTGTTCTATACAAACACTGATGACTGAATTACTGTGTTCTATACAAACACAGATGACTGAATTACTGTGTTCTATACAAACACAGATGACTGAATTACTGTGTTCTATACAAACACTGTTGACTAAATTACTGTGTTCTATACAAACACAGATGACTGAATTACTGTGTTCTATACAAACACAGATGACTGAATTACTGTGTTCTATACAAACACTGTTGACTAAATTACTGTGTTCTATACAAACACCGTTGACTGAATTACTGTGTTCTATTCAAACACCGTTGACTGAATTACTGTGTTCTATACAAACACCGTTGACTGAATTACTGTGTTCTATACAAACACCGTTGACTAAATTAATGTGTTCTATAGAAACACCGTTGACTAAATTACTGTGTTCTATACAAACACCGTTGACTCAATTAATGTGTTCTATAGAAACACCGCAAGTGCATTGTGCTGTTGGTTTTCATAGAATGTGTCCAGTATAAACAAGCTAGAACTCCCTAAACTCAAAAGGGTCAATCTGAAATGACACCCTATTCCCTTAATAGTGCACTACTTTAGACCAGAGCAGATTGGGCCCTGGTCAAAAGCAGTGCACTGTGAAGGGAAGGGTTTTTAAACCTCTCGTTCCCTCTCCTATAAGAGCACACTAAAAACATCTGAAACACATCACCAGGAGAAGGCGGAGTCTCAAATGACACCTTTTTTCCCTATAAAGTGCACTTCTTTTGACCAGAGCCCTGTCAAAAGTAGTGTACTTTATAGGGAATAGGGTGCTATTTGGGACATACACTTAAGTATGTAGTCTAGAATCCTCCTTCATCAAATAGTTATTCAATCAATCATGCCAGCTGCCTCTCTCACAAAGAGAAAATAAAAGTGTATTTGGGGAGTTTATAAACAGAGGAGAATCCCCCTCTCCTCGGCAGCATGTTCATGTACAATGTGTTTAATGTTTCATGTGCAACATCAGCAGAAAGCTGTTCATATTACTGGACGTACAGATAAGTCACTCTTCCTAACTAAACGTCCCTATACGTATATTTACAGTGCCTTCGGAAAGTATTTAGACCCCTTGACTTTTTCCACATTTTGTTACGTTACAGCCTTATTCTAAAATTGATTTTTTTTTTTTTTTATAAGAATCCTCAGCAATCTACACACAATACCACATAATGACAAAGCGAAAACAGGTTTTTAGAAATGTGTGCAAATGTATTAAACACAAAAAAAAGAAATACCTTATTTACATAAGTATTCAGACCCTTTGCTATGAGACTCGAAATTGAGCTCAGGTGCATCCTGTTTCCATTGATCACCTTCAGATGTTTCTACAACTTGATTGGAGTCCACCTGTGGTAAATTCAATTGATTTGACATTATTTGGAAAAGCACACACCTGTCTATATAAAGTCCCACAGTTGATAGTGCATGTCAGAGCAAAAACCAAGCCATGAGGTCAAAAGGAATTGTCCGTAGAGCTCCGAGACAGGATTGTGTCGAGGCACAGATCTGGGGAAGGATACCAAAAAATGTCTGCTGCATTGAAGGTCCCCAAAAACACAGTGGCCTCCATCATTCTTAAATGGAAGAAGTTTGGAACCACCAAGACTCTTCCTAGAGCTGGCCGCCCAGCCAAACTGAGCAATCGGGGGAGAAGGGCCTCGGTCAGGGAGGTGACCAAGAACCTGATGTTCACTCTGACAGAGCTCCAGAGTTCCTCTGTGGAGATGGGAGAACCTTCCAGAAGGACAACCATCTCTGCAGCACTCCACCAATCAGGCCTTTATGGTACAGTGGCCAGAGGGAAGCCACTCCTCAGTAAAAGGCACATGACAGCCCGCTTGGAGTTTGCCAAAAGGAAACAAGATTCTCTGGTCTATGAAACCAAGATTGAATTATTTGGCCTGAAAGCCAAGCGTCACGTCTGGAGGAAACCTGGCACCATCCCTACGGTGAAGCATGGTGGTGGCAGCATCATGCTGTGGGGATGTTTTTCAGCGGCAGGTACTGGGAGACTAGTCAGGATTGAGGGAGAGACAAACAGAGCAAAGTACAGAGAGATCATTGATGAAAACCTGCTCCAGAGCACTCAGGACCTCAGACTGGGGCGAAGGTTCACCTTCCAACAGGACAACGACCCTAAGCACACAGCCAAGACAACGCAGGAGTGGCTTCGGGACAAGTCTCTGAATGTCCTTGAGTGGCCCAGCCAGAGCCTGGACTTGAATCTGATCGAACATCTCTGGAGAGACCTGAAAATAGCTGTGCAGCAACGCTCCCCATCAAACCTGACAGAGCTTGAGAGGATCTACAGAGAAGAAATGGGAGAAACTCCCCAAATACAGGTGTGCCAATCTTGTAGCATCATACCCAAGACTTGAGGCTGTAATCGCTGCCAAAGGTGCTTTAACAAAGTACTGAGTAAAGGCTCTGAATACTTATGTAAATGTAATATTTCCATTTTTTGTTGTTGAATAAATTAGCAAAAATGTATAGAAACCAGTTTTTGCTTTGTCATTATAGGGCATTGTTTGTAGATTGATGAGGCAAAAAAAAACAATTTAATCAATTTTAGAATAAGGCTGTAAAGTAACAAAATGTGGAAAAAGTCAAGGGGTCTGAATACTTTCCGAAGGCACTGTCCGTCACTCTTCCTAACTAAATGTCCCTATACGTCACTCTTCCTAACTAAACGTCCCTATACGTACATATACGTCACTCTTCCTAACTCTTCACTAGAAGATTCACAATACAGGGAAGTTTAAATAAGGTCTGTGTATACTAAGTAAAGGCCTTCCACTCCACACGGAGACTCAACTGAAACCCAGAAATAGCAGAATTCCAACGTTGCTGATTTAGAACAGGGTTTTCCAGTACATTACATTATTACATAGAACAGTATTGAAGTCTGGGTGATGGAAGCGTTAAAGGAACCCTCTCCCTGCTCTCTGTTGTAATATGAATAGATGTTGCGTCTTAAAAGCTATTGAGTCCCCTATGAGCTGAAGCATTTGAGTGCCTGCATTTCTCCCTCTCCTTCTCTCTCACACACACACCCTTCCACCACACACTATATCCCTATCTTTCCAAACGTCCACCTCTTGTCAGTTCAGTTAACCAAAACCAAAAACCCCAAAAAACTTTTGGGGCCATACTTGCGAACTTTTTGCTTAGACCATGATTTAAACCATTGGTCTAAAATGGCTAGCTGATAGCTTTTCTCATAAGCCAACCTGGACAAATTAGCCACGATGCTGAGGACGGCCAGCTGAGCAGATAATTATATCCGGTAACAAATTCCGTCTCAGCCAATTAAAATCGTCCACGTAGTTGGACGCGATACAACACTTTAACACTGAAGCATCACATGCAAGAATGTGTCTGGACAACGATCTCACAGTATAAAAACGCCTAGTTCCTGACATTTCTCACCACTTGCAACGTAAGTTGGAAAAAAAACCCGCGGGGTCATCATTTTATCCTGACATATGGAATTGCATTCATTTTGGTATTGTGTTAAGAAGGAAAGTGCAGTCATCCCGTTAAAAATTAAGATTAAGAATGAATTTCTTACCATTCACACCAGATAGTGTCCTCCTTGCTACAACCTATTGCATATGGGACTGCAGTGTAGCCTACACTTCAAATATGTATTAAATCTACTCTAATTGTGGTTGTATTGTGAATGGAAGAGCAGACATCATGTAGTAAATATACAGCCTAATACCCCAATATTAGTCACTGCAATGAACACAGGCGAAATGACATAGATGTGTACACTTCATTGTATAAGGCTTTATTTATTAGCATTTTTATTAAATCGTCTACTTCGTCACATTTGGCTATTTCACTCGAGGACCAGCAGTGGGAGGGTTTTCTCCTTAAAAATAATCTTGCCCCCGAATGGTATTCGAACTCACAGCCACCATATGCCGACACCGTGGAGTAGATCACACTAGTGGATCACGTCACCACTCCGGCTAGCGGTAGAGGGTAAATCACGCCACCACTCCGGCTAGCGGTAGAGGGTAAATCACGCCACCACTCCGGCTAGCGGTAGAGGGTAAATCACTGCTATTTGACAACACCGCGAGTCATCGCCTTTGACTTTTACAATGTCTGAATAACAAAGTTACAATATAATCCTCCTGCATTTTTCAGTGAAAGCACATGGATGTGTGTTAAATGGATAAGCAAAAATGTGTAATTTGGTCATATATGCGAAAAGCCGTCATTTTGCATGATGCCAGTTGCCTAGTCAAGGAAGCATCATGCAAAAATATATTGAGACACTCCATTTACTCCATGGGTAACAAATTAAACCAAGCAGTTGGAAGCAAATGTACCTATTGAACAAATGTGATTGGATGGTGGCTCTACCGTTTAAGTTCTCTGATAGGTTGATTCGTTATTTTGCTACCGGATATAATGATCTGCTCAGATGGCCGTCCTCAGCATCGTGGTTAATTTGGCCAGGTTGGCCTGAGAGAAAAAGCTAGCAGCTAGTCATTTTAGACTAATGGTTTAAACCATGGTCTAAGCAAAAGTTCACAAGTATGGTCCCTGGCAGTTCAGTTCAGTTAACCGAAACCGCCAAACCTCGCCAGTTCAGTTAACCAAAACCTCCACACCTCGCCAGTTCAGTTTACCAAAACCTCCACACCTCGCCAGTTCAGTTTACCAAAACCTCCACACCTCGCCAGTTCAGTTCCTTTCTCCCACCAGCAGAGGAAGCTGAGTCAAAGCAGCCTGTATGTTAGTTAGCCTGTATGTAGCCTCATAGCTCCGAGCAGCGCTGCAGCTCTCCCTCACAGGGAGGAGTAGAAGAAGATGTAGGCTGTGGAGGAACTCTCCCTCACAGGGAGGAGTAGAAGAAGATGTAGGCTGCGGAGGAACTCTCCCTCACAGGGAGGAGTAGAAGAAGATGTAGGCTGCGGAGGAACTCTCCCTCACAGGGAGGAGTAGAAGAAGATGTATGCTGCGGAGGACTTGACGGTGGAGGTGGAGATTTCGGAGACTTCGTGGTCGTCAAACTTGTACCAGCGCTGTTTCACGGCGTTCTTACAGTAGGCTGTGTAGTGACCACCATCCAGACCACCATAATGGTTCTGTTACAGACAGGGAGAGACACAGAGGGTTAACGGCCTGTTTCACGGCGTTCTTACAGTAGGCTGTGTAGTGACCACCATCCAGACCACCATAATGGTTCTGTTACAGACAGGGAGAGACACAGAGGGTTAACGGCCTGTTTCACGGCGTTCTTACAGTAGGCTGTGTAGTGACCACCATCCAGACCCCCATAATGGTTCTGTTACAGACAGGGAGAGACACAGAGGGTTAACGGCCTGTTTCACGGCGTTCTTACAGTAGGCTGTGTAGTGACCACCATCCAGACCACCATAATGGTTCTGTTACAGACAGGAAGAGACACAGAGGGTTAACGGCCTGTTTCACGGCGCTCTTACAGTAGGCTGTGTAGTGACCACCATCCAGACCACCATAATGGTTCTGTTACAGACAGGGAGGGACACAGAGGGTTAACGGCCTGTTTTATATATATCTAACAATCACACAAGATAAACAAATCTGATAACTCCTTCAGACCTGGTGAAGTACATGTCAAACACTTTTAAAGCTTGGGAGTTTCTGGACTTTTTCCATTGGCTAAATTGTAATAAGTCAAGCACTGATTATCATTAATATACACTACATTACCAAAGGTATGTGGACACCTGCTTGTCGAACATCTCATTCCAAAATCATGTGCATTAACATAGAATTGGTCCCCCTTTGATGCTATAACAGCCTCCTCTCTTCTGGGAAGGCTTTCCACTAGATGTTGGAACATTGCTGCGGGGACTTGCTTCCATTCAGCCACAAGAGCATTAGTGAGGTCGGGCACTGATGTTGGGCGATCAGGCCTGGCTTGCAGTTGGCGTTCAAATTCATCCCAAAGGTTGTGGTCAGGGCTCTGGGCAGGCCAGTCAAGTTCTTCCACACCGATCTCGACAAACCATTTCTATATGGACCTCGCTTTGTGCACGGGGGCACTGTCATGCTGAAACAGGAAAGGACCTTCCCCAAACTGTTGCCACAAAGTTGGAAGCACATAATTGTCTAGAATGTCATTGCATGCTGTAGAGTTAAGATTTCTCTTCACTGGAACTAAGGGGCCTAGCCCGAACCATGAAAAACAGCCCCAGACCATTATTCCTCCTCCACCAAACTTTACAGTTGGCACTATGCATTCGGGCAGGTAGCGTTCTCCTGGCATCTGCCAAACCCAGATTCGTCCGACGGACTGCCAGATGGTGAAGCGTGATTCATCACTCCAGAGAACGCGTTTCCACTGCTCCAGAGTCCAATGGCGGCGAGCTTTACACCACTCCAACCGATGCTCGGCATTGCGCATGGTGATCTTAAACTTGTGTGCGGCTGCTCGGCCATGGAAACCCATTTCATGAAGCTCCCAACAAACAGTTATTGTGCTGACCTTGCTTCCAGAGGAAGGTCGGAACTCGCTAGTGTGTGTTGTAAGTGAGGACGGACAAGTTTTACCCGCTACGCGCTTCAGCACTCGGCGGTGCCGTTCTGTGAGCTTGTGTGGCCTACCACTTCGCGGCTGAGCCGTTGTTGCTCCTAGACGTTTCCACTTCACAATAACAGCACTTACAGTTGACCGGGGCAGCTCTAGCAGGGCAAAACATTTGACAAAAACTGACTTGTTGGAAAGGTGGCATCCTATGACGGTGCCACGTTGAAAGTCACTGAGCTCTTCAGTAAGGCCATGCTACTGCCAATGTTTGTCTATGGAGATTGCATGGCTGTGTGCTCGATTTTATACACCTGTCAGCAACGGGTGTGGCTGAAATAGCCGAATCCACTAATTTGAAGGGGTGTCCACATACTTTTGTATATATATATATATATATATATATATATATATATATATATATATATATATATATACAGTGGGGAAAAAAAGTATTTAGTCAGCCACCAATTGTGCAAGTTCTCCCACTTAAAAAGATGAGAGATGCCTGTAATTTTCATCATAGGTACACGTCAACTATGACAGACAAATTGAGAAAAAAAAATCCAGAAAATCACATTGTAGGATTTTTAATGAATTTATTTGCAAATTATGGTGGAAAATAAGTATTTGGTCACCTACAAACAAGCAAGATTTCTGGCTCTCACAGACCTGTAACTTCTTCTTTAAGAGGCTCCTCTGTCCTCCCCTCGTTTCCTGTATTAATGGCACCTGTTTGAACTTGTTATCAGTATAAAATACACCTGTCCACAACCTCAAACAGTCACACTCCAAACTCCACTATGGCCAAGACCAAAGAGCTGTCAAAGGACACCAGAAACAAAATTGTAGACCTGCACCAGGCTGGGAAGACTGAATCTGCAATAGGTAAGCAGCTTGGTTTGAAGAAATCAACTGTGGGAGCAATTATTAGGAAATGGAAGACATACAACACCACTGATAATCTCCCTCGATCTGGGGCTCCACGCAAGATCTCACCCCGTGGGGTCAAAATGATCACAAGAACGGTGAGCAAAAATCCCAGAACCACACGGGGGGACCTAGTGAATGACCTGCAGAGAGCTGGGACCAAAGTAACAAAGCCTACCATCAGTAACACACTACGCCGCCAGGGACTCAAATCCTGCTGTGTCCCCCTGCTTAAGCCAGTACATGTCCAGGCCCATCTGAAGTTTGCTAGAGTGCATTTGGATGATCCAGAAGAGGATTGGGAGAATATCATATGGTCAGATGAAACCAAAATATAACTTTTTGGTAAAAACTCAACTCGTCGTGTTTGGAGTACAAAGAATGCTGAGTTGCATCCAAAGAACACCATACCTACTGTGAAGCATGGGGGTGGAAACATCATGCTTTGGGGCTGTTTTTCTGCAAAGGGACCAGGACGACTGATCCGTGTAAAGGAAAGAATGAATGGGGCCATGTATCGTGAGATTTTGAGTGAAAACCTCCTTCCATCAGCAAGGGCATTGAAGATGAAACATGGCTGGGTCTTTCAGCATGACAATGATCCCAAACACACCGCCCGGGCAACGAAGGAGTGGCTTCGTAAGAAGCATTTCAAGGTCCTGGAGTGGCCTAGCCAGTCTCCAGATCTCAACCCCATAGAAAATCTTTGGAGGGAGTTGAAAATCCGTGTTGCCCAGCGACAGCCCCAAAACATCACTGCTCTAGAGGAGATCTGCATGGAGGAATGGGCCAAAATACCAGCAACAGTGTGTGAAAACCTTGTGAAGACTTACAGAAAACGTTTGACCTGTGTCATTGCCAACAAAGGGTATATAACAAAGTATTGAGAAACTTTTGTTATTGACCAAATACTTATTTTCCACCATAATTTGCAAATAAATTCATTAAAAATCCTACAATGTGATTTTCTGGAATTTCTTTTCTCATTTTGTCTGTCATAGTTGACGTGTACCTATGATGAAAATTACAGGCCTCTCTCATCTTTTTAAGTGGGAGAACTTGCACAATTGGTGGCTGACTAAATACTTTTTTTCCCCACTGTGTATATATATATATATATATATATATATATATATATATATATATATATATATATATATATATATATATATATATATATATATATATATATATATATATATATATGTAATTTACCATAGGCTTTTATCCAAAGTGACAGTAGCGTATGGGTGGCCACAGCGGGAATGGAACCCACGACCCTGGCGTTGCAAGACCCATGCTCTACCAACTGAGCCACACAGGACCAGAAGCCACACAGGGAAGTATTTGACTGCAGTGTTTCCAGGCAGGTGTAAGATGCTTCGGTACTTACAGACACCCCAAACAGGTTGTATCTCTTGAGGCTGGCTCTGGGTCCGATGACGTACTGACTGACGTCTAGATTCTCCAGAGGGAAGTCCACTGTCGTCTGCAGCTTCTGCTTCCAACGGCCCTCGAACGAGAACCTACAAGAGACCGCAGCACTGGGGTTAATACACACTGTTATCGTTGTGTGTGTGTGTGTGTGTGTGTGTGTTGTGGCCTTATACAGTTGAATCTGAAGTTTACATACACCTTAGCCAAATACATTTAAACTCAGTTAGGATCACCACTTTATTTTAAGAATGTGAAATGTCATAATAATAATAATAGTAGAGAGAATGCTTTATTTCAGCTTTTATTTATTTCATCACATTCCCGGTGGGTCAGAAGTTTACAAACACTCAATTATTATTATTTTTTTTTATTTGGTAGCATTGCCTTTAAATTGTTTAACTTGGGTCAAACATTTCGGGTAGCCTTCCACAAGCTTCCCACACTAAGTTGGGTGAATTTTGGCCCATTCCTCCTGACAGAGCTGGTGTAACTGAGTCAGGTTTGTAGGCCTCCTTGCTCACACACGCTTTTTCAGTTCTGCCCACACATTTTCTATAGGATTGAGGTCAGGGCTTTGTGATGGCCACTCCAATACCTTGACTTTGTTGTCCTTAAGCCATTTTGCCACAACTTTGGAAGTATGCTTGGGGTCATTGTCCATTTGGATGACCCATTTGCGACCAAGCTTTAACTTCCTGACTGATGTCTTGAGATGTTGCTTCAATATATCCACATAATTTTCCTTCCTCATGATGCCATCTATTTTGTGAAGTGCACCAGTCCCTCCTGGAGCAAAGCACCCCCACAGCATGATGCTGCCACCCCCGTGCTTCACGGTTGGGATGGTGTTCTTCGGCTTGCAAGTAACCCCTTTTTTCCTCCAAACATAACGATGGTCATTATGGCCAAACAGTTCTATTTTTGTTTCATCAGACTTTTCTCCAAAAAGTACGATCTTTGTCCCCATGTGCAGTTGCAAACCGTAGTCTGGCTTTTTTATGGCGGTTTTGGAGCAGTGGCTTCTTCCTTGCTGAGCGGCCTTTCAGGTTATGTCAATATAGGACTCGTTTTACTGTGGATATAGATACTTTTGTTCCTGTTTCCTCCAGCATCTTCACAAGGTCCTTTTCTGTTGTTCTGGGATTGATTTGCACTTTTCGCACCAAAGTACGTTCATCTCTAGGAGACAGAACGCGTCTCCTTCCTGAGCGGTATGACGGCTGCGTGGTCCCATGGTGTTTATACTTGCATACTATTGTTTGTACAGATGAACGTGGTACCTTCAGGCGTTTGGAAATTGCTCCCAAGGATGAACCAGACTGAACCAGACCATTTTTTTCTGAGGTCTTGGCTGATTTCTTTTGATTTTCCCATGATGTCAAGCAAAGAGGCACTGAGTTTGAAGGTAGGCCTTGAAATACATCCACAGGACTCAAATGATGTCAATTAGCCTATCAGAAGCTTCTAAAGCCATGACATCATTTTCTGGAATTTTCCAAGCCGTTTAAAAGCACAGTCAACTTAGTGTATGTAAACTTCTGACCCACTGGAATTGTGATACAGTGAATTATAGGTGAAATAATCTGTCTGTAAACAATTGTTGGAAAAATTACTTGTGTCATGCACAAAGTAGATGTCCTAACCGACTTGCCAAAACTATAGTTTGTTAACAAGAAATGTGTGGAGTGGTTGAAAAACGAGTTTTAATGACTCCAACCTAAGTGTATGTAAACTTGCGACTTCAACTGTAGGTGCCATTTCAAATGGACATGGTGTTCTAAGTAGGTACCGTTTTAGGTGCACCAGTATGATGGGCGGGACCTTCCAGATCTCCAGTTTCTTGATGGAGTCTCTGAGAGCTTTACAGTGTCGACAGAACACCTTGTTGTTGTCGGTCAGCTTCTCCTCTTTAGAAAACAGCTTCAGACAGTCCTGGAACACAGTAAAACATGGTTAGATTAGACAGCTTCAGACAGTCCTGGAACACAGTAAAACATGGTTAGATTAGACAGCTTCAGACAGTCCTGGAACACAGTAAGACATGGTTAGATTAGACAGCTTCAGACAGTCCTGGAACACAGTAAAACATGGTTAGATTAGACAGCTTCAGACAGTCCTGGAACACAGTAAAACATGGTTAGATTAGACAGCTTCAGACAGTCCTGGAACACAGTAAAACATGGTTAGATTAGACAGCTTCAGACAGTCCTGGAACACAGTAAAACATGGTTAGATTAGACAGCTTCAGACAGTCCTGGAACACAGTAAAACATGGTTAGATTAGACAGCTTCAGACAGTCCTGGAACACAGTAAAACATGGTTAGATTAGACAGCTTCAGACAGTCCTGGAACACAGTAAAACATGGTTAGATATATATATATATATATATATGTGTGTGTGTGAGAGTGAGTGAGTGAGTGAGTGAGTGAGTGAGAGTGAGAGAGTGAGAGAGTGAATAAGGAATAGTTTCACCATATTAAAACAAGAGTTCAGTTCATGTAATAGGTTTGACCTTAAAATGAGGGACAGACATTTCATGGTATTAGATTAATCACATAAAATTAATAATATTAATAATCTTCAAAGCAATAAAATAAATGTTGGGGTTTAATGGGTTAAAATTCAAAATGCTAAATTTCGGCATTTAGCTAGTCTTTATTCATATAAACAAAAATGTATTTATTGAATTTTCCATATGGGCACTTAATTTAATATAACAGGCTTTTAAAATGCAATATTTCTGCCCAATTTCTACTTAAAATATCAAAGGGACAGAAAAGGTCCTCATCTGGTGGAACGACCCGTATGTGTCCACGTGTGTCGTCTTACCTGCAGGGAGCACTTGTTGGTCGAGGCCAGCGGCAGGGTCAGGTACATGAAGGTCTCGAAGGTGCGTGACTTCTTGTGGCAGGTGAGACACTGAACAGTGCTCTTAAACTGTCCCTGGAACAGCGCTACGATGACAGACTCGTTGAGCATCTTGTGTTTGCTCCAGGCCTGGTCAGCAGCCCGCTGGTCATCCAGATCATCATTGTCCTCCTCCGTGTAGCGCTTACGGTTATCAGCCTTCAGAGGGAGGACAGGTCAATACAACATGCAGAGACAGAGAGAGAGAGAGAGAGAGAGAGCGAGAGAGAGCGAGACAGAGAGAGAGAGAGCGAGACAGAGAGAGAGAGAGAGCGAGACAGAGAGAGAGAGAGACAGAGACACAGACAGAGAGACAGACAGAGAGCGAGACAGAGAGAGAGCGAGACCGAGAGAGAGAGAGAGAGACAGAGAGAGAGACAGAGAGAGAGACAGAGAGAGAGAGAGAGACAGAGACAGAGAGAGAGAGAGAGAGACAGAGAGAGACAGAGAGAGAGACAGAGAGAGAGAGACAGAGAGATAGACAGAGACAGAGAGAGAGACAGAGAGACAGAGAGAGAGAGAGAGACAGAGAGAGAGAGAGAGACAGAGAGAGAGACAGAGAGAGAGAGAGAGACAGAGAGAGAGACAGAGAGAGAGAGAGAGACAGAGAGAGAGACAGAGAGAGAGAGAGAGAGAGACAGAGAGAGAGACAGAGAGAGAGACAGAGAGAGACAAAGTCTAGACTATCAGCTTCACTCATGTCCGGTACGGTATGGTGGGGGAGAGGTTCAACAGGCACATGAGTTAATTAACTAATTAATATTACATTAATTAGTGTTGATGTGGAGACAGACGGAGTGTGCGTCCTAAATAGCACCCTATTCCTGCTATAGTGCACTACTTTTCACCAGAGCCCCCATAGGGAACCATTTGGGACGCAGTCAGGGTGGTCTGGGGCTGGGCAAGGCTGATGATGTCACAGACACATCCACAGGTCACACGGCAGGATATGATGTCATGAGATGAGCACACTACAAAGGGCCCTGTTCCAATTCAGTCCCTAACCCCTTCCCCTTCTGGAGTATGAAGGGGGGGGGGGGGGGGGGGGGGGGGGGTAGGTGCTAGGGGTCTCCTCCCCCTTCCTCTTCTCTCACTAAATCTCCTCTTCTCTCTCACTCCATCTCCTCTTCTCACTCCATCTCCTCTTCTCTCTCCATTTCTCACTCCAGCTCCTCTTCTCCCTCTCTATTTCTCACTCTCTCACACCATCTCTTCTTCGCTCTCATTTTCTCACTACCCACACTTATCCCTCTATCCATCTTTCTTTCCTCCATCATTAACATTAACTCGTGAAGACGGTACAGGACAGGGACAGGTCCTTCTGTCTCTAGCACATTAACTCCTGTAGACCATGAAGACGGTACAGGACAGGGACAGGACAGGTCCTTCTGTCTCTAGAACATTAACTCCTGTAGACCATGAAGACGGTACAGGACCAGGACAGGACAGGTCCTTCTGTCTCTAGAACATTAACTCCTGTAGACCATGAAGACGGTACAGGACCAGGACAGGACAGGTCCTTCTGTCTCTAGCACATTAACTCCTGTAGACCATGAAGACGGTACAGGACCAGGACAGGACAGGTCCTTCTGTCTCTAGCACATTAACTCCTGTAGACCATGAAGACGGTACAGGACAGGGACAGGACAGGTCCTTCTGTCTCTAGCACATTAACTCCTGTAGACCATGAAGACGGTATAGGACCAGGACAGGTCCTTCTGTCTCTAGCACATTAACTCCTGTAGACCATGAAGACGGTACAGGACAGGGACAGGACAGGTCCTTCTGTCTCTAGCACATTAACTCCTGTAGACCATGAAGACGGTATAGGACCAGGACAGGTCCTTCTGTCTCTAGCACATTAACTCCTGTAGACCATGAAGACGGTACAGGACCAGGACAGGACAGGCCCTTCTGTCTCTAGAACATTAACTCCTGTAGACCATGAAGACGGTACAGGACAGGGACAGGACAGGCCCTTCTGTCTCTAGAACATTAACTCCTGTAGACCATGAAGACGGTACAAGACCAGGACAGGACAGGTCCTTCTGTCTCTAGAACATTAACTCCTGTAGACCATGAAGACGGTACAGGACAGGGACAGGACAGGTCCTTCTGTCTCTAGCACATTAACTCCTGTAGACCATGAAGACGGTACAGGACAGGGACAGGACAGGTCCTTCTGTCTCTAGCACATTAACTCCTGTAGACCATGAAGACGGTACAGGACAGGGACAGGACAGGTCCTTCTGTCTCTAGCACATTAACTCCTGTAGACCATGAAGACGGTATAGGACCAGGACAGGTCCTTCTGTCTCTAGCACATTAACTCCTGTAGACCATGAAGACGGTACAGGACAGGGACAGGACAGGTCCTTCTGTCTCTAGCACATTACAGTGGGGGAAAAAAGTATTTAGTCAGCCACCAATTGTGCAAGTTCTCCCACTTAAAAAGATGAGAGAGGCCTGTAATTCCAGAAAATCACATTGTAGGATTTTTTATGAATTTATTAGCAAATTATGGTGGAAAATAAGTATTTGGTCAATAACAAAAGTTTCTCAATACTTTGTTATATACCCTTTGTTGGCAATGACACAGGTCAAACGTTTTCTGTAAGTCTTCACAAGGTTTTCACACACTGTTGCTGGTATTTTGGCCCATTCCTCCATGCAGATCTCCTCTAGAGCAGTGATGTTTTGGGGCTGTCACTGGGCAACACGGACTTTCAACTCCCTCCAAAGATTTTCTATGGGGTTGAGATCTGGAGACTGGCTAGGCCACTCCAGGACCTTGAAATGCTTCTTACGAAGCCACTCCTTCGTTGCCCGGGCGGTGTGTTTGGGATCATTGTCATGCTGAAAGACCCAGCCACGTTTCATCTTCAATGCCCTTGCTGATGGAAGGAGGTTTTCACTCAAAATCTCACGATACATGGCCCCATTCATTCTTTCCTTTACACGGATCAGTCGTCCTGGTCCCTTTGCAGAAAAACAGCCCCAAAGCATGATGTTTCCACCCCCATGCTTCACAGTAGGTATGGTGTTCTTTGGATGCAACTCAGCATTCTTTGTCCTCCAAACACGACGAGTTGAGTTTTTACAAAAAAGTTCTATTTTGGTTTCATCTGACCATATGACATTCTCCCAATCCTCTTCTGGATCATCCAAATGCACTCTAGCAAACTTCAGACGGGCCTGGACATGTACTGGCTTAAGCAGGGGGACACGTCTGGCACTGCAGGATTTGAGTCCCTGGCGGCGTAGTGTGTTACTGATGGTAGGCTTTGTTACTTTGGTCCCAGCTCTCTGCAGGTCATTCACTAGGTCCCCCTGTGTGGTTCTGGGATTTTTGCTCACCATTCTTGTGATCATTTTGACCCCACGGGGTGAGATCTTGCGTGGAGCCCCAGATCGAGGGAGATTATCAGTGGTCTTGTATGTCTTCCATTTCCTAATAATTGCTCCCACAGTTGATTTCTTCAAACCAAACTGCTTACCTATTGCAGATTCAGTCTTCCCAGCCTGGTGCAGGTCTACAATTTTGTTTCTGGTGTCCTTTGACAGCTCTTTGGTCTTGGCCATAGTGGAGTTTGGAGTGTGACTGTTTGAGGTTGTGGACAGGTGTCTTTTATACTGATAACAAGTTCAAACAGGTGCCATTAATACAGGTAACGAGTGGAGGACAGAGGAGCCTATTAAAGAAGAAGTTACAGGTCTGTGAGAGCCAGAAATCTTGCTTGTTTGTAGGTGACAAAATACTTATTTTCCACCATAATTTGCAAATAAATTCATTAAAAATCCTACAATGTGATTTTCTGGATTTCTTTCTCTCAATTTGTCTGTCATAGTTGACGTGTACCTATGATGAAAATTACAGGCCTCTCTCATCTTTTTAAGTGGGAGAACTTGCACAATTGGTGGCTGACTAAATACTGTTTCCCCCACTGTAACCTGTAGACCATGAAGACGGTACAGGACCAGGACAGGACCGGTCCTTCTGTCTCTAGCACATTAACTCCTGTAAACCATGAAGACGGTATAGGACAGGGTCAGAACAGGACAGGTGATGAAGCATGTTCTGGTTCACATGCAAAAGGGTTCTGACTGACACAGCATCAAACTGGACAGATGCAAACACAAAACCGACACCATCCCTCCCCCGACATACGAGGCAACACACACAGCTTCAGGACAGACGAGACACAACAGACGTACTTACTCTCTAATTTTCCCATCAAAATGAAACCCAAAAACAGAGAGATTAGAAATTGATAATAAAATGTGGTCAAGTGAATGAACATCAATACAACTAGCCTCAATACAAGTCCCTTCACCTTTAACCATTTTAAAGCTAAACCAGTGCTGTGCTCAAAAAGTGTTTTATATCCAAAGATAGAATGTGCTTCTCTATTTCCAACTGATCAGAAACTGCACTGACATCTCCATAAATTACAAGTTAACTTTAATAATATTATATATGCCATTTGGCATACGTTTTTATCCAAAGCGACTTACAGTCATCCGTGCATTAAATTGTACGTATGGGTGGTCCCGGGAATCGCACCTATGATCCTGGCGTTGCAAGCGCCATGCTCTCCCAACTGAGCTACAGAGGAGCACTTTGCAGTACAATTACTACTGTAGTCAACCCCAGCTGAGCTTTAACTAGGCATATTTGACTAACAACTCTTGCAGGAGGGAGTTCTCATTGTTCCATTCCAGAATTCTACACCATTACGTAACTTTTGGAGGCACTAGGTAATCTTCAAAACTATTTTCTTTCTTTCAATCAATGACCTTCCTTTTTCTCCTGCTCGCTCTCCAGTCTCCCTACCTTGTTGAGGTCCTCGTGCAGTCCGTCCATTAGGAACAGCAGTAGCTCCTGGGAGTCCTGCTGTTCAAAGCCAGAGAACGATTCATTGATCTTCCCTATGGTGATCTTAAAGTCGCGGGGGCTGATAAACTTATACAGGCCCGACCACAGAGCCTTCATGATCACACCAAACTCCTCCGCTACCTCGCCCCTATGACCCAGGATATTAGCCCTGTCGGGGGGGAGAGGGTGGCAGAGAGAGAGAGAGAGAGGGGGTGGCAGAGAGAGAGGGTGGCAGAGAGAGGGGTGGCAGAGAGAGAGAGAGAGAGAGGGTGGCAGAGAGAGAGAGAGAGAGAGGGTGGCAGAGAGAGAGGGTGGCAGAGAGAGGGGGTGGCAGAGAGAGAGAGAGAGAGAGGGTGGCAGAGAGAGAGAGAGAGATCTTTTTAAATATAATTTTTTTTTAAGCAGACGCTTTTATCCAAAGCGACTTACAGTCATGTGTGCATACATTTTTACGTATGGGTGGTCCCGGGGATCGAACCCACTACCCTGGCGTTACAAGCGCCGTGCTCTACCAATTGAGCTACAGAGGACTTATCTTATCTTGGTAGTCATTTTTGTTGAAGTGGTATTAATACATTATCAATAGAACTACATTATCATCTGACTGATCTGTTGATATCCTCCTGATAGTAGTTCTTGTTGAAGTAGTCAGCCATGGCGGGGTTGTCACATTATAATCACTACATTATCATTACTACATTATCATTACCACTACATGACTGACCTGTTGATATCCTCCTGATAGTAGTTCTTGTTGAAGTAGTCAGCCATGGCCGGGTTGTTACATGATAATCACTACATTATCATTACTACATTATCATTACCACTACATGACTGACCTGTTGATATCCTCCTGATAGTAGTTCTTGTTGAAGTAGTCGACCATGGCCGGGGTGTTGCAGAGACACTGCAGGATGGAGTTCATGTAGCAGGTGTTGCCTAGGTTACGCAGGCCGGTGAGCGACGCGCCCAGACCGCCGAACACAGGGTTCAGGTTACGGATCTTAGCCGCAGACGGACGGGCAATCTCCACCTTGGCATAGACGTTAGCAGTGGGGGGTCTGGGAGAGGTATGGCAGTGAGAAGTTAGAAACAGTACAGTCAAATACACCGTATTATAAAGCAGATAGCTAATGGGATTTAATCAACTTTCATCTAGAAATGTGAATTAAATACTTACGTGTTTCAAACATGTTAAATCAAGTTCTGTCATAATCCAATAGTATTTTTTTAATCATATCCATGAATCCAAATTATCTAGATACATTGAAATGCAATTTAGTCCAAGGGTTATTTTATCTGAGTGTAAATCCTAAAGTCACGTTTCCCCAGACTCAGATGAAGTGTAGTCCAGGGGGTGTATTGATAGTCCAGGGGTGTATTGATTAGTCGGATTTCGTTGCAAAACATTTTGCTACGGAAACTGTTACTATTGGACAAATTCAGCTAGGTCCCTCCCCGTTTCGTTCCGTTTTTTTCTCTGTTGGCTTTCGTTTGGTTCCTAGAGTAAACGGTAAACGGTTTCCGTTGCGAAACGTTTCGCAACAGACAAAACATTTTGCAACGGAATCCAACTAATGAATACACCCCAGGATTTAAAAACATTCTTAGTGGAGATTAGTGAAAAATAGCTTCTTAGTCCAGGACTAGGCTTAATCTGAGTGAGTGAAACCTATATATTGACGAGGCCCATCCATGTGATGATGATGTCACCTACTTGGTCTCCCTGTTAAAGGTTGGGGCAGCAGTTATGGGGGCGGTAACCTTCTTTAGCCCCTCCTCCCTCAGGTCCTGGGTGATGTCTGGAGAGGAGTAGGAGCGTTTCAGTTTGGACTGCTCCTGGTCGCGGTCCATGGTCTTGTCTGGCTCAGCGGGGCGGGGCTGCTTGTGTTTGGCCGTAGGGGGGGTGGAGGGGGGCGTCTGGGGCACGCTGACCTCAGGGGGGTAGAGGTGCACCCGGTTGGTTGGGGAATGGTAGTAACGGTAGGTACCGGTTACCGTGTCTAAGAACTGGTGGAAAGAGGATAGAGGGGAGGTTTTTTTCCTTTCTCCAATTTTCTTTTTCCTCACAATGATGGTTGTGTGTGAAAACACTCTCCATTGTATTTGCGTGCAATGTAGTTATCCATTTACGCTGATAGAATATGTCCACTTCAATGCTTTCCCCTTGCTGGCTACTTAGCAGTTCTCTTTGAACATCAAGAAACGATGGGTTAAATAGTTTGATGTGTCAGTTTAGTGTTTGTTTGTTTACCTTCATCCAGCCGACAGGCAGGCCTGGTACACGTCTACCCATCTCCTCACTCCTGGCTCTGGTCAGGAGCTCACGCTGTGGGACAACAGACACGTTACACACAACACATACATGTTACACACACACACACATATTACATACACGTTACACACACAGCGTACAGCCAATGTAAGGAGAATTCTGCCCAGTCAAAGGGGGGGGGGGTAGCTAGCAGTAGTATTTCAATGCAGGGTTCTTCTGTTGCTTCACTAGAATGTTCTGGGCAGGCGATGGTAGAAGAACAAAAAAATGAACTTGCAAACTCGGGGTCAAAACGTCCCAAGTGCCGTTTTGTGTCCCACAATTTCCAAGCGGTCGTGAACATGCACTCTGGATGCGGAAATAAAAATACCACTGAAGCTTTTTATAAAAACAACATCATGCCATGATGAGCAACACGTTGGGTTGTTTTGAGTGTTGATTATATACCTTGGGTATGTCATAGTCATCAGCTGTTCTGTGGTTTAATATCCCAGTCTGATAGCTCCTCCTCTTTACAGCACTACTAAGCTTCATGGGGGAGGGGGCCTGGGGGTTGGGAGGGAGGGACACAACACAGCTCACATCATTTGACTACGCAGATCAAGCTATATGGGTATCGGTGAGATTGAATTGGCTGTATATTAGGACAGTCGTTCTCCAACCTCTCCTCAGGAACCCCCAGACGTTTCACAAGTGTATTGTAGCCCTGAACTATCTCAGCTGATTCACCTAGTCAAGGGCTTGATGATCGATTCACCTAGTCAAGGGCTTGATGATTGATTCACCTAGTCAAGGGCTTGATGATTGATTCACCTAGTCAAGGGCTTGATGATTGATTCACCTAGTCAAGGGCTTGATGATTGATTCACCTAGTCAAGGGCTTGATGATTGATTCACCTAGTCAAGGGCTTGATGATTGATTCAACTTGTCAAGGGCTTGATGATTGATTCACCTAGTCAAGGGCTTGATGATTGATTCACCTAGTCAAGGGCTTGATGATTGATTCACCTAGTCAAGGGCTTGATGATTGATTCACCTAGTCAAGGGCTTGATGATTAGTTGACCAGTTGAATCAGGTGTGCTGGCTCTGGAATAGATCAAATCCATGGAACGGCTGGGGGTCCCAGAGGAGAGGTTTGGACTGGCTGGGGGTCCCCGAGGAGAGGTTTGGAACGGCTGGGGGTCCCCAAGGAGAGGTTTGGAACGGCTGGGGGTCCCCGAGGAGAGGTTTGGACCAGCTGGGGGTCCCCGAGGAGAGGTTTGGACCAGCTGGGGGTCCCCAAGGAGAGGTTTGGAACGGCTGGGGGTCCCCGAGGAGAGGTTTGGAACGGCTGGGGGTCCCCAAGGAGAGGTTTGGAACGGCTGGGGGTCCCCGAGGAGAGGTTTGGACCAGCTGGGGGTCCCCAAGGAGAGGTTTGGACCAGCTGGGGGTCCCCAAGGAGAGGTTTGGACCAGCTGGGGGTCCCCGAGGAGAGGTTTGGACCAGCTGGGGGTCCCCAAGGAGAGGTTTGGAACGGCTGGGGGTCGCAGAGGAGAGGTTTGGAACGGCTGGGGGTCGCAGAGGAGAGGTTTGGAACGGCTGGGGGTCGCAGAGGAGAGGTTTGGAACGGCTGGGGGTCGCAGAGGAGAGGTTTGGAACGGCTGGGGGTCGCAGAGGAGAGTTTTGGAACGGCTGGGGGTCCCCAAGGAGAGGTTTGGAACGGCTGGGGGTCCCCGAGGAGAGGTTTGGACCAGCTGGGGGTCCCCGAGGAGAGGTTTGGACCAGCTGGGGGTCCCCAAGGAGAGGTTTGGAACGGCTGGGGGTCCCCGAGGAGAGGTTTGGAACGGCTGGGGGTCCCCAAGGAGAGGTTTGGAACGGCTGGGGGTCCCCGAGGAGAGGTTTGGACCAGCTGGGGGTCCCCAAGGAGAGGTTTGGACCAGCTGGGGGTCCCCAAGGAGAGGTTTGGACCAGCTGGGGGTCCCCGAGGAGAGGTTTGGACCAGCTGGGGGTCCCCAAGGAGAGGTTTGGAACGGCTGGGGGTCGCAGAGGAGAGGTTTGGAACGGCTGGGGGTCGCAGAGGAGAGGTTTGGAACGGCTGGGGGTCGCAGAGGAGAGGTTTGGAACGGCTGGGGGTCGCAGAGGAGAGGTTTGGAACGGCTGGGGGTCGCAGAGGAGAGTTTTGGAACGGCTGGGGGTCGCAGAGGAGAGTTTTGGAACGGCTGGGGGTCGCAGAGGAGAGTTTTGGACCGGCTGGGGGTCCCCGAGGAGAGGTTTGGACCGGCTGGGGGTCGCAGAGGAGAGGTTTGGAACGGCTGGGGGTCGCAGAGGAGAGTTTTGGACCGGCTGGGGGTCGCAGAGGAGAGGTTTGGACCGGCTGGGGGTCGCAGAGGAGAGTTTTGAGAACCAATGTAGTAGGATATGGGTTGCACATGGGATGGGCTTATCAAATGTCCGCTGGTCATTGGGGACAGACGACTTATTAACTGGTGGCTATTGGATAGTATTAACTTCTGGTTGTTATCAGACGGGTGAGGTGGATGGCTATTGGATAGTATTAACTTCTGGATATTATCAGACGGGTGAGGTGGATGGCTATTGGATAGTATTAACTTCTGGATATTATCAGACGGGTGAGATGGATGGCTATTGGATAGTATTAACTTCTGGATATTATCAGACGGGTGAGGTGGATGGCTATTGGATAGTATTAACTTCTGGATATTATCAGACGGGTGAGATGGATGGCTATTGGATAGTATTAACTTCTGGATGTTATCAGACGGGTGAGGTGGATGGCTATTGGATAGTATTAACTTCTGGATATTATCAGACGGGTGAGGTGGATGGCTAATGGATAGTATTAACTTCTGGATATTATCAGACGGGTGAGATGGATGGCTATTGGATAGTATTCACTTCTGGATATTATCAGACGGGTGAGATGGATGGCTATTGGATAGTATTAACTTCTGGATATTATCAGACGGGTGAGATGGATGGCTATTGGATAGTATTAACTTCTGGATATTATCAGACGGGTGAGATGGATGGCTATTGGATAGTATTAACTTCTGGATATTATCAGACGGGTGAGGTGGATGGCTAATGGATAGTATTAACTTCTGGATATTATCAGACGGGTGAGATGGATGGCTATTGGATAGTATTAACTTCTGGATATTATCAGACGGGTGAGGTGGATGGCTAATGGATAGTATTAACTTCTGGATATTATCAGACGGGTGAGATGGATGGCTATTGGATAGTATTAACTTCTGGATATTATCAGACGGGTGAGGTGGATGGCTAATGGATAGTATTAACTTCTGGATATTATCAGACGGGTGAGATGGATGGCTATTGGATAGTATTAACTTCTGGATATTATCAGACGGGTGAGGTGGATGGCTAATGGATAGTATTAACTTCTGGATATTATCAGACGGGTGAGGTGGATGGCTAATGGATAGTATTAACTTCTGGTTGTTATCAGACGGGTGAGATGGATGGCTATTGGATAGTATTAACTTCTGGATGGATGGATGGGGTTTATATTAAGAGATGGGTTGGATATGGGCTTATTGGTGTTGGGCTGGAAAGGTACAGTAGTGACTGGGAGAAAAGGTACAGTAGTGACTGGGAGAAAAGGTACAGTAGTGACTGGGAGAAAAGGTACAGTAGTGACTGGGAGAAATGGTTAGATGCTTAGCGTTTTTTTAGCATCACAGAAACACACAGACACACTGCCACAGACAGACAGACAGACAGAAAGACACACTGCCACAGACAGACAGACACACTGCCACAGACAGACTGCCAGACAGACAGAATGCCAGACAGACTGCCACAGACAGACTGCCAGACAGACAGACAGACAGACACACACACTACCACAGTGTACATCACTTGGGTCAAGCTTCCTGCCATCCAGGACCTCTATACCAGGCGGTGTCAGAGGAAGGCCCTAAAAATTGTCAAACACTCCAGCCACCCTAGTCATAGACTGTTCTCTCTGCTACCGCACGGCAAGCGGTACCGGAGCGCCAAGTCTAGGTCCAAAAGGCTTCTTAACAGCTTCTACACCCACGCCATAAGACTCCTGAACAGCTAATCATGGCTACCCAGACAATTTGCACTGCCCCCCCCCCCTCCCTCCCTCCCCCCCTCTCTCTCTCTTTTTACGCTGCTGCTACTCTGTTTATTATTTATGCATAGTCACTTTAACTCTACCCACATGTACATATTACCTCAATTACCTCGACTAACCGGTGCCCCCGCACATTGACTCTGTACCGGTAACTCCTGTATATAGCCTCCCTACTATTACTTTATTTTACTGCTGCTCTTTAACTATTTGCTATTTTTAATTTTTTACTTAACACTTTGTTTTTCTTTTCTTAAAAACCGCATTGTTGGTTAAGGGCTTGTAAGTAAGCATTTCACTGTAAGGTCTACACCTGTTGTATCCGGCGCATGTGGCAAATAACATTTGATTTGATCTCCAAAAGTCCTTAAAGTTGGTGGAGTTGGTGCCTCTAGGGCAATTCAGGCAGATGTTAGAGGGCCTTTTAACTGAAGAATGTGGTGTTCTCAAACGATTGGGTTTTGCTTTTCGTGTTTGCTTTTATGTACAGTGCATTCGTAAAGTATTCAGACCCCTTGACTTTTTCCATTTTGTTACTTTACAGCCTTATTCTAAAATGGATTCAATTGTTTTTTCCCCTCATCAATCTACACACAATGCCCCATAACGACAAAGCAAAAACTGGTTTTTGACATTTTTGCAAATTTCTTGGGTATGACGCTACAAGCTTGGCACACCTGTATTTGGGGAGTTTCTCCCATTCTTCTCTGCAGATTCTCTCAAGCTCTGTCAGGTTGGATAGGGAGAGTTGCTGCACAGCTATTTTCAGAGATGTTCAAATCGGGTTCAAGTCCGGGCTCTGGCTGGGCCACTCAAAGACATTCAGAGACTTGTCCCGAAGCCACTCCTGTGTTGTCTTGGCTGTGTGCTTGGGGTCGTTGTCCTGTTGGAAGGTGAACCTCCACCCCAGTCTGAGGTCCTGAGCGCTCTGGGGCAGGTTTTCATCAAGGATCTCTCTGTACTTTGCTCCGTCCATCTTTCCCTCGATCCTGACTAGTCTCCCAGTCCCTGCCCCTGAAAAATATCCCCACAGCATGATGCTGCCACCACCATGCTTCACCGTAGGGATGGTGCCAGGTTTCCAAAGAGTTCAATCTTGGTTTCATCAGACCAGAGAATCTTGTTTCTCATGGTCTGAGAGTCCTTTAGGTGCCTTTTGGCAAACTCCAAGCGGGCTGTCATGTGCCTTTTACTGAGGAGTTGTTTCCATCTGGCCACTCCACCATAAAGGCCTGATTGGTGGAGTGCTGCAGAGATGGTTGTCCTTCTGGAAGGTTCTCCCTTCGCCACAGAGGAACTCTGGAGCTCTGTCAGAGTGGCCATTGGGTTCTTGGTCACCTCCCTGACCAAGGCCCTCCCCCGATTGCTCAGTTTGGCTGGGTGGCCAGCTCTACGAAGAGTCTTGGTGGATCCAAACTTCTTCCATTTAAGAATGACGGAGGCCACTATGTTCTTGGGGACCTTCAATGCTGCAGACATTTTTTTGGTACCCTTCCCCAGATCTGTGCCTCGACACAATCCTGTCTCGGAGCTCTACGGACAATTCCTTTCGACCTCATGGCTTGGTTTTTGCTCTGACATGCACTGTCAACTGTGGGACCTTATATAGACATGTATGTGCCTTTCCAAATCATGTCCAATCAATTGAATTTACCACAGGTGGACTCCAAGTTGTAGAAACATCTCAAGGATGATCAATGGAAACAGGATGCACCTGAGCTCAATTTCGAGTCTCATAGCAAAGGGTCTGAATACTTCTATAAATAAGGTATTTCTAAAAACCTGTTTTCGGTTTGTCATTATGTGGTATTGTGTGTAGATTGATGAGGACTTTTTTTATTTAATCCATTTTAGAATAAGGCTGCAACGTAACAAAATGGGAAAAGGTCAAGGGGTCTGAATACTTTCCGAATGCACTGTATAGTGTAATTGATGTGAATATAGTTGTGTATAGTGTATATGATGTGTATAGTGTAATTGATGTGTATAGTGTAATTGATGTGTATATAGATGTGTATAGTGTATATGGTGTGTATAGTGTAATTTATGTGTATATAGATGTGTATAGTGTAATTGATGTGTATAGTGTAATTGATGTTTATTGATTTGTTTGAAAGGTCGTCATTGTAAATAAGAATCTGTTCTTAACTGACTTACCTGTATTAATAAAGGTGACACTACCACAGACAGACAGACTAGATTCCCATTCTCCCAAAGTGTTCACTCCCCCTCATGGCTTTAAAAGGAATGGACTGGTGTGAGGGATATGGTGGAAACTCCCTCCTCCCATGCTTGCACCAATCCAATGCTTTGAAATGCTATGAGGGGGAGGGAACAACTTCTATGAGAAGGTTAGAGAATCGGAACGCAGCCACAGACAGAGAGGCAGACAGAGAGGCAGACAGAGAGGCAGACAGAGAGGCAGACAGAGAGGCAGACAGAGAGGCAGACAGAGAGGCAGACAGAGAGGCAGACAGAGAGGCAGACAGAGAGGCAGACAGAGAGGCAGACAGAGAGGCAGACAGAGAGCCAGACAGAGAGTCAGACAGAGAGTCAGACAGAGAGTCAGACAGAGAGTCAGACAGAGAGCCAGACAGAGAGGCAGACAGAGAGGCAGACAGAGAGGCAGACAGAGAGGCAGACAGAGACACTGACCTTAATCTCAGTGACGATATGGTTGGGAGCTGGCGAGTCCAGAGAAGCACTCTTTGTCGGCGTATCCTCCCTCTCCCCCTTCTTCTCTCGCTCCTCCCCAACCCCGTTCTCCTTCTCCTTCCTCCTCTTCTCCTCCTCCTCCTCATTTTCCTTCTCAGGCCTCTCCTGGTCTTCTTTCTCCTGGTTTTCCCGCCGTTCCCTCTCTCTCCACTCCTCCTCGGTGCGGCGTTCCTGTTTGCGTTGTTCCTGCTCTCTCCGGGCCTTCTCCATCAGAGCAGCCGTCTCCGTGTGGATCTGACTGCGTTCCTCGTCCGTCAGCGGGACCGAAGGGTCAAAGGCCGGTTTGACCGAGCGGTTGGGTTGGGGTACAAACAGGCCATTCTGGGAGGAGGGGGGCAGGTCCCTTGGGAGGGCATCCAGGGGGGGTTTAGACCCGTCTGAGACCCTGACTGATGGCTTCTTGGTGCGGTCGATCTGGGGGAGAGAGGAAGACGAGGATGGGGAGGATTAAGGGTTTAATTCAACATTTGAAGAACAATAAATGGAAGTGGTGACAGTAACAGTCTTTCTTCACTATGACAACTAGGAAAAACCTAATTGTGGATTGCAGTCCTACCTTGTCCATAGACTGTTGACAGGGGAAGGAAACCAATGTCAGTTTGTAATTTAGGTCAACTATCCCTTTAATATATTTAAAGATAAATATTTTTTTATTTTTTTTATTTAACCTTTATTTAACCAGGTAAGCCAGTTGAGAACAAGTTCTCATTTACAACTGCGACCTGGCCAAGATAAAGCAAAGCAGTGCGATAAAAACAACAACAACAACAGAGGTACATGATAAAACAAACAAATACATGACCTCATGCAGTTACCTGTGGGATGTGCTTGGCTGTCCCTCCAGGCTGGCTGGTTGTGCCTGGTCCTGATCCAGGGCCCTTCTTGCTGTGGCCCACTCCAGGCTGAGTGGGCCCTGTGCGGGGTGAGTCTGTGGCGTCAGCCTCCATCCCTGTGGAGGGGGTCTCAGGGTGGGAGTGGGCCAGGTCCTCCGGGGGGGCACCGTTCACCTGTACGCTACCCAGGGAGGCAGGGGGGACCTGGGGTTCATGGTCCGGCTCGGGGGGAGGGGGGGATGGAGGTTTGGGCTCCTCCAGTGACGGGTAGCTGAAGTTCACTGCTCAACAGAAAACATGAACTGGTAATGTTACAATAACTATTACATTAACTACTACTGAGGTTACGGTTTAGCTCTCAAACCGAGTCCAATGGAGGACTACAAACCTACCCTGGGTTCATTTACACAAGGAGAAAAATGAGATCTCAAAAGTTAAACACCACGCTAACACGGAGCAGAGCTAACCGACACCCTGTGGGATCAATTCCATCAAACCCCCACTGCACCATGCTGAAGTAGCATATCAACTTCAAGGAAAGATCCACTCATTTTGAATGTTATATCCTATTTGTGCATCTCTGAGCGATGTTCTATCGATTGCTGGGGTCATGTTTTCATGTGTATCTGAGCTATTCACCGTTCAAGCAGGCAGCGTCATACCAGCTGTATTTCTGCCTGCTTGAACGGTGAATAGTTCAGAAATGAAATAAAATCATGTGTTTTGGGCACTGTGATGTGTTTGGGGTACAGACAGAAATGTGTGACTGTGGTACTCTGTGGGAGGGGGTTGTAGTTGTGTGTTCAGGGGGTTAGGGTGAGGGTTAAGGTTAAGGTTAGGTTAAGGGTTAAGGTTAAGTATAGGTTAGGGTTAAGGGGTACTCACTCTGTGGGAGGGTGTTGTAGTTGTGTGTTCGGGGGGTTAGGGTGAGGGTTAAGGTTAAGGTTAGGTTAAGGGTTAAGGTTAAGTATAGGTTAGGGTTAAGGGGTACTCACTCTGTGGGAGGGTGTTGTAGTTGTGTGTTCGGGGGGTTAGGGTGAGGGTTAAGGTTAGGGTAAGGGTTAAGGTTAGGGTTAAGGGGTACTCACTCTGTGGGAGGGTGTTGTAGTTGTGTGTTCGGGGGGTTAGGGTGAGGGTTAAGGTTAGGGTGAGGGTTAGGGTGAGGGTTAAGGTTAGGGTAAGGTTAGGGTAAGGTTAGGGTTAAGGGGTACTTACACTGTGGGAGGGTGTTGTAGTTGTGTGTTCGGGGCGGTCTGACTTTGGCGTTGGATGTGTACATCGGGTAGAAGAGGAGCCAGCTCTCATAGCCTCCCTCCAGGACCATGGGCTCACTACGCAGGATAGTGGCACTGTCCCACTGTGGAGCACACAGTACCTCAATGGAAAACACACTGACTGAGGAAACACACATTACCTCAATGGAAAACACACTGACTGAGGAAACACACATTACCTCAATGGAAAACACACTGACTGAGGAAACACACATTACCTCAATGGAAAACACACTGACTGAGGAAACACACATTACCTCAATGGAAAACACACTGACTGAGGAAACACACATTACCTCAATGGAAAACACACTGACTGAGGAAACACACATTACCTCAATGGAAAACACACTGACTGAGGAAACACACATTACCTCAATGGAAAACACACCGACTGAGGAAACACACATTACCTCAATGGAAAACACACTGACTGAGGAAACACACATTACCTCAATGGAAAACACACTGACTGAGGAAACACACATTACCTCAATGGAAAACACACTGACTGAGGAAACATCGCAGGGAACACACATTCCTATGGTATTTACCTTGTAGAGAGCATCTTTGAGGCTTTGTAAGGTGGTTCCCAGTTTGAGGTCAGTGACAGAGCTGAACCAGTCCAGCAGGATGATGTAATCTACAAACCCCCGTCTCTTCCACGTCTCTCTGGATGCATCAGGTAGATTGGCCTCTATCTGGTTCACTGTGATGCTGTGGGAACAGAGTAACAACATGTTAGCCTTTAGCAGGGGTTCACAACACACAGCCCGCTGGCTGAATGGCCCCAGAGAAGACAGCTTGTAGCCCCGATATACAAGGTCAGAGTGGAGACCTGGATCAACCATACATGTAACAACCCTCCCCCCAACTCCCTCCATCCATCCATCGCTCCCTCCGTACCCAGGGTTGATAGCCTCCTCTGGGACACTGATGACAGTCTGTGTGGGGACCTGGATCTGTGAGTCCTGGAAGTCTTGGAGGCAGCGAGCGTCCATCACAATGACCGTAATGGCCTGGTCCTTCATCATCTTGAACAACCCCTCTGCTGTGATCCCTCCTGCTGGCACTGCAGCTAGGGAGGGAGGGAGCGAGGTAGGGAGAGAGGGAGGACGGTACGGTGGTAGGGAGAGGGAGGGAGGTAGGGAGAGAGGGAAGGAGGGAGAGAGGTAGGGAGAGAGAGGGATGGAGAGATGGAGACATGGAGGGAGGGAGGGAGGACAGTACGGTGGTAGGGAGAGAGGTACGGCGGTAGGGAGAGAGGGAGAAATATGGAGAAATCAATAAACATCAGCACCAATCTGCTGTGTAAAACAACTTATACGCATGTCAAAACTTCAGATTACCTCAAATTCTCACAGCGCAAAAACTACTTTTTAAAAAGCCTCGTTTTTCAGTCAGTTTACTGGTCACCATCTTTACCTTTTGAAGGTCCATTTTTCAACTCCTTCTGCTCCTTCACCTGGGACACAGAACATTACAACTGAGATCACAGCGTCTTAAAATACCATCTCTCAACCACAATAACTGGTGCTGGCAGGGGTGGTGTAAACGTTCACCTCAATAACACACAGAACAGAAACATGCTTCACCAGGCTTTCACTAAACTGGGATCTGTTAAGGCGTCTTTCAGTTGTGACATCTAAAATGTATTTATATTCAACAGCTGAGCACATTACTGGAGTTAATTCAAGCTGATTACAATCTATTTAATACAGTGTAATAAACATTAACCTTTGGATCCAAACATTGTTTTTAAAGGAATAAATTGATCCACTTTCATCTGTGTCATCCGCACAGGAAAAGCACTCACACACACACACACACACACACACACACACACACGTGTGAACATACTCATTTCAGGTACGTGGGAATTATGAGATCATGAATTAACAGAAAAGATCAACCAGGACACCGCGTTTCCCAGTACCACTTGCTTCTGTATCGGCCTCTCAGCCTTGGGTCAGAAGCTTTTCTGTCCTCGTCATCATTCATCATTCAGGCACCTACCTTCTTGTTCTCTTTCCCTCCTTTTGGAGACGCCCGCCCTCCTCCTTTCTCCGTCCTGTCCTCCCTCCTTTTCCTCTCCTCTTGTCTCTCTTTCTCCTCAAGTTTTTTGCGAACCTCGACTTCCTCGTACCTTAACACACACACAGGAAAACAGAAACCGTGACCCGTAGAATCATTAGGCTTGACGGAGAGATTCTATAGCTTCAAAATCAACGTATCTCCGTCTTCGGCAAAAGTCAAATGGTCTTCTTCAACCATTCACGGGGTATTGAAGTTCAGCTAAAAACCTATGCCATCGGAATACCAGTTGATTTAGGTGACATTCAGTTACAAAGTGCACAAAGTGAATGTAATGTCTGTGAATGAATGACATCAACACAGAGGGCAAGGCACCAACCTGAGCTTAAGGCTTTCAGAGAGCTTCTCGGCTTCTTCTATGGCTTTTTTAAAGCTGGTGGGCCCCAGCATGGACAGGAAAAACTCCTTGGACAACAGAGAGAAAAGGTGCTTTCGATGGCAGCATTCTCAAGAACAACAGAAGCAGGCTAGCCTAAATCAATACATCGTGTCATTGCCAAACAGAATGAAATTTCACAAGTCAGTGAAATCAAGTACATTTACTTATTGATCGTTAACGTGTCACTTGCAACATCCACCTCACCTAAGAGAGTACAATTCTATCACCCGTCGGAAAATCAATAGTCAGTGCAGTAAGTTTATTCTTTGTATGGTTTGAACCCTCACTATGGCCAGTATCATAACAGTCCCGTGTGGGAGTGTTGCGCATAACTAGTTCTGCAGTCTCCAATCACACATAGCCCATGTCGGCACGGGGTCGAATCCCTCCTCACCCACTACTCCCTGTTCTCCCCTCCACCTGCTGTGTCCCCCATTACATTCCTACTGTCTGAAAAAATCATTAAATACGTGGGGAGATCGGAGCTCCCAGTCTCCTTTAAAATACATTGTATGACTTGAACCCTCTCGGTGGTCTGAGTAGCAAAACATGGGTGGTGTTCACTAGGCACCAAAATGGAAGAACAGGGAGGGTCTAACCTGAAGGTGTCTAGTAAGAAAGGTTTGTATTGGTTTAGCTACATCTTGGTACGGTGTGCGCTAATGGGCCATGGTTGGTACCTGTTGCTGCTTGAAGTCGGGCCTCTTCTTGATGAGATCATAGACTGTCAGGTATTTCATGTAGAGGACGTAGGACTTCTCCTCGTCTCCGTCCAGACGACACTCCTCCGCAGCCTTGAAAATCTTACAGGCACTCTGGACATAGCTGCAACACAGAATAGAACATCTTACATACACTCTTGTACATAGCTGCAACACAGAATAGAACATCTTACAGGCCCTCTGGACATAGCTGCAACACAGAATATAACATCTTACAGGCCCTCTGGACATAGCTGCAACACAGAATAGAACATCTTACATACACTCTTGGACATAGCTGCAACACAGAATAGAACATCTCACAGGCCCTCTGGACATAGCTGCAACACAGAATAGAACATCTTACAGGCACTCTGGACATAGCTGCAACACAGAATATAACATCTTACAGGCCCTCTGGACATAGCTGCAACACAGAATAGAACATCTCACAGGCCCTCTGGACATAGCTGCAACACAGAATAGAACATCTCACATACACTCTGGACATAGCTGCAACACAGAATAGAACATCTTACATACACTCTGGACATAGCTGCAACACAGAATAGAACATCTTACAGGCACTATGGACATAGCTGCAACACAGAATAGAACATCTTACAGGCCCTCTGGACATAGCTGCAACACAGAATAGAACATCTTACATACACTCTTGGACATAGCTGCAACACAGAATAGAACATCTTACAGGCCTCTGGACATAGCTGCAACACAGAATAGAACATCTTACAGGCACTCTGGACATAGCTGCAACACAGAATATAACATCTTACAGGCCCTCTGGACATAGCTGCAACACAGAATAGAACATTTACAGGCCCTCTGGACATAGCTGCAACACAGAATAGAACATCTTACAGGCCCTCTGGACATAGCTGCAACACAGAATAGAACATCTCACAGGCCCTCTGGACATAGCTGCAACACAGAATAGAACATCTCACATACACTCTGGACATAGCTGCAACACAGAATAGAACATCTTACATACACTCTGGACATAGCTGCAACACAGAATAGAACATCTTACAGGCACTATGGACATAGCTGCAACACAGAATATAACATCTTACAGGCCCTCTGGACATAGCTGCAACACAGAATAGAACATCTTACATACACTCTTGGACATAGCTGCAACACAGAATAGAACATCTTACAGGCCCTCTGGACATAGCTGCAACACAGAATAGAACATCTTACAGGCCCTCTGGACATAGCTGCAACACAGAATAGAACATCTTACATACACTCTTGGACATAGCTGCAACACAGAATAGAACATCTTACAGGCACTCTGGACATAGCTGCAACACAGAATAGAACATCTTACAGGCCCTCTGGACATAGCTGCAACACAGAATAGAACATCTTACAGACCCTCTGGACATAGCTGCAACACAGAATAGAACATCTTACATACACTCTGGACATAGCTGCAACACAGAAGAGAACATCTTACATACACTCTTGGACATAGCTGCAACACAGAATAGAACATCTCACAGGCCCTCTGGACATAGCTGCAACACAGAATAGAACATCTTACATACACTCTTGGACATAGCTGCAACACAGAATAGAACATCTTACATACACTCTTGGACATAGCTGCAACACAGAATAGAACATCTTACATACACTCTTGGACATAGCTGCAACACAGAATAGAACGAGTTAGGGAAACCCTTATTTAGACCACCAGTTTTCAGGTCATTATTTTAAAACAAAACTGCCATTTGAATGACATCCATGTCAGAACAATAGCCTACCTCCTGGTGTTGATTTTGTCAGGCTTGACTTCAGCTTTCTTGTTGAGGTCCCCCAGATTAGTAGAGAGGTACAAGCCCTTCACCCCACTGGACACTGCAGGCATCTTCAAATGGTGGGTTATATATCAAAAGATCACCAGCACTGTACAACGTTCACATATTCCAGTCCTCACATCTCTGGAAAGACAAAAAATTTTAATCAAATAGCTTTTATTATTATTATTACTAACCCCTTGCCTACCCCAGTCGTAGACGCCAACTACCTTTAGCTCCTATTGATGAAGAGCCCAGACGTTCGGTCTGAACGGTAACATGCATCGCTTGTGGTACACTTTTGGAAACTTAAGGAACATATATTTTTCATATCAGTGGAAAAAAAATATTTAAAAAAAACAAAAAAGGTTAAATTAGTACACACTTTTAAAGAGTTTGGGTTCCCACTCGGCCATTTCTCCATGTTACAGCGCATGTTTCCAGAAGACAGAGGCGACCACCTGTGCTAATTACCTATCTAGCATGCTCAGAACCTGTGTAACCTGTGTATGATGGACGAACGCCACCAGAAACACGTTGTAACTGAAAAATACTGTTGGTTGCAACTGTGATGAACCTGGTGGTCCTGGGCTGGGTTTCTACTAAACTAACATATGGATTTTTTTTAAAGATGGTCATGCCAAGGATCATTTAGCTATTTGATTTTGAACTAGTGACGACCCCTAGACAGCTGACTCCTGATTCACGGGGCGGCAGGTAGCTTAGTGGTTAAGAGCGTTGTGCCAGTTACCGAAAGGTTGCTGGTTCTAATCCCCGAGCCGACTAGGTGAAGAATCTGTCGATGTGCCCTTGAGCAAGGCACTTAACCCTAATTGCTTCTGTAAGTCGCTCTGGATAAGAGCGTCTGCTAAATGACTAAAATGTAAAAAAAATTTAAATGTAAATTTCAGGACCCCTGTAAGTACCCCAAAAATGATTTGATGAAACATTGAATTTGGCCTTACTGCTATTAGCCCATAGAAACACATTGAATAACAGATTCATAAATGGCAAAACAGATATTCGAAAAATCATAAAATGGAAGTATGTTGTTTTGAAGTGTCTGTGTCTGAGAGACATAAGTACGATCTGGACTTTTTGGGTATTTTTCTTTACAAACATTTAACCACTTTTTTTTTTGCACTAAAGTACTTCCATTCATGTTTTAACTGGTACCGGGCTGCCAACAGACACGTCTTGTGAGGCTTGTGGGCATCCTAGAGCAAAACAACCGACATGTACGCGTTTCAATGGTGGAGTCATGTGTGTGTAGCCTAAACTGTTTCGGACGCTACAGACAGAAGTTGGCAGATCAGCGGTACCGACTTCAGATGAGTCCCATGACTCTTGTGGGGGTCATAGAGCAAAACGGATTAGTTAGTCATATTATACTGAACAAACAAATAAATGCAACATGTAAAGTGTTGGTCCCATGTTACATGAGCTGAAATAAAAGATCCCAGAAATGTTCCATATACACAAAAAGCTTTTTCTCTAAAATGTTGTGCACAAATTTGTTTACATCCCTATTGGTGAACATTTCTCCTTTGCCAAGATAATCCATCCACCTGACAGGTGGGGATTATCAAGAAGCTGATTAAACAGCATGATCATTACACAGGTGCACCTTGCGCTGGGGACAATAAAAGGCCACTAAAATGTGCAGTTTTGAGGGAGTGTGCAATTGGCATGCTGACTGCAGGAATGTCCACCAGACCTGTTGCCAGAGAATTTATCAATCCTCCATATCTACAGAAATAAGACTGATCCTGCTTATTGTATTTTGTTTGTTTTTCTACCCCCTTTTTCTCCCCAATTTCGATCTTGTCTCATCGCTGCAACTCCCCCAACGGGATCGGGGGGGCGAAGGTCGAGTCATGCGTCCTCCGAAACATGACCCGCCAAACCGTGCTTCTTAACACCCGCCCGCTTAACCCGGAAGCCAGCCGCACCAATGTGTCGAAGGTAACACCATTCAACTGATGAACAACGAGTTGCTAGAGCACGATGAGCCAAGAAAAGCCCCCCTGGCCAATGAGAATGTTTTTAGTCTTTGCTGTAACAAAGGCTTTACAAAAAACATTACAACAGACTCTCTGGTATGCTTATAATTGATTTAGTGTTGTGTTACATGGTTCCAAACGGTCAGAAAAATATTGTAATCTAACAGCACCTGTTTGGTCCACATAATTTGCACGCAGCGCTTACTCCTTACCTTCTTTTTCTTGATCTCCAGTATTTTCCACAACTAGTCAAATGTATTCCACACATCTGACTTCCCCTTTACCTCCTGAGCAACCAGTAAACATTACCCTGTTTCCAGTTTATTTGTCATGTCCTCTGCATCAATTTTAATGTCACATGTGTTCGGAGTTTGTTATAACCAATTTATTGATGTGATTATGATATGCTATAGGTCAGGCCCTATTGATCACGTGCATGCGATGCATACATGTGTCACGTAAAGAGAGCAAGGGTTGAGGTAACAGAACTTTTCAGTCAGAAATGGCTGTCATTATGTTTCAGCAACATGGACAGCGTGATAAACACTGTTTAAGTTCTGTAGTGGTCAATGCAGCATGGAGAGAGAGACAGGCAATGGGTGCTAGTCACACAGTCACTCGCTGTCTTTTTTTTTTAAACACAGCAAGTCTGAGCACAATCAAATCAATTGCGGTCGGACTCCCTCTAGTCATTTGTTTGTCTTAATTATTTCATCAAACAGTGCGCTTAAAGCATCAGACAAGCTCAGTGCATATGGTTGATTTGATTAGAACACATAGGATGTGTCTATATATGGAAAAATACGTCGTAAAATGTAGACCAACCGATTGGTTGAAAGAACAGACGACTCTCGGTCGACCAAGTTTTTTTAAATGTCGGGGACAGCCCTAATGATAATGCATGGCCCCATGTCGCAAGGATCTCTACACAATTCCTGGAAGCTGAAAATGTCCCAGTTCTTCCATGACCTGCATACTCACCAGACATGTTACTCATTGAGCATGTTTGGGATGCTCTGGATCGACGTGTACGACAGCATGTTTCCGCCCATACGCAACAACTTCGCACAGCCATTGAAGAGGAATGGGACAACATTCCACAGGCCACAATCAACAGCCTGATCAAATCTATGCAAAGGAGATGTGTTGTGCTGCATGAGGCAAATGGTGGTCAGACCAGATACTGACTGGTTTTCTGATTCACGCCCCTACCTTTTTTTGTTTTTAAAGGTATCTGACACCAACAGATACATATCTATATTCCCAGTCATGTGAAATCCATAGATTAGGGCCTAATGAATTTATTTTAATTGACTGATTTCCTTATATGAACTGTAATTCAGTAAAAAAATAAAAAAATGGTTGCGTTTATATTTTTGTTTATTGTAGAACCTTGTCCAATAGGTTTTTGACGTTTTTGTTAGTAAGCAGTTGTAAGCGAATGGCCAAGCAAAGTACTGTATTGTGATTCGTATCCCTGCTGGTCAATTTCCAGTGTACTCGTGATTATCTTTGGCAGTTCCGCTGGAGTAATCCATCCGAGCAAGATGTAAACATGAACTGCGAATTTAGCAAGGCTTTCAAAAACGAAACCACAGATAATATCTTTGACGAAATTGTAAATATAATATATGTGACATTGGACTTGCTACTAGCTAGCACGTTCGCAAAACTGTAAATTAACAAGCCAGGTAGCTTTCCATACACACAAAAAGCTTATTTCTCTCAAATGTTTACCCAGGAAGTCCAGTAGCTAGCCTACCCCCCGTTTGTCAAGTTAGTTTGTTAGCAGGATAGCTAGCTTGTTAGCTAAGCTATGCTAGCTTTCACTGTAGTTGTTTATTCAAACAGGCTCTGTCAGCTCAAGGATGTTTAGCTATGTAACGACAGAGATATTATAACCGTAAATATAACGGCGAATAACCTCCGACAGTTATTGCAATGATGAGATAGCAAGTGAATACGTTTGAAAGGAGGAAATAATACAACTTACCATAACGTTGCACTGTTGTCTTGTTCAGCTTTTTCTAGACAGTGTTTTCCGCCAGTTACCACAGCCACAAAGTCAAAATTGGCTATATCGTAAAAGTTTATGAAAACAAAAATGTGCTTTTGGGGCTTGATTATAGATTAGTGTTAGGCGTAGGGTTAGCAGTGTGGTTATGGTTACGGTTAGGTTTACAATCACATTTTAAGAAGATACATTTTAGAAAAGGGCGGGGTTTATGACTTTGTGGCTGTGGTAACTAGTGACGGCCCCTAGACAGCTGACTCCTGATTCACGGAAGAACTCAAGGGGGCGTATTTGTTCAAAACGGCCAAGCTTTATCAACGATTAAAATACAACACTGCTAGAAAACACCAAACATTTGCTACGTGAGGCTTATTTGATCGAATAGAAGTTTCGTAATGGTTAAGTTGTTATGAATGCACTGATGTAAGTGGACGCGGCATTTCGGCCACTTTGTTATAAAAAAAAAAAACTACTTTCTATCAGAGTTATGATTGTTTTCTTAAGAGATAGATAGAGGACTCTAACCCGTTTTAGCATGGACATTGCTTGCATCATTTAAATATTGAACTGGGTGGGGACTCCTATGAGCTGGGAGCAATCAGCCATTGAAGAAGAAAATGGAGATGCCCGTGCTATCACATATGCTATGGCTACCTCTAACTTCTTTCATACTGGACACAGACATACAAATGTTATCCACGAGTTAATCTGACTCTGTGGAAGTAGATAAGGGACCTCATTGCCAGAATCCCGAAGTATCCCTTTAAGCTGCACAGCCAGTAATACACTCAAGCTCTGCTCATACATAAAACATCCTCCACTCAGGCTGCAATGGCATCGGTTTCTTACTTAACTGGCTTTACTGCCATGCTGCTAAACAGAAATGGGGGAAATATATATTATTTGCTACTTCCTGATGTTGGGGTGAGCGTTCAGTCACGGGTAAACAACAGACTGCTGTAACCTGCTTGGCGGAACGCGGAAAATAGTGTTTTATTAAGACAATAGCATATTTCCCAAAACAAAATCCGCCGGCACACCATTAAAGCTAGTTAAGGAGGAAACCGATGTATTTGCAGCCTGAATTGAGAATGTTTTATGTATGAGTAGGTCATGGGGGACACAGTGTTTTACCGGCTGTGCAGTTTAATGCAGGACTCCAATGGCAAATGACAAAAGAGGTAAGTAATAATAGCGCTTTCTGGTGGCAGGGCTAGTGTAAAAATACACCCCCCACACTGTCTGCAGCCATTCTACGAGAGAAGTAGGGTGCTTTATTTTGCCCCACTGGATGTGGAAGTTGGATCTCTTTCGGTTGTAAAAAAAAAAATGCTTCCACTTCCCCCGGAAGCTAGATCATTCTTGTGATTTCCTGTTAACAGGTTTTCAAAACTACGAACAAGTGCTAAGGCGCTAGCTATGTCTTTGTATAATGATTTTGCAGTTGAATTTATACCTCTTAAGACTAAAGCTCCCGATTTACTGGTAATTACGGATAAAGTGTTTACATGACATGATTTCCCACCGTTTTATAAGTCAGAACACAAACATTTTTAGGAATATATTATATAGTCATGCGTGACTCCCAACAAAATAAAATGGTGGCTGGGATCTTGGTTGAACAAGAGGGAGAAGTCTCTACACCCTGCGCAGTCGGTGCGCTGCAGAGTTGCGGGTTTGCATTATGGTTTGCATGCAAGCTCTCCTGCTGTCGAAGTGCTGTCTGTAGTGGATTCTCTATATTAGTCTATCTGCACATTCCTATCCAGTAGGCTAATAAAAGCCTAGTAAGCTAGGCTAGAAAGATTGACAAAAAAGAAGGAACAACATCTGGTTATTCCTTCTCAGATTTATTTTTGTTGCAACATAGGTCCTGTGTAGCTCAGTTGGTAGAGCATGGCGTTTGCAATGCCAGGGTTGTGGGTTCGATTCCCACGGGGGGGCCAGTATGAAAATGTATACTCACTAACTGTAAGTCGCTCTGGATAAGAGCGTCTGCTAAATTACTAAAATGTAAAAATATATAACAGCTTTTGTAGTGCACAAAATCCTTATAGGGATAGTTCAGGATTTTTAGCGTTATCGCAATGACTGGAAGTTTATTGTTATCTGCTAGCAGTCATTGTGCTAACGCTAGTTAGCATCGGCTCGCGAAACTACCTCTAACTTTCCTTCATACTGGACACAGACACATAAATATGGTATCCACAAGTTCATCTGACTCTGGGAAAGTACATAAAGGGCCTCAAAATCCCAAAGTATCCCTTTTTAAGTTCCATCACTGCTAGTATATTAATAAATATCCCATCCACTCCTTCACAACCCGGGTGCCTGCTGTGCTGTCTTTTCCACTGATCATTCTTTATGTAACAACATCTTTGGCTTTTAAACAAATTCATGTGAACTTTTTTTAAATTGACAAACATAACATTGTGTCCTATGTTATTCCAATAAGACTATTACATTGAATTACCAAATCACTAGTAACAAAGGAAGTTCATCCTCTCCTCAAAGTCCCTGGTTCCCCAATGCTCTCCCTCTCTGCCCAGGGTCCCACAGCGGAGGTGTTGGGTGGGGCAGCCTGAGCCAGCCTCCTCCCAGTCCAGGCCTGGTACTCCAGGGGTCCCCGTTCACCCACGGCCAGAAGCCACTGAAAAAGCATAGACCGGTCCACACATGGTCTGTCTGGGCCCCCTTTGAATTCATAATTATCTGGACCTGGAGCTGCTCATTCTCAGACAGCAGGCTGGTGAGGTCAGTGTAGTTCTCCCTGCAGTGCTCCAGAGCCTCCTCCCATGTCTTGTTCTCCTGCACCAGGACCACGTTCAGATCAAAGCACAATCAATTATTTTTCTGATTGCACAGCCCAGCAGCCATCTCACCCTGCCTCACACCGACACAGTCATCGTTGCCATGGTTAGTTAGACAGACTTTACTCCAAGACCTGAATGTTGAGTTCCACCCTCCAGACCACTTCCACTCTGTTGGGTCAACGCAACGGTATCTTTGTACAGACCGTTCCAAGCCAAAGGAACTGATGATATGTTAGAGGAGTTCTCTGCTTCCTCCTGGTTGCTGATGAAGGCCATGTCAGTTTAATGCTCTCTGCAGTACTGCTGAGCTTCTGGACTTGTATTATTTTATATAGTGGAACTGTTTGATCAGACCACAGGAGACCACTAAACAGTGTCTAAGGCCGCAGTGCCTACTACTTCGATTTCGAAGTTGACGTCGGCAACCCTCCATCCCTGCTCTGGATCGAGTGGGGCTTTTCCATCTGTCGGAGGCCTGCACCAGGCGCCGGGAGCAACGGGCTCAAGTTATCCTGCCTCTCGCCCGTCCATAAAGGGTTCTCCGAATCCTGTGAAGCGTGGGAGTTGCCGGATTTCCTCGTCCTTCTCATCAGCCGTGATTTTGGGCAGCTCCGTGGTAAGAAATGTGACCGTTCCTGGTGCAAAATCAATGTCCTATCCCGGAGCTTGAGTAAATGACATGGAAATCGATTCTATCGTAGTCCATGTGGGTTTTAATGACATTATAAAGGGCAGCTCTGAACAGTTGAAACTGGATTTTAAAGAGCTGATTGACTCTCTGCTAGACACTAAGAAAATACCCATCATATCTGGCCCTGTGCCCTCTCTGAATCGTGGCATTGAACGCTTTAGCAGGATTCTTTCTCTTCACAACTGGCTACATGATTATTGCAGCTCAATGGGTGTAACTTTTGTTGACAATTTCAATACCTTTTCGACACAAAACACATTTTCTAAGGAGGATGGGATCCACCCAAATCATTTGGGTTCCTGGATCCTTTCACAGCATTATAAGGCTGCGTTAAGACAATGACTTATCAATGACCCAAGCCCAGCTCAGCTAATCCCTACCATTGTGACGCAGAGTTGTCATAATGCTTCAGCAAATGTACATTACACCAGGGGCGTTGGTAGACACAATGTAAGTTACCTAATGTATATCCCTCTAACTGCCCTGAATGCCTCTGCTGATCCTACAGCTATTGTATGCAGTAATCATGTGCCTGTGAACCAGATTTATACTGTTAGCACTGAGCCGGTGTGCCCTAGGAGGATGTTCACTGTGTGCAGCTCACCCTGCACTAACATAAATAACATGAGCATATCTACTTCTGCTAAGCTTCCCAGTAAAGCAATGAAAACAAGTAAGCATCCCAGAAGAAAAGTGCTCAAAATAGCCCACGTTAACATATGTAGCTTAAGAAACAAGGTTCATGAAATCAATAATTTGCTAGTAACAGATTACATTCATATTCTGACTATCTCTGAAACTCACTTAGATAATACATTTGATGATACAGTGGTAGCAATACAAGGTTATAATATTTACAGAAAATATAGAAATGTCAATGGTGGAGGTGTTGCTGTTTATATTCAGAACCACATTCCTGTGAAGATTAGAGAGGATCTCATGTTAAATACTGTTGAAGTAATATGGCTACAGGTTCATCTGCCTCACCTAAAGCCCATTCTAGTGGGAAGCTGCTATAGCCCACCAAGTGCTAACAGTCAGTATCTGGATAACGTGTGAAATGCTTGATAATGTATGTGATATTAACAGAGAGGTATATTTTCTGGGTGATTTAAATATTGACTGGCTTTCATCAAGCTACCCACTCAAGAAAAAGCTTCAAACTGTAACCAGTGCCTGCAACCTGGTTCAGGTTATCAGTCATCCTACCAGGGTAGTTACAAACAGCACAGGAATGAAATCATCAACATGTATTGATCAAATCTTTACTAATGCTGCAGAAATTAGCTTGAAAGCAGTATCCAGATCCATCGGATGTATTGATCACAATATAGTAGCCATATCTAGGACAACCAAAGTTCCAAAGGCTGGGCCTAATATTGTGTATAAGAGGTTATACAATACGTTTTGTAGTGATTCCTATGTTGTTAATGTAAAGAATATTTGTTGGTCCGTGGTGTGTAATAAGGAGCAAACAGACGGTGCACTTGACACATTTATGAAATTGCTTATTCCAGTTACTAATAGGCATGTACCCATTAAGAAAATGAATGTAAAAACGGTTAAATCCCCGTGGATTGATGAGGAATTGAAAAATTGTGTGGTTGAGAGGGATGAGGCAAAAGGAATGGCAAATAAGTCTGGCTGCACAACCGATTGGCAAACGTACTGCAAATTGAGAAATCATGTGACTAAACTGAAAAAGAAAACTACACTATGAAACAAAGATAAATGACATAAAGAATTATAGTAAAACGCTTTGGAGCGCCTTAAATGAAATTTTTGGGAAAAAGGCAAACTCAGCTCCATCATTCATTGAATCAGATGGCTCATTCAACACAAAACCAACTGATATTGCCAACTACTTCCACTGAGTGTGGAAGAGGTGAAAAAAGTATTGTTGTCTATCAACAATGACTAGCCACCGGGGTCTGACAACTTGGATGGAAAATTACTGAGGATAATAACGGACGATATTGCCACTCCTATTTGCCATATCTTCAATTTAAGCCTACTAGAAAGTGTGTGCCCCCAGGCTTGGAGTGAAGCAAAAGTTATTCCCCTACCTAAGAATAGTAAAGCCCCCTTAACTGGCTCAAATAGCCGACCAATCAGCCTGTTACCAACCCTTAGTAAACTTTTGGAAAAAATGGTGTTTGACCAGATACAATGCTAATTTACAGCAAACAAATTGACAACAAACTTTCAGCATGCTTATAGGGAAGGACATTCAACAAGCACAGCATTTACACAAATGACTGATGATTGGCTGAGAGAAATTGATGATACAAATATTGTGGGGGCTGTTTTGTTAGACTTCAGTGCGGCTTTTGACATTATCGATCATAGTCTGTTGCTGGAAAAACTTATGTGTTATGCTTTACACCCCCTGCTATATTGTGGATAAAGAGTTACCTGTCTAACAGAACACAGAGGGTGTTCTTTAATGGAAGCCTCTCCAACATAATCCAGGTAGAATCAGGAATTCCCCAGGGAAGCTGTCTAGGCCCCTTACTTTTTCCAATCTTTACTAATGAGTAAAGCCGGTGTGTCTATGTATGCGGATGACTCAACACTATACATGTCAGCTACTACAGTGACTGAAATGACTGCAACACTTAACAAGGAGCTGCAGTTATTTTCAGAACGGGTGGCAAGGAATAAGTTAGTCCTAAATATTTCTAAAACTAAAAGCATTGTATTTGGGACAAATCATTCACTATAAACCCTAAAACTCAACTAAATCTTGTAATAAATAATGTGGAAATTGAGCATGTTGAGGTAACTAAACTGCTTGGAGTAACCCTGGATTGTAAACTGTCATGGTCAAAACATATTGATACAACAGTAGCTAAGATGGGGAGAAGTCTGTCCATAATTAGGCGCTACAATACCTTCTTAACAGCACTATCAACAAGGCAGGTCCTACAGGTCCTAGTTTTGTCGCACCTGGACTACTGTTCAGTTGTGTGGTCAGGTGCCACAAAAAGGGAGTTAGGAAAATTGCAATTGACTCAGAACAGGGCAGCACGGCTGGCCCTTGGATGTACACAGATAGCTAACATGAATAATATGCATGTCAATCTCTTCTGGCTCCAAGTGGAGGCGAGATTGACTTCATCACTACTTGTATTTATGAGAGGTATTGACATGTTGAATGCACCGATCTGTCTGTTTGAACTACTGGTGCACAGCTCGGTCACCCATTCATACCCCACAAGACATGCCACAAGAGGTCTCTTCACAGTCCCCAAGTCCAGAACTGACTATGGGAGGTGCACAGTACTACATAGAGCCATGACTACATGGAACTCTATTCCACATCAAGTAACTGATGCAAGCAGTAAAATCAGATTGAAAAAACAGATAAAAATACACCTTATGGAACAGCGGGGACTGTGAAGCAACACAAACATAGGCACAGACATAGACACATGCATACACACACACATGATAACATTCGCACTATACACACACGTACACATGGATTTTGTACTGTAGATATGTGGTAGTGGTGAAGTAGGGGCCTGAGGGCACACATTGTGTTGTGAAATCTGTGAATGTATTGTTTTAAAAACGGTATAAACTGCCTTAATTTTGCTGGACCCCAGGAAGAGTAGCTGCTGCCTTGTCAGGAACTAATCCATAATAAATACAAATCCACAGAGCAGTGATGAGGAGCCCAGTGAAGCTGCTCTTCCTCTGCATGATGCCTCAGTCACAGAGTTTATAAATCCAGAGGCGCAGCATCGCCAGACTTCCGGGAACGGTTGCGAAGCAGACACGCAGATCAGGCCCAGGTTTGGGGTTTGAGAAGTGAATTATTCTAAATTCTTCTTGAAATCTAAATGCACAACCTATACTGAACAAAAATATAAATGCAACATGTAAAGTGCTGGTCCCATGTTTCATGAGCTGAAATAAAATATCCCAGAAATGTTCCATACGCACAAAAAGCTTATTTCTGTCCCTGTTAGTGAGCATTTCTCATTTGCCAAGATAATCCGTCCACCTGACGGGTGTGGCATGTCAAGAAGCTGATTAAAAAGCATGATCATTACACAGGTGCACCTTGTGCTGTGGACAATAAAAGGCCACTCTAATATGTGCTGTTTTCTCAAACAACACAATGCCACAGATGTCTCAAGTTTTGAGGGAGCGTGCAATTGGCATGCTGACTGCAGGAATGTCCACCAGAGCTGTTACCAGATAATTTTAAGTTAATTTGTCTACCATAAGCTGCCTCCATCGCCGCTTTAGAGAATTTGGCAGTACGTCCAACCGGCCTCACAACCGCAGACCACGTGTAACCAAGCCAGCCCAGGACCTCCACATCCGGCTTCTTTACCTGCGGGATCGTCTGAGACCAGCCACCCGGACAGCTGATGAAACTGAGGAGTATTTCTGTCTGTAATAAAGCCCTTTTGTGGGGGAAATACTCATTCTGATTGGCTGGGCCTTGCTCCACAGTCTCCCAAGTGTGTGGGCCTATGCCCTCCCAGGCCTACCCATCGCTGCGCCCCTGCCCAGTCATGTGAAATCCAAAGATTAGGGCCCAATTTATTTATTTAAATTGACTGATTTCCTTATATGAACTGTAACTCAGTAAACTCGTTGAAATTGTTGCATGTTGCGTTTATATTTTTGTTCAGTGTAGACTCGAGCCAATGTCTTAAGTAGTTGAACATGTTATTACTCCAACCTTTGTGAAAGTGACAAACATTTTCATCAAGGGTCACTTCCCTTCCCTCTACATTCCATCGTTAGGTAAATCTCTCTGCCTCTCAGTCAAATGTTTTTCAGCCATGCAAAAAACCCTTCAGACCTTTTCAGCCAAGCCTGGGTTGGGCAGCAGAACAACAGGGAGGATGTCCCCAAGGTCATGGATCATAGTCTTTATTCACTCTTTCTGTTGTCGTATTGTGTTTACTGTCAGTAATGTAGTTGGGTTACAATATTTTGGAAGCAGGAGCCAGAGGGTGTGTCTACAGGGTGTTGTAAGGGGAGAATCTGATAGAATATAGTTGTAGTGTTAATATTAGTCTGGCTGATACCAAACTTGAAGTCCTCCTTTAAATTTCCAAACAATGAGAGGTCTCCCACCAGGGGAAAATATATATTTCAGAGAACCAATCAATGCGTCCGCTAAATTTCTGAGCGAATATTGCATGAACAAACTGCCTCCTTTCTAGGCCAGTGAGTCACAGCTCTTCCTCGCCGTGTGGTCACGTCAGCCAGGCTAGTTCAATATATCCATCCAGAGTTGAGATCAATCTGGATAAATATGGCGTCAGATTCCTATAAGACCCAGGCTACTGTAGGGACTTTGCCATTGGGAAACAACCCCTGCCAAGTGGGTTTACTTTACCAGAACAACATTTACTATGTACACAGAGCTTGCTACATGTGGGCTAAGGAAGCAGTAGCGGTGCGTGGGTAAAATCACTGGGGAAGCCAAGCCAGGAAAAAAAAAGCCATATTACAATCTATGTGTTGTGATAATTGCGTTGTTTGCTCTATAACCTGTTAGTTCAAATGCCTTGCCACCGTGATATATAGGCCTTAAGGCCGAGACAATAAGAAGACACAGTGGCAGAATAAATTCAACCAAACCTTTGTTTAATCACAAAACCGGAGAGCAACATTTATCTGGTGAAGTCCACAAAACATATTGCATGTGACAAACAGTTACATAGCCAACAGCATGGTCACGCAAGTTAATGTTTCCTACATTTTTGGACTACAAAAAAACTATTGATTAGAACCACAGAGAGTTACCGCAAGTCACAAAGAAAACAGACGTTGCCTCCACTATTCCAGCACCATTTCAACTTCAACATTTCAACATCATCAAATCACCTATGCTTAGTCTATTTCAGTGACAACTAAAACATTCCTAAAACAATTTAGTCCAATTAACATAAGCTAAATACAGTGAGGGAAAAAAGTATTTGATCCCCTGCTGATTTTGTACGTTTGCCCACTGACAAAGACATGATCAGTCTATAATTTTAATGGTAGGTTTATTTGAACAGTGAGAGACAGAATAACAACCAAAAAAATCCAGAAAAACGCATGTCAAAAATGTTATCAGTTGATTTGCATTTTAATGAGGGAAATAAGTATTTGACCCCTCTGCAAAACATGACTTACTACTTGGTGGCAAAACCCTTGTTGGCAATCACAGAGGTCAGACGTTTCTTGTAGTTGGCCACCAGGTTTGCACACATCTCAGGAAGGATTTTGTCCCACTCCTCTTTGCAGATCTTCTCCAAGTCATTATGGTTTCGAGGCTGACGTTTGGCAACTCGAACCTTCAGCTCCCTCCACAGATTTTCTATGGGATTAAGGTCTGGAGACTGGCTAGGCCACTGTCATGCTGGAATACCCATCCACGACCCATTTTCAATGCCCTGGCTGAGGGAAGGAGGTTCTCACCCAAGATTTGACGGTACATGGCCCCGTCCATCGTCCCTTTGATGTGGTGAAGTTGTCCTGTCCCCTTAGCAGAAAAACACCGCCAAAGCATAATGTTTCCACCTCCATGTTTGACGGTGGGGATGGTGTTCTTGGGGTCATAGGCAGCATTCCTCCTCCTCCAAACACGGCGAGTTGAGTTGATGCCAAAGAGCTCAATTTTGGTCTCATCTGACCACAACACTTTCACCCAGTTCTCCTCTGAATCATTCAGATGTTCATTGGCAAACTTCAGATGGGCCTGTATATGTGCTTTCTTGAGCAGGGGGACCTTGCGGGCGCTGCAGGATTTCAGTCCTTCACCGCGTAGTGTGTTACCAATTGTTTTCTTGGTGACTATGGTCCCAGCTGCCTTGAGATCATTGACAAGATCCTCCCGTGTAGTTATGGGCTGATTCCTCACCGTTCTCATGATCATTGCAACTCCACGAGGTGAGATCTTGCATGGAGCCCCAGGCCGAGGGAGTTTGACAGTTATTTTGTGTTTCTTCCATTTGCGAATAATCGCACCAACTGTTGTCACCTTCTCACCAAGCTGCTTGGCGATGGTCTTGTAGCCCATTCCAGCCTTGTGTAGGTCTACAATCTTGTCCCTGACATCCTTGGAGAGCTCTTTGGTCTTGGCCATGGTGGAGAGTTTGGAATCTGATTGATTGATTGCTTCTGTGGACAGGTGTCTTTTATACAGGTAACAAGCTGAGATTAGGAGCACTCCCTTTAAGAGTGTGCTCCTAATCTCAGCTCGTTACCTGTATAAAAGACACCTGGGAGCTAGAAATCTTTCTGATTGAGATTAAAATGCAAATCAATTTATAACATTTTTGAAATGCGTTTTTCTGGATGTATTTGTTGTTATTCTGTCTCTCACTGTTCAAATAAACCTACCATTAAAATTATAGACTGATCATTTCTTTGTCAGTGGGCAAACGTACAAAATCAGCAGGGGATCAAATACTTTTTCCCTCACTGTATCATGTGGTTGTCCATGGCACTGGTTTCTGTGTGTGTGTGTGTGTATGTGTGTGCGTAAGTACAAAAAACATGTTGACTCACCCTACTTGTAGAGAAAAGCCAATGCCATCCTCCTCTCTTTCATGTTGCCGAAACGGTTTATGACTCTGTCATACAGTACATGCTTTTAGTTTTTGTTGTCCTTGGCTACCTGGCTAAAATGCATCTAGCTCAGGCCAGAGAGGAATTTATGGTTGGATCAGAATCGTCGTTATAATCATTGGCCAGTACGGAGAATTAAGTAAAACCATGTCCAAATCCCTATCTCCATCCATGGCTAATTTAGAAATGGCCAGTTTTAGCTAGCTAGCTAAATGACGTTTGGCTTGATGTGATGTGATTGGTCTGAAGCCAAATCCAAACTGGCTTCCCTTGACACATTTTTTTTGGTGCACCAGGACCATTCACAGTTGGGCTCACTCAGTTTAGCTCAACGCTGATTGGCTATTATTGTATACTTTATTTTATCAAGGGAGGCCAGATGCTCGCTGGCTTCCCTTACGTTCAATGCGGCAACAATGTCATACTCTTTCTGACCAGACAGCATCAGATAGATGGGCTACACATACGGAGACAGAGGGGCGCTGTTTTGTTCACTGGGATGCGTTCTCCGGTGAGATACATTCAGCCTCTTGCGAATTCAAGGAAAATTATGAAACACAGAGAGACGAAAGATACATCATTTTCCTTTTTTCTTGGTAAAAAAAAACTAAAAAACTAAAAATACATTTTTTAAATATATATAAATAGATATACAGTGGGGAACAAAAGTATTTAGTCAGCCACCAATTGTGCAAGTTCTCCCACTTAAAAAGATGAGAGAGGCCTGTAAATTTCATCATAGGTACACGTCAACTATGACAGACAAAATGAGAAAAAAAATCCAGAAAATCACATTGTAGGATTTTTTATGAATTTATTTGCAAATTATGGTGGAAAATAAGTATTTGGTCAATAACAAAAGTTTCTCAATACTTTGTTATATACACTTTGTTGGCAATGACACAGGTCAAACGTTTTCTGTAAGTCTTCACAAGGTTTTCACACACTGTTGCTGGTATTTTGGCCCATTCCTCCATGCAGATCTCCTCCAGAGCAGTGATGTTTTGGGGCTGTCGCTGGGCAACACGGACTTTCAACTCCCTCCAAAGATTTTCTATGGGGTTGAGATCTGGAGACTGGCTAGGCCACTCCAGGACCTTGAAATGCTTCTTACGAAGCCACTCCTTCGTTGCCCGGGCGGTGTGTTTGGGATCATTGTCATGCTGAAAGACCCAGCCACGTTTCATCTTCAATGCCCTTGCTGATGGAAGGAGGTTTTCACTCAATCTTACGATACATGGCCCCATTCATTCACTGTATATATATATTGTAAAGTGGTTGTCCCACTGGCTATCATAAGGTGAATGCACCAATTTGTAAGTCGCTCTGGATAAGAGCGTCTGCTAAATGACGAAAATGTAAATGTAAATGTTTACCCTTCAATACATGCCACTGTTAAAGGAAGCCTCTCTGATTGGTGGGCTGGGTGTACAGATGAGCTAAGGAAGCCTCTGATTGGTGGGCTGGGTGTACAGTTGAGCTAAGGAAGCCTCTCTGATTGGTGGGTTGGGTGTACAGGTGAGCTAAGGAAGCCTCTCTGATTGGTGGGTTGGCTGTACAGGTGAGCTAAGGAAGCCTCTCTGATTGGTGGGCTGGCTGTACAGGTGAGCTAAGAAAGCCTCTCTGATTGGTGGGATGGGTGTACAGGTGAGCTAAGGAAGCCTCTCTGATTGGTGGGCTGGCTGTTCAGGTGATTTCAAACCAAACAATACAGTCACTCTGATCCATGACCTGGGGGGAATGAACTGGGGACAATTCTCTCTGTTGTTCTGCTGCCCAACCCAGACCAACCCAGACCATACCAACCCAGACCAACCCAGACCAACCCAACCCAGACCAACCCAGACCAACCCAGCCCAACCCAACCCAGACCAACCCAGACCAACCCAGACCAACCAAACCCAGACCAACCCATACCAACCCAGACCAACCCAACCCAGACCAATCCAGACCAACCCAGACCGACCAACCCAGACCAACCCAACCCAACCCAGACCAACCCAGACCAACCCAACCAGACCAACCCAGACCAACCCAGCCCAACCCAGACCAACCCAGCCCAACCCAGACCAACCCAGACCAACCCAGCCCAGACCACCCCAACCCAGCCCAACCCAGGGTCTTTGCATGGCTGGAAAGATTTGACTGAGAGGCAGTGAGGAGATTTACCTAAAGAAGGAGTGTAGAGGGAAGGAAAGTGACTCAGAGAGAGAAAAAGAAAGAGAAGGGGAGGGGAGGGGGCATCCAGTGATGGAAATCAAATGAGCCCGTCACCCAGTAAGAGAGGGAGAGGGAGGGAGGAAGAGAGAGAGAGAGAGAGAGAGAGAGAGAGAGAGAGAGAGGAGATAGAGAGAGAGAGAGAGATAGAGAGATAGATAGCTAGAGAGCGCTCTAGATATAGATAGAGAGAAGACCTATGAGCTCGAGTGCTATCTGTTCTCTTCGCTTATCCTCTTATCTCTCTCGAGAGATCCTCTTACCGCAGAGAGAGATAGACCCAATGAGAGAGAGAGAGTAGACGAGAAGACAGGAGACAGAGACAGAGACAGATATGTGGGTAGTGGCAGCAGAAAGCCCAGTGTCTACAGTTGAGTTAGGGAAGTGTTCTGATTGGTGGGTTGGGGGTACAGGTGGGTTAATGAAGCCTCTCTGATTGGTTTGCTTTGTGTTTAGAGGTGAGCCAAGGAAGCGCCAGGTAGTTGGCAGTCATAAGAGATGCAGCAGGGTCAGCTCAGCTCCACTCCACACTGACTGAGTACTGGGACATCATGCAGAGGAAGAGCAGCTTCACTGGCCTCCTCATCACTGCTCTGTTTGCAGTAGCCTCTGGTCTGACTAAACAGTTCTACTATGTGGATAAAAAACTGACCTGGCAAGAAGCTCAGATGTACTGCAGAGAGAAGTACATTGACCTGGCCTTCATCACCGACCAGGAGGAAGCAGAGCAGTTATCCAACATCTTAAAATTCAACTGGATTGGTTTGGCTTGGATCGGTCTGTACAGAGATACCAATGTCTCAACAGAGTGGAAGTGGTCTGGAGGGTGGAACTCAACGTTCAGGTCTTGGAGTAAAGTCCAGCTAAACCAACCTGTTGTCAACCAGGACTGTGTCAGTGTGAAGCAGGGTGAGATGGCTGCTGGGCTGTGCAATCAAATAAACGTTTTCGCGTGCTTTGATCTGAACGTGGTCCTGGTGCAGGAGAACAAGACATGGGAGGAGGCTCTGGAGCACTGCAGGGAGAACTACACTGACCTCACCAGCCTGCTGTCTGAGAATGAGCAGCTCCAGGTCCAGAGAATGATGAATTCAAAGGGGGCCCAGACGGACCATGTGTGGACCGGTCTACGCTTTTTCAGTGGCTTCTGGCTGTGGGTGAACGGGGATCCCCTGGAGTACCAGGCCTGGTCCGGGGGGAGGCTGCCCCACTGCCCCGCCCAACGCCTCCGCTGTGGGACCCTGGGCAGAGAGGGAGAGCTTTGGGGAACCAGGGACTGTGAGGAGAGGAGGAACTTCCTCTGTTACGAGTGATTCGGTAATTCACTATCATTGATAAGTAAAATTATTTTCGATGGAATAGGATGGAAAGCTTTACTGCTAATTAAATAATGTATTGTTTTAAATAAATTGTCAAATTTTTAATAACATTTAAAATGTCATTTTTATTTCCAATTTCAATAATAAAGTTGAAAGTGTTTGTTTGTTAGGATCTCTTTTAACACATCATAACACAATCTTCCAAGAGTCAGTTAAAGACTAAACATACCAAGAAGGATTGGGGTCAATTCAAATTGAAGTCACTCAATTCAGGAAGTGATTTGAGTAAAAAAAGATCTAATGGAAAAACTTTTGAAATTAATATATTTTATTTTTCAGTTTATTGAGAAATCTTTGAAAATAGCTATTGAATTCGAATTTCAGTTTATTTAATGAATGAACAGACTTCAATTCGAATTGACCCAACCCTGATACCAAGCATACAAACACTGTCAGTGGAGGATATAAAATGCTTGAGAGGAAGGGAATGTTGATTGTTATTATAGCATGGATTTATTGGTGAGAGAGGAGGAGTGGTGTGATATTCATATTCATATTTTAACAACCTCTACACATTTTGAGGTCTCATTTTAAGTGTGATGTGATGTTATAGTCTATATAATCAAATCTTTAACTAATGTATTTGCAGTTCATAATCTGTGTGTTTTCGTAGTTTCCACAATATTATCTTACATTTACATTTACATTTACGTCATTTAGCAGACGCTCTTATCCAGAGCGACTTACACATTGGTGCATTCACCTTATAGCCAGTGGGATAACCACTTTACAATGTTTTTATTATTTTTTATTTTTTTATTTTTTATTTTTTTTGCTTTGGAAGCTACAGTATGTCTGTATTTACTGGTATGATAATAAAACAGAAAGGTAACAACCAAAGTACTTATTCTCATGGGTTTCTGTGACAAAAAAAAAGTGTTGTTTTTACTGTTGCTGACTGAACTAATAATTCTTCACAGTCTTACAGGCACAAGGAGGGTAAATGGTACCGTAGGTCTGTCATCAGGCTGTGGGACGTAGGTCTGTCATCAGGCTGTGGGACGTGTGCGATAATCAGCAGCATTAGTTCCAGTGTTTTGGTTTTCCTCACTGGTTATTTGGACGAATCAGGATTGGGCAAAGGCGGTGCTTAAACTGGGGGCGGGGATTTCCAGCCCATGTGTGATAAACACATGTAAAATTATCGGAAGTGGGGGGGCTTTGCCTGAGCGTTTCCTTTTGCGGAAATCTCAATTTCTAACACGTTTGTTACCAGAACTTAATCGAGCATCCGACCAAATTATGTACGATTTTAGTTCTTGGTGAACCGAAATTAAGGTTAAGGTAAAGTAATGGTGGGTTGTAATGCTCTCCTCCCACCCCTAGATGTCTCTGGTGGTGATGGCGCCATACTGTATGGCTGCTGTCGTGCGTGCTCCAACCCAACTACCATAAGTATTTATATATTCCTGTTATCAGTCACTTTTCAGCCCTTTTCCGTTTATCATGCCTACACTGACACTTGCACACACACACACACACACACACAAACACACACACACACACGCACGCACGCACGCACGCACACACACATACACACACACACACACACACACACACACACACACACATACATACATACATACATACATACACACACACACACACACAAACACACAGACACATACACATTCATACACACACTCACCACCACACACCCACCACTTATGCTGCTGCCATACTGTCTACTATTATTATTATTATTATTATTATTATTATTATTATTATTTATTCTGCTACCGGTCACTTTCTCCTAATCCCTGCCTACATGTCCTCATCTAGCTCAATCCTCCCTGCACATTGGAAATGTGGTACTGGCCCTGACTATGACTAGCCCTGACTAGCGTCCTCTCTTATTTCTCCTGTTTTTATTGGACTATTTTGATATTGAATACTGCTGTTGGGTAGGGCTGGCAAGTTAAGCATTTCACTGTAGGCCCTACTGGTGAATGTGACAAACACTTGAACCTGGTATAAAGGGTAAGGTTTAGGGCCAGATCCAGGGTTAGGCTTAGGGTTAGGTTTAGGGTTAGGGTCAGGGTCAGGGTCAGGGTCAGAGCCAGGGGTTGGGGCCAGAGCCAGAGCCAGAGCCAGGGTTGGGGTTAGGGTTAGGGCCAGAGCCAGGGTTAGGGCCAGAGCCAGGGTTAGGTTTAGGGTTAGGGTCAGGGTTAGGGCCAGGGTTAGGGCCAGAGCCAGAGCCAGGGTTAGGGCCAGAGCCAGGGTTAGGGTTAGTGTCAGGTTTAGGTTTAGGGTCAGGGTCAGGGTTAGGGTTAGGGCCAGAGCCAGGGTTAGGGTTAGGGTCAGGTTTAGGTTTAGGGTCAGGGTTAGGTTAATCTTGTTTCCAGACACTTCCTCCCAAATGCGCCAAGAGTCTGGTGTACCAACAGGTCAGACTTGGCCTTCGTTAGCCAATACCGAAATCAATCTACCAACCAATCATCTCCCACAACACCTTCCCCTTAACCTAACATAGCAAGCATAAAAGAAACGCCTGAGCGGAGTTCCCACATCCGGTTTTCAGAGGTAGAGGAAGCTAGGTTGAAGATAGCTGTAAACCTGAAAACCAGATGCATCCGGTTGTTAGCTGTATCCCTGAAAACCGGATGCATCCGGTTGTTAGCTGTATCCCTGAAAACCGGATGCATCCGGTTGTTGGTAAGTCTGCAAAGGGTGCCTCCCCCCTAAAGGCACCACATACAGTACCCCAGTATGAGTCATAATACCTATTAAACCTAGCGGACAAACAGGGAAACGATTCAAATCGTTTTCCCACCATTCATTTTTCCCATAGGGGATTTTAGAAACACTTAAAATAAGGGCTGTGTTTCGTGTAGGTTTACCCTGACGTGACGATTTGATAACCATGTAAATCTCTCTAGGAAAAGGGGACTTTTATCAATGAAAATGAAATGCTAATTAGCTGCTATAGTGGCTATCATAAAGAACTACCAATGCCATGATGATGTGGAGGACACTGCTGAATCAAGGCAAAGGTAAGAATCTCTGGATCTAATCTAATGTTAGCTAAATGTAGTAATGAATCAATAGGCTAAATTTACTTAAATGGACAATTCTGTGAACTGTCTTGTGTTTTAAATTAACACCACCTGTTAGCAATTGTATTAACTAGAGATGACGATCAGCTAGATCTGTGATTTGTAGTTTTGCATGGTCTACTTTGATGCTAATCGAATCTGAGAGTAAATAGAGCCAAATATATTGATAAAAGTCACCTTGTCTGAGAGAGATTTACATGGTTATCAAAACGCCAACCCAGGGTAAGCCTACACGAAACACAGCCCTTATTTTAAGTGTTTCAATAAAACCCTATGAGAAAAATGAATTTTGGAAAAACGATTGGAACCATTTACCTGTTTGACCGATAGGATTTATGGGTATTATGACACCTCCACTGGGTTCAGTTTGCTCCTATCAGAACTTGGCTAGGCAAAGCAAACCTCTGTGCCTCACATACTCCCTTAAAAGACCTTTGCTTGAAAAACAAGAAAAAAGTGTCAATATTACTGTTTGCCCCTCTTGAGATGCCATAGCAACAACATAGCCAGTATAAACTTCTGCAAAATAGTCGGAATGAATAAACAAAGATAAGATAAATAAACAAATCAGTAGTTAATTTTGACATTTTTGCCGTGGTCTTAGTCGCACAATTTTACATCTAACTAAGATGTTTGATGCAGTATTTCTCAAGTGAAAAAATTTGCATGAAAACTAGTCGTCTCTTATTGAATGACAACAAACACTTCACTGAAGAATCTCGGCCATAGTTCCCACTCCTACTAGGAGTGGTACTGTTGACCAATCACCGATGAAGGGGCAGAGACTTCGGCTACCGAACTTCAATTTGCCTCAAGAAAAAATGTTGTGCGCAATAACAGCTGAACCCAACACCAAAACGATCAAAAACGTCACAAAATTCTGTCATAATATATGCGCAAAAGTTTATTTATTTATTTGTATTGATATTGTCTGCATAATTTCCAATACCCCATATTTTTTGGTAAATATATACACTACCAGTCAAAAGTTTGGACACACCTACTCATTCAAGGGTTTTTCTTTATTTGTAAAAAAAAAAATTACATTGTAGAATAATAGTGAAGACATCAAAACTATGAAACAACACATATGGAATCGTGTAGTAACCCAAAAAATGTGAAACAAATCAAAATGTATGTTATATTTGAGATTCTTCAAATAGCCACCCTTTGCCTTGATGACAGCTTTGCACTCACACAGTGCATTCGGAAAGTATTCAGACCCCTTTACTTTTTCCACATGTTGTTAAGTTACAGCCTGATTCTAAAATGGATTCAATTGTTGTTGTTTTCCTCACCAATCTACACACAATACCCCATAATGACAAAGCAAAAACAGGTTTTTAGAAATGTTTGCAAAACCCCCCCCCCCAAAAAAACTGCAATATCACATTTACTGTACATAAGTATTCAGACCCTCTACTCAGTACTTTGTTGAAGCACCTTAGGCAGCGATTACAGCCTCCAGTCTTCCGCTATTTATGCTGCAGGTTTTAGGGTTATGAAGAGTGACGCTGTGTTGTAATGCTCTCCTTCCACCACTAGATGTCTCTGGTGGACCTGGGATAAAGGGTCAGGTTTTGGGCCAGAGCCAGCGCCAGAGCCAGGGTTAGGGTTAGGCAGTGATGATGATGTGTGCTGTGCTGTGCTGTGTAATGCTCTCCCCCCACCACTAGATGTCTCTGGTGGACCTGTGGAGGAAGCTAGTGGAAGCAGCCAGGTCTGGACCGGACGAGGTCGGGATCCTCATGGCAAACGGAGCTCCCTTCACCAGGGCCCCTATTCATAAAGGCTGCGTCCCAAATGTCACCCTATTCCCTATTTAGTGCACTACTTTTGACCAGGGCCATTTGGTGCGCAGCAAAGCATCTCAGATTAAAAGTGCTGATCTTGGATCAGTTGGACCTTTTAGATCATTAGTATTGAGATTACATGGGCAGGCGGGCTGGGTTAGTATTGAGATTACATGGGCAGGCGGGCTGGGTTAGTATTGAGATTACATGGGCAGGCGGGCTGGGTTAGTATTGAGATTACATGGGCAGGCGGGCTGGGTTAGTATTGAGATCACATGGGCAGGCGGGCTGGGTTAGTATTGAGATTACATGGGCAGGCGGGCTGGGTTAGTATTGAGATTACATGGGCAGGCGGGCTGGGTTAGTATTGAGATTACATGGGCAGGCGGGCTGGGTTAGTATTGAGATTACATGGGCAGGCGGGCTGGGTTACTGGACAAACTTTTACATTTGATTGATTAACTGATTGATTGATTGCCTGACTGAATGACTGATTATTTGACTGACTGACTGACTGATCGATTGACTGAGTGAATGACTGATTATTTGACTGACTGACTGACTGATTGATTGATCGATTGACTGACTGAATGACTGATTATTTGACTGACTGACTGATTGATCGATTGACTGACTGACTGACTGATTGATTGATTGATTGCCTGACTGAATGACTGATTATTTGACTGACTGACTGATTGATCGATTGACTGAGTGTCTGACTGAGATCTCTCTACTCTACCTGTGTGTGTAGCTGGGGATGTCCCCCTCCACCTGTCTGCCCAGTACGGTCAGTACTCCACCACGGAGGCCAGGGGTCAGCCATGACGACACATGCATTGTAGAGGTCCTGATCAAGGTACTCCCTCCGCAGGGTTAACTATCTCTCTAACCAGGTGAGTCCCATTTAGATAATACCTCCACAGGGTTAACTATCTCTCTAACCAGGTGAGTCCCATTAAGATTTGAATCTATTTTTTCCAAGGGAGCAAACAATTACACAGTAGTTTATAATGCTCTTAATTCATATGTTCAACTTTACACATGAAATGTCACAAATGACAAAGTTGTTTAATTCATTCATAAAACAACAAGACATTCAAAATAAATTGATGATGTTATGAATGAAAGAAAGGACCGTGAGATGTGACGATTCAGATCCACCTGGACGACTTTGATGTCTGTCCAAAACTCACGGCTCTGTTCAGACCTCCATTAGAGAAGATCAGTAGTCCTTCTTCTACCATCACAGCCCCAAGCCTTCCCCTGTGATCTCCTGCCATCAGCAACACTCATCCACTGTCATAGGGCCACCGGGATAACGCCGTTATTAACTACACACTCATCCACTGTCATAGGGGATGCGTTCGTAATGCCACCCTTCCCCCTATATAGTGCACTACTTTTTAACCAAGGCCCGTAGGGTAGAATACTAGAATGACTACTCTCTAATAGGGCCCCTGGGCAAAAGTAGTGCACTAAATAGGGAATAGGGTGCCATTTGGGACACACCCAGGGACTGTAGGGCCCCTGTAGGGAACAGAGAACAGGGAACACAGGACAATGGCCCCATTGATCTCTCTGCTCTGCTGTAGCATGTAGCATGGGACCCACTGACGTCATTGACCAGGCCTGCTGTACAGGGGAAATTCCTTATTGCATAATGAATGTCCCAACTGTCTGAGACAGTAATGCTAGATGTTGATGTTGTTTTATAGATTGGTTAATTGTTTATATTGATAAATTAACGAGTGGGTGATTGATAAGACGTCTGCTCTTTCGATCGAACAATTGATTGGTTGATCGAAATCAATTGATCAAGTTCGATTCGATTGATCGAGATCAATTCGATAGATCGATAGATTGACTGACAAACCCCCGCCCTGATATTGAAACTTGCTCAATTACGATAACAATTTTCCTGATGAGAGCGCAGGACGGTGTAAAGTTTTTTACAGGGGCAGCACTTTGACCTGAAATTGTACTTACAGAATGCACCTTTAATCCATAACCTTCTGAAATATGTCTCCCTGCCTTTAAATAGTGATCTGTGATTTGTGTCTCCCTGCCTGTGGGTTATTAGGTGTCTACGCAGGACCAGATCCTCAGGGACCCTGTTCGCTGTGTGTATTTGTACTATGGATTGGTTTCTGTCCCATCAATGACCTCCCTAGAGGAATGATTGGTTTCTATCCCATCAATGACCTCCCTAGAGGAATGATTGGTTTCTGTCCCATCAATGACCTCCCTAGAGAAATGATTGGTTTCTGTCCCATCAATGACCTCCCTAGAGAAATGATTGGTTTCTGTCCCATCAATGACCTCCCTAGAGAAATTATTGGTTTCTGTCCCATCAATGACCTCCCTAGCGAAATGATTGGTTTCTGTCCCATCAATGACCTCCCTAGAGGAATGATTGGTTTCTGTCCCATCAATCGCCTCCCGAGAGAAATGGTTGGTTTCTGTCCAATCAATCGCCTCCTGGGAGAAATGATTGGTTTCTGTCCCATCAATGAACTCCCGAGATAAATGATTGGTTTCTGTCCCATCAATGACCTCCCTAGAGAAATGATTGGTTTCTGTCCCATCAATGACCTCCCTAGAGGAATGATTGGTTTCTGTCCCATCAATGACCTCCCTAGAGGAATGATTGGTTTCTATCCCATCAATGACCTCCCTAGAGGAATGATTGGTTTCTGTCCCATCAATGACCTCCCTAGAGGAATGATTGGTTTCTGTCCAATCAATGACCTCCCTAGAGAAATAATTGGTTTCTGTCCCATCAATGACCTCCCTAGAGAAATGATTGGTTTCTGTCCAATCAATTACCTCCCTAGAGAAATGATAGGTTTCTGTCCAATCAATGACCTCCCTAGAGAAATGATTGGTTTCTGTCCCTTCAATGACCTCCCTAGAGAAATGATTGGTTGCTGTCCAATCAATGACCTCCCTAGAGAAATGATTGGTTTCTGTCCAATCAATAACCTCCTGAGAGAAATGATTGGATTCTGTCCCATCAATGACCTCCCTAGAGAAATTATTGGTTTCTGTCCAATCAATGTCCTCCCTAGAGAAATGATTGGTTTCTGTCCAATCAATGACCTCTCTAGAGAAATGATTGGTTTCTGTCCCTTCAATGACCTCCCTAGAGAAATGATTGGTTGCTGTCCAATCAATGACCTCCCTAGAGAAATGATTGGTTGCTGTCCAATCAATAACCTCCAGAGAGAAATGATTGGTTTCTGTCCCATCAATGACCTCCCTAGAGAAATTATTGGTTTCTGTCCAATCAATGTCCTCCCTAGGAAAATTATTGGTTTCTGTCCAATCAATCGCCACCTAAGAGAAATTATTTGTTTCTGTCCCATCAATGACCTCCCTAGAGAAATGATTGGTTTCTGTCCCATCAATGACCTCCCTAGAGAAATGATTGGTTTCTGTCCAATCAATTGCCTCCTGAGAGAAATGATTGGTTTCTGTCCCGTCAATGACCTCCCTAGAGAAATGATTGGTTTCTGTCCAGTCAATGACCTCCCTAGGGAAATGATTGGTTTCTGTCCAATCAATGACCTCCCTAGAGAAATGATTGGTTTCTGTCCAATCTGTGACCTCCTGAGAGAAATGATTGGTTGCTGTCCAATCCACGACCTCCCAAGAGAAATGAGTGGTTTCTGTCCAATCTATGACCTCCTGAGAGAAATGATTGGATTCTGTCCAATCAATGACCTCCCTATAGAAATGATTGGTTTCTGTCCAATCAATCGCCTCCTGAGAGAAATGATTGGTTTCTGTCCTATCAATGACCTCCCTAGAGAAATGATTGGTTTCTGTCCCATCAATGACCTCCCTAGAGAAATGATTGGTTTCTGTCCCATCAATGACCTCCCTAGAGAAATGGTTGGTTTCTGTCCCATCAATGACCTCCCTAGAGAAATGAATGAGCGGGGGTGTTTTTTTCACAGTGTTTAAATGTCAGAGGATGGGAATGGTGGGAACAGTGCAGCTGGTGCCTGGGCTTGTGGCAGTGTTATACGTATGGACGGTGTCCCAAATGGCACCCTATTCCCTATATAGTGCACTACTTTAGACCAGGGCCCATAGTGAATAGGGTTCCATTTGGAATTGGTCCATGGTATCTTCAGCCATTGACATAGACAGGTATGACAAAGACCTTTGATTCACTGTTTGGTCTCCATTCTGTAATATTTCACCTTGTTTGTTTTGAAACCCTCATACAACTCAAACATCACAGAAACCACCAATCTAACGTCAATACATTCAGCTTGTCAGACAGGAAGCCAACGTCAATACATTGAGCTAGTCAGAGAGGAGAGGGAACAATATACTTTCACAGAATAGGTTTTGTGTGTGTGTGTATATGTGTGTGTGTGTATGGTGTGTGTGTATGGTGTGTGTGTATGGTGTGTGTGTGTGTGAATGGTGTATGTGTGTGTGTATGGTGTGTGTGTGTGTGTATGGTGTGTGTGTTGTGTATGGTGTGTGTGTGTATGGTGTGTGTGTATGGTGTATGGTGTGTTGTGTGGTGTGTGTGTATGGTGTGTGTGTATGGTGTGTGTGTTGGTGTGTGTGTTGGTTTTGTGCGTGTGTTGTATGGTGTGTGTGTATGGTTGGTGTGTCTGGTGTGTGTGTGTGGTGTGTGTGTGTTGGTGTGTGGTGGGCTGGTGTGTGTGTGTTGTGTGTGTGTGTGTGTCTGGGTGTGGGTGGTTGTAGGTGTCTGGTGTGTGTGTGTCTGGTGTGTGTTCTGGTGTGTGTGTGTCTGGGTGGTGTGTGTGTGTGTCTGGTGGTGGGGTGTGGGTGTGGGTTGTGTGTGTGTGTGTGTGTGGTGTGTGGTGTGTGTGTGTGGGGGTGCTGGGGGTGTTGTTGGGTGTGTGTGTATGGGTGTGTGTGTGTGTGTGTGTGTGTGGTGGGGGTGTGGTGTCTGTTGTGTGTGTGTGTGTGTGTGTGTGTTTGGTGTGGGTGTCTGGTGTGTGTGGTGGTGTTGGTTTGTGTGTGGTGTGTGTGTGTGTTGTGTGTGTGTGTGTTGTGTGTGGGTGTGTGTGGTGTTGTCTGTGTGTGGTGTCTGGTGTGTGTGTGTGGGTGGGTGTGTGTGCGTGGTGTTGGTCTTGTGTGTGTATTTGGTGTGTATGGTGTGTGTGTATGGTGTGTGTATGGTGTGTGTGTATGGTGTGTGTGTATGGTGTGTGTATGGTGTGTGTGTATGGTGTGTGTGTATCTACAGGGACGTCTGGTGGACCTGATGGCTGGTATTATTCCAGACAGTCATTGATCTCCCCATAGCCAGGAGTAGAGACATATAATGATGGGGGGGGGGGGGTTCTCAAAATGTGTGTGTGTGTGTGTGTGTGTGTGTGTGTGTGTGTTGTATTGGCATTATCAAGTCATTTAACAGGAAAAGCCTCCGTCAGATGAAAGCATTGGGTCTGCATCATCAACCTCTCTTTGACCAACACTCCACTGGAGAGCTTTCTGCATCATCAAAGCTGTATGTCACAGTGATCAGAATCCAGTTTAATAGATACTTAGCTCTATGAACCGATGAGCCAGTGGTTCTTCTATGGGGCTGATTCGTTGACGAACAATGAACTCCAGAGAGCATACACAGCTTTGTTCATTGTTTTCACGGATGCATCGTGTACGTAAAAGTTGTAATGAGTTAAACTTTATTTATTTCATTTTTTTTACCCCCTTTTTCTCCCCAGTTTCGATCTTGTCTCATCGCTGCAAGTCCCCAACGGGCTCGGGAGGCAATGGTCGAGTCATGCGTCCTTCGTAACACTCGCCCGCTTAACTCGGAAGCCAGCCACACCAATGTGTCGGAGGAAACACTGTTCACCTGACGACCGAGGTCAGCCTGCAGGCACCCGGCCCGCCACAAGGAGTCGCTAGAGTGCTATGAGCCAAGTAAAGCCCCCCAGTCAAACCCTCTCCTAACCTGGACGACGCTGGGCCAATTGTGCGCTGCCCTATGGGACTCCCGATCACGGCCGGTTATCATAAAGCCCGGGATCGAACCCGGGTCTGTAGTGACGCCTTAGACCGCTGCGCCACTCGGGAGGCCCTAATGAGTTGAACTTTTGACAGGCAATCACAGACAGTGACGAATGCATATGCTTTTTTCATCAGTCTCTGTGTGACCTTTCTGTGACCTTTCTATGACCTTTGCAGAGGAGGTGTTTGCGGCGGACTCTGTGGACGGTGCCATCCAACAGATGGTCAGCTCCGGAGGTCATCCAGCTCAGCAACCTGCAGACGGCCAGCGGCCTCGGCCAGTCAATCTTACTGACCATGCCGGACGGACAACAAGGTGAGAGAACGCTACACACACACAAACTGAATAAAAAACAAAGTATCCCATCTCAAGTGGTTAAGTAAAAAAATAAGTAAAAAATGACTACAGCCTATTAAGTGCCAAAAAAAGTAACAGGGTTGACCGTAACAGGGTTGACCGTAACAGGGTTGACCGTAACAGGGTTGACAGTAACGTGGTTGACTGTAACGTGGTTGACTGTAACGTGGTTGACCGTAACAGAGTTGACTGTAACATGGTTGACCGCAACATGGTTGACTGTAACATGGTTGACCGTAACAGGGTTGACCGTAACAGGGTTGACCGTAACAGGGTTGACTTTATCAGGGTTGACCGTAACATGGTTGACTGATGTGGGGGGACGTGTTGGATAACAGAGTTGACGTGTTGGGTAACAGGGTTGACGTGGGGGGACGTGTTGGGTAACAGGGTTGACGTGTTGGGTAACAGGGTTGACGTGGGGGGACGTGTTGGGTAATAGGGTTGACATGTTGGGTAACAGGGTTGACATGTTGGGTAACATGGTTGACGTGTTGGGTAACAGGGTTGTCGTGTTGGGTAACAGGGTTGACGTGTTGGGTGACAGGGTTGACGTGTTGGGTAACAGGGTTGACGTGGGGGATAACAGGGTTGACGTAGGGGGACGTGTTGGGTAACAGGGTTGACGTGTTGGGTAACAGGGTTGACGTGGGGGGACGTGTTGGGTAACAGGGTTGATGTGTTGGGTAACAGGGTTGACGTGTTGGGTAACAGGGTTGACTTGGGGGGACGTGTTGGGTAACAGGGTTGACGTGTTGGGTAACAGGGTTGACGTGTTGGGTAACAGGGTTGACTGTTGCTAACAGGGTTGACGTGTTGTGCTCGACCCGCTCAGTTTTCCACCAAAAGATGGCCAAAAAGCAGCTCATCTGTTTTACACTGTGATTTGACTATTAGATGTTCAATGTTTCTTTATAAAAAAATATTTTAAAAGGAATAGTTTCACCATTTTAAAACGAGAGTTCAGTTCACGTAAGAGGGTTAACCTTAAAAGGAGGGACAGTTTATTTAAAAAAAAATCTTACAATGAATCACTAATCACATGAAATAAATAATAATCTTCAGAAATGATTTTGTCAAAGCAACAAAATAACTAGGGCTACTCGCTCTCACAATGAAACAATCACTCACAAAGACAAGGGGAACAGAGGGAACACTTATACACATACTAATTAGGGGAATGAGCACCAGGTGTGTGTGTGATTGACAAGACAAGACAAGTAGAGTGATGAGAATGGGATCGGCAGTAGCTAGTAAGCCGGTGACGATGAACGCCGAAACCTGCCCGAACAAGGAGGGGAGGCAGCCTCGGCGGAAGTCGTGACACATTCTTTATGTTTCATGGATGGATACATGTCGTAAGAGTTATTCCCCTTCATTCATCTGTCATTGGGAGGTTTACCGTACGGCGATAGTTTGACTCTGCAGGACATCCTGCATATGATAACAACGCATGACTGTAAGTCGCTTTGGATAAAAGCGTCTGCTAAATGGCATATTATTATTATTATCTGTTTCTTCACTCAGACATTGGCTGAGCAGAGTGAGACATCCTGGACCTGGGTGCGTCCCAAATGACATCCTATTTCCTTTATGGTGCACTACTTTTGACCAGGGCCTATATGGCTATATAAGGGTAAAGGGTGCCATGTGGGATACATCCCTAGGCCTACATAAATCAGATATACTCAAAACGCAAGCCACATCCGGTGTGATATGTGATTGGAAGCATTTCAGTCAGCGATTCCATGAAATAGCCCCAAGTGTTCTGAGTGAAACATGTAACACCAGGTTGTTTACAGAGATGACATGATTCTCTTCAAACAACATTAGTGTATCATATTAGGTCATAGAGGGAAAATGAGGAGTGAACAAAAGATTCATTCACTTTCAACACGTGTGTGTGTGTGTGTGTGTGTGTGTGTGTGTGTGTGTGTGTGTGTGTGTGTGTGTGTGTGTGTGTGTGTGTGTGTGTGTGTGTGTGTGTGTGTGTGTGTGTGTGTGTGTGTGTGTGTGTGTGTGAGAGAGAGAGAGCGTGTGTGTGCGTGCACGACCATCACATTGACCTATTCATCCCAGACAGATAGACCCATGAAGGGGAGAGGCAGAGTGCACCGCACCAGGGCAGGTGGAGAGAGGACCACTATTGTGAAATGAGTTGCAGCCCTTGATGTTTATTTAACTGTAGGTGGAAAGGTAGAGAAAACAGCCTTAGTTTCTATCAGTCTACGTCAGTACCTTCAGGGCGGTCTCCCTTGGTGGCCCTGTATATATGTCTGTACCTCTGTCTCTAAGCTAAACCTACAACACAACACCAGCAGAGAGAAACACTGATCTATTATCCTACTGCACATCTGTCAGCTGACACAACTCTATTATTACAAGGATGCAGGCAGAGGAATACAACCACAGAGGTAAGCTTGGCTTCTTCTTTATATAGTGTAGAGTAAAGCTTAAACCATGTATTTAGATTGTAGGTAGGTATTGTAGCTAGGTAGATGGTTGGTATTGTAGGTAGGTAGATGGTTGGTATTGTAGGTAGTTATTGTAGGTAGGTAGATGGTTGGTATTGTAGGTAGTTATTGTAGGTGGGTAGATGGTTGGTATTGTAGGTAGTTATTGTAGGTAGGTAGATGGTTGGTATTGTAGGTAGGTAGATGGTTGGTATTGTAGGTAGTTATTGTAGGTGGGTAGGTGGTTGGTATTGTAGGTAGTTATTGTAGCTATGTAGATGGTTGGTATTGTAGGTAGTTATTGTAGGTGGGTAGATGGTTGGTATTGTAGGTAGTTATTGTAGCTAGGTAGATGGTTGGTATTGTAGGTAGTTATTGTAGGTAGGTAAATGGTTGGTATTGTAGGTAGTTATTGTAGGTAGGTAGATGGTTGGTATTGTAGGTAGTTATTGTAGGTGGGAGATGGTTGGTATTGTAGGTAGTTATTGTAGGTAGGGAGATGGTTGGTATTGTGGTAGTTTTTGTGGTGTGGTTGGTTTGTAGGTCGTTCTTGTAGGTAGGTCGCTGGTTGGTTTGTAGGTCGTTCTTGTCGGTGGGTAGATGGTTGGTTTGTCGGTAGTTACTTGTAGGTGGGTCGATGGTTGGTATTGTAGGTGTTCTTGTAGGTGGGTAGATGGTTGGTTGTAGGTAGTTTTGTAGCTGGTAGATGGTTGGTATTGTAGGTAGTTATTGTAGGTAGGTAGATGGTTGGTATTGTAGGTAGTTATTGTAGCTAGGTAGATGGTTGGTATTGTAGGTAGTTATTGTAGGTGTTGTAATTGTTATTACTACCACAACTGCTACTAATATAGTGAGACAGGTGGGGTTTTATTTGCTTGTGGGTTAGAGAGCAGGTGTAGAGGGCGGCAGGTAGCCTAGCGGTGAAGAGTGTTGGGCCAGTAACTGAAAGGTCGCTGGATTGAATCCCCGAGCCGACTAGGTGAAATAATCTGTTGATGTGCCCTTGAGCAAGGCACTTAACCCAAATTGCTCCTGTAAATTGCTCTGGATAAGAGTGTCTGCTAAATGACTAAAATGTAAATGAGTGGTAGGGTGGATCACCAGTCTCTCAAAAGGGATTGAAAGAGGGAGACAGCACAGTTAAAGCACAACTTTGACAGAAAGAGGGCTGGTTTCCTAGATTAGTCCTAGACTATAACACACTTTCTATGGGGAATCACCATTGAGAATGATTTTAGTCCAGGAGCAGCCTAATCTTAATTAATCTGTACCAGAGAGTGTAACGGTAACCTGTCTGTTGTGTTTTATACCCTGAAAAAGGCATCATGCCAAAACACAGTGATTTAAATAATCCTAAATCTATTTCCATTGATCTCAAACAGTGGCTGAACATGGTTTGTGATTGACATCCTATATAATATAATATGATATCTAACATCGTGTAATCTGACTGTTGTGTGTTATTCCTCGTCCAGGGAAGGAGATGGTGGATTACATCACTAGGTACCTGACCACCATCAGAGAGAGGAGGGTGACCCCGGGCCCTGAGGTGAAGCCTGGCTATATGAGAGAGCTGCTGCCAGACAGCGCCCCCACTGACCCGGAGGACTGGGACTGTATCTTCAGGGACATAGAGAAGGTCATCATGCCTGGGGTACGTTACGTTCACACATTACATGTCAAGGACCTCAATAGCCGAGTGACTATGAGACGTTACCAGGACCATTGTGGGTCAAACATTAATTGTTCACTGTATCACTGTAACTTGTTGTAAGGCTATTGGTGTGTGTGTGTGTGTGTGTGTGTGCGTGTGTGTGTGTGTGTGCGTGCGTGTGTGTGTGCGTGCGTGTGTGTGTGTGTGTGTGTGTGTGTGTGCGTGTGCATGTGTGTGTGTTGGTCAGGTGGTCCACTGGCAGAGCCCCCACATGCATGCGTACTACCCAGCCTTGACCTCCTGGCCCTCCATGTTAGGAGACATGCTGGCTGATGCCATTAACAACATCGGATTCACCTGGGTAATTATCTTATCACGTCAAACGTTATTTACACTTTGTGTGGAACTACACAAAATTAACTCACTTAATTATCCCCCTAAAGTTTTGGTTTAAAGACCTGAATATCATGTTTTTTAAAAGATATTTCCAGGGAGCACATTAACTGTGACATTAAGTTTGTGAGTTTGTTTCCCACATGAGCCGTGGGTTAACTGTAAGTTACTTTGGATACAAGCATCTGCTACAGAAAACTCCTGGAGGAAATCCTATAGTAGTGTGATATTATAATCTAATGATGAATTATTTATGATAGAATAACATGATGTTGTTGTGTTGTTTCCAGGCCTCCAGCCCGGCGTGTACAGAGCTGGAGATGAACGTGATGGACTGGTTGTGTAAAGCCCTGGATCTCCCCTCCTTCTTCCTCCACCACCACCCAGACAGCACTGGGGGAGGCATACTTCAGGTAGGAAAGATACACCTGACCATACTCACCTTTACAATACCAACTTGACAGCACCGGAGGAGGCAGGTAGACATGTACTCTCACAGCACCACCTAGTGGTGAATGGGAATACCATCCTCTACGCTCCTCTCTGACCACCGTGAATTAGAGAACCCTGGTGTTTAAATTCACATGAACACAACATATTAACATATTAATCTTTCTCTCCTTCTTCCTCCCTCTCCCCTCTAATCCCTCTCTCCCATCATCCCTCTATCCTCTCATAGCACAGTAAATAATTTAAATTTACCTCAATGTAATGCCTTTCTCTCTCCCTCTCTGTCTCCCTCCCTCTCTCCTCCCTTCCCCTCCTCCCTACCTCCTCTCTCCCCGCATCCCTCTCTCCCGCATCCCTCTCTCCTCCCTTCCTTCCCTCCCCTCTCTCCCCGCATCCCCCTCTCTCCCGCATCCCTCTCTCCCGCATCCCTCTCTCCTCCCTTCCTTCCTCACCCCTCTCTCCCCGCATCCCTCTCTCCTCCCTTTCTTCCCTCCCTCCCTCCCCTCTCTCCCCGCATCCCTCTCTCCTCCCTTTCTTCCCTCCCTACCTCCCCTCTCCCTACCTCCCTCTCTCCCCGCATCCCTTTCTCCTCCCTTTCTTCCCTCCCTCCCTCTCCTCTCTCCCCGCATCCCTCTCTCCCCGTAACCCTCTTTCTTCCCTCCCTCCCTCCCCTCTCCCCGCATCCCTCTCTCCCGCATCCCTCTCTCCCCGCATCCCTCTCTCCCCGTAACCCTCTTTCTTCCCTCCCTCCCTCCCCTCTCCCCGCATCCCTCTCTCCCGCATCCCCCTCTCCCCGCATCCCTCTCTCCTCCCTTCCTTCCCTCCCTGCCTCCCCTCTCTCCCCGCATCCCTCTCTCCCGCATCCCTCTCTCCTCTCAGAGCACAGTGAGTGAGAGTAGTCTGGTAGCTCTGCTGGCTGCCAGGAAGGCCAGGATCCAGCAGCTGAAGAGGACAGAGGCAGCAGACAGAGACCTGGACGACTCAGTGGTCAACTCCAGACTGGTGGCCTACGCATCAGACCAGGTCAAGATGGGATGGGTTAGGGACCCACACACACACACACACATATGCAACGTTTGCAAACATTTACTGTACGCATGCACCTGCACAAACAAACAGTGAGTACTGCATAATGAGAGATTGACTCTCCGTCTGTCTGTCCGTCTGTCTGTCTGTCTGTCTGCCCACCTATATGTCTGTCTGTCCGTTTGTCCGTCCATCTGTCTGTCTAATCTCTACCTCCATCAGGCTCACTCCTCAGTGGAGAAGGCAGGTCAGATCTCCCTGGTGAAGATCAGGTTCCTCCCTACAGATGACCACTTCTCCCTGAGAGGAGACACTCTGAAACAGGCCATCCAGGAGGACAGGAGGAGAGGACTAGTACCTGTCATGGTAGGTCATGGTAGGGTATATTAGGGGGTGGTAGGTCATGGTAGGTCATGGTAGGGTATATTAGGGGGTGGTAGGTCATGGTAGGTCATGGTAGGGTATATTAGGGGGTGGTAGGTCATGGTAGGGTATATTATGGGTGGTAGGACATGGTAGGTCATGGTAGGTCATGCTACAGTATATTAGGGTGTGGTGGGACATGGTAGGTCATGGTAGGGTATATTAGGGGATGGTATGTCATTGTAGGGTATATTAGGGGATGGTAGGTCATGGTAGGGTATATTAGGGAGTGGTAGGTCATGGTAGGGTATATTAGGAGGTGGTAGGTCATGATAGGGTATATTAGGGGGTGGTAGGTCATGGTAGGGTATATTAGTGTATGGTAGGTCATGGTAGAGTATATTAGGGGGTGGTAGGTCATGGTAGGGTATATTAGGGGGTGGTAGGTCATGATAGGGTATATTAGGGGATGCTAGGTCATGGTAGGGTATATTAGGGTATGGTAGGTCATGGTAGAGTATATTAGGGGATGGTAGGTCATGGTAGGGTACATTGCGGAGTGGTAGGTCATGGTATAGTGTATTAGAGGGTGGTAGGTCATGATAGGGTATATTAGGGGGTGGTAGGTCATGGTAGGGTATATTAGGGGGTGGTAGGTCATGATAGGGTATATTAGGGGGTGGTAGGTCATGGTAGGGTATATTAGGGGGTGGTAGGTCATGGTAGGGTATACCAGGAGATAGTAGGTCATGGTAGGGTATATTAGAGGGTGGTAGGTCATGGAAGAGTGTATTAGGGGATGGTAGGTCATGGTAGGGTACATTATGGAGTGGTAGGTCATGGTAGGTAATTGTAGGGTATATTAGGGTATGGTAGGTCATGGTAGGGTGTATTAGGGAGTGGTAGGTCATGGTAGGGTATATTAGGGTATGGTAGGTCATGGTAGAGTGTATTAGGGGATGGTAGGTCATGGTAGAGTATATTAGGGGGTGGTAGGTTATGGTAGGGTATATTAGGAGACAGTAGGTCAATGTTAGGGTATATAAGGGGTTGGTAGGTCATTGTAGAGTATATAAGGGGGTGGTAGGTCATGGTAGGGTATACCAGGAGATAGTAGGTCATGGTAGGGTATATTTGGGGGTGGTAGGTCATGGTAGGGTATATTTGGGGGTGGTAGGTCATGGTAGGGTTAATTAGGGGGTGGTAGGTCATTCATGGTAGGAGACACTCTGAGACAGGAGGACAGGAGGACAGGAGGACAGGAAGACAGGAGGACAGGAGGACAGGAGGACAGGAGGACAGGAAGACAGGAGGACAGGAGGACAGGAGGAGAGGACTGGTGGCTGTAAGGGTAGGGGACGCGACATTAGAATGCTGTAATACTGAGATATTGTAAGGTTTTACTGACAGTAGAGCTCATAGGTTGTTTTAGCCTCCTAATTTGAATGACCTCTGAACGTGAACAGTTGTAACCAAGATTGTAACCAAGGCTGTAACCAAGGCTGTAACCAAACAAATGATAATGTTTGTTTGGTTGGTTGTTTCAGCTGTTTGCCACTCTGGGGACCACAGGGGTGTGTGCCTTTGACAACCTGTCAGAGCTGGGACCAGTGTGTACGTCTGCATCTCTAACCTCTCATTATTATACACACCTGTATGACACACAACATGCATGACACATAACATGTATGACACATAACATGTATGACATATTACCTATGTATGACCTTGGAGAATCTCAGGGTCCTGGGTCCATATTCATAAAGTGTCTCAGAGTAAAGAGCACTGGTCTAGGATCAGTTTGACCTTTTAGATCATAATGAATAATATTTAATGAACAGGGGGGGACCTGATCCGAGATCAGCACTCCAACTCTGAGACGTTACTCCCGCAAGGCTACTTTATACTTAGTCTGAGACGCTGTATGAATACAGATAAGGGTCGCAGGTTCAAGTTCCACTCGGACTCCCACCACCCCCAGATTCTCTGCAAAACTTGTTTTGTATTCCTCCCCCTGCCTGGCCTAGGTGCAGAGGAAGGTCTGTGGCTGCATGTGGACGCGGCGTACGCTGGCTCAGCGTTCTTCTGCCCTGAGCTGAGAGGTCCTCTGGAGGGCATAGAGTACGCTGACTCCTTCGTGTTCAACCCCTCCAAATGGATGATGGTCCACTTCGACTGCACCGCCTTCTGGTGAGAGAGAGGGGAGGGAGAGAGGGAGGGAGGGAGGGAGGGAGGGAGGGAGGGAGAGAGAGAGGAAGGGGAGGGAGGGAGGGAGGGAGGAATATTTAAAATAATTTCTTAATTAATAAACATTATTTCAAAGACCGCCGAAAATCCGGTGTTTCTATGTCCAACGGTTTTGTTATATTGGGATGCAAACTCAAAATGTAATACATTTCAACTCTATATCTGACATGGTACAGGTGTCTTCTTTTTTTAAGCCCATAACCATGTGTGTGAGGTGTATACTTTTGTTCCAAAGACTACCAAGAATCACTCTGTGTGACCCTGATTTAGCCCACTGCAGTAAAAGGTTTTAAAAAGAGAGAGGGGGGTAGAGAGGAGCTATGACCACCCTTAAGGGCTTTCCAGACACGAAGCGGCGGTGGAGTTGCCCATTCATTTTCAATGGAGCTATCCAGGCAGAGCGATCAGCGGTGCTCGTGCACGTGAAAGCCGCTCAGCCGAGGCAGAGAAAATAGGAATCTGCCCTATTTTGGCGAACTCCGCTCCACTCAACCCTGTTGGGACCTGTACGGCGGTCCCAACAGGGTGAAGGACGAGCTGGGGACAGAGAGAGATAGTAACGTGTTGTTTTTCTACGGCGGTCCCAACAGGGTGAAGGACGAGCTGGGGACAGAGAGAGATAGTAACGTGTTGTTTTAATACGGCGGTCCCAACAGGGTGAAGGACGAGCTGGGGACAGAGAGAGATAGTAACGTGTTGTTTTTCTACGGCGGTCCTAACAGGGTGAAGGACGAGCTGGGGACAGAGAGAGATAGTAACGTGTTGTTTTTCTACGGCGGTCCCAACAGGGTGAAGGACGAGCTGGGGACAGAGAGAGATAGTAACGTGTTGTTTTTCTACGGCGGTCCTAACAGGGTGAAGGACGAGCTGGGGACAGAGAGAGATAGTAATGTGTTGTTTTTCTACGGTGGTCCCAACAGGGTGAAGGACGAGCTGGGGACAGAGAGAGATAGTAACGTGTTGTTTTTCTACGGCGGTCCCAACAGGGTGAAGGACGAGCTGGGGACAGAGAGAGATAGTAACGTGTTGTTTTTCTACGGCGGTCCTAACAGGGTGAAGGACGAGCTGGGGACAGAGAGAGATAGTAACGTGTTGTTTTTCTATGGCGGTCCTAACAGGGTGAAGGACGAGCTGGGGACAGAGAGAGATAGTAACGTGTTGTTTTTCTACGGCGGTCCCAACAGGGTGAAGGACGAGCTGGGGACAGAGAGAGATAGTAACGTGTTGTTTTTCTACGGCGGTCCTAACAGGGTGAAGGACGAGCTGGGGACAGAGAGAGATAGTAACGTGTTGTTTTTCTACGGCGGTCCTAACAGGGTGAAGGACGAGCTGGGGACAGAGAGAGATAGTAACGTGTTGTTTTTCTACGGCGGTCCTAACAGGGTGAAGGACAAGTACAAGCTCCAGCAGACTTTCAGTGTCGACCCCGTCTACCTCAGACACGAAAACTCAGACGAAGCCACCGACTTCATGGTACAAACCACCTACATTTGACATTTTAGTCATTTAGAAGACGCTCTTATAATAATATGCCATTTAGCAGACGCTTTTATCCAAAGCGACTTACAGTCATGTGTGCATACATTTTTACGTATGGGTGGTCCCGGGGATTGAACCCACTACCCTGGCGTTACAAGCGCCATGCTCTACCAATTGAGCTACAGTGGACCACTTATCCAGAGTGCATACATTTTCGTACTTTCTTCATGCTGGTTTCCCTTGGGAATCGAACCCACAACCCTGGCGTTGCAAGCTCTATCATCTATACCTACCTACCAACTTGCAGACTTTATTTTTGAACAGTTACTTCACGGTCCACACTACATACTGTTTTTCTACTCCTGCCTTTAAACACAGATCTGGGACCAGCTTTACCCAAGTCCTAGCATTAGCCACTGCCGGGAAAGCATGCAACTCTTGAAACGGATCTTGATCTTGATTTTGAAACTGATCTTGATCTTAATATTACTATAGATGTTAATGTTGATCCTGCTCCACTGTGTCTGTCAGCATTGGCAGATCCCCCTGAGTCGACGGTTCCGCTCTCTGAAGCTGTGGTTCGTGATGCGCTCCTTCGGACTGAAGAACCTTCAGGGACACATCAGACACGTATGTAACCTACCTACCTACCTACCTACCTACCTACCTACCTACCTGCCTGCCTGCCTGCCTGCCTGCCTACCTGCCTGCCTGCCTGCCTGTCTGTCTGTCTGTCTGTCTGTCTGTCTCTCTGCCTGTCTGCCTGCCTGCCTGCCTGCCTGCCTGCCTGCCTGTCTGTCTGTCTGTCTGTCTGTCTGTCTGTCTGCCTGCCTGTTTCTTTCTCCCTCTGTAATTTGAGATGCTGCATTACAGTGACTGACCCCTGCTCTGTAATGTGAGATGCTGCATTCCAGTGACTGACCCCTGCTCTGTAATGTGAGATGCTGCATTCCAGTGACTGACCCCTGCTCTGTAATGTGAGATGCTGTATTCCAGTGACTGACCCCTGCTCTGTAATGTGAGATGCTGCATTCCAGTGACTGACCCCTGCTCTGTAATGTGAGATGCTGTATTCCAGTGACTGACCCCTGCTCTGTAATGTGAGATGCTGCATTCCAGTGACTGACCCCTGCTCTGTAATGTGAGATGCTGTATTCCAGTGACTGACCCCTGCTCTGTAATGTGAGATGCTGCATTCCAGTGACTGACCACTACTCTGTAATGTGAGATGCTGTATTCCAGTGACTGACCCCTGCTCTGTAATGTGAGATGCTGCATTCCAGTGACTGACCCCTGCTCTGTGTTTTCAGGGTGTGGAGATGGCTAAGCTACTGGAGTCCCTGGTTAGATGTGACCCTAACTTTGACCTGCCTGCTGAGAGACACCTTGGCTTGGTGGTGTTCTGTCTCAAGGTATGTGGCCTATACTTGTATTGTAAAGTTGTATTGTGTTGCATTGTATTGTATTGTATTGTGTTGTGTTGTGTTGTGTTGTGTTGTGTTGTGTTGTGTTGTGTTGTGTTGTGTTGTGTTGTGTTTGTGTTGTGTTGTGTTGTGTTGTGTTTGTGTTTGTGTTGTGTTGTGTTGTGTTGTGTTGTGTTGTGTTGTCCCGTTGTGTTGTGTTGTCCCGTTGTGTTGTGTTCTGTTGTCTTGTGTTGTGTTCTCTTGTGTTTCTTTTGTGTTTGTGTTGTCTTGGTCCCGTTGTGTTGTCTTGTGTTGTGTTGTCTTGTGTTGTCTTGTCTCGTCGTCTTTGTTGTTGTGTTGTCCTTGTCCCGTTGTGTTGTGTTGTCTTGTGTTGTGTTGTCTTGTCCCGTTTGTGTTGTCTTCTGTTTTCTTGTGTTGTGTTGTCTTGTCCCGTTGTGTTGTCTTCTGTTGTGTTTGTCTTGTCCCGTTGTGTTGTCTTGTCCCGTTGTGTTGTATTGTGTTGTATTGTATTGTATTGTGTTGTATTGTATTGTGTTGTGTCATATACTGTACATCTCCCATTGAGGAACATGTGAACAGGATTCACCATCCCACACAGAAAACAGTATAGAGATAGGTTTCTACAACATCCACATACAGTGAGGGAAGAAAGTATTTGATCCCCTGCTGATTTTGTACGTTTGCCCACTGACAAAGACATGATCAGTCTATAATTTTAATGGTAGGTTTATTTGAACAGTGAGAGACAGAATAACAACAACAAAATCCAGAAAAATGCATGTAAAAAATGTTATGAATTGATTAGCATTTTAATGAGGGAAATAAGTATTTGACCCCTCTGCAAAACATGATTTAGTATTTGGTGGCAAAACCCTTGTTGGCAATCACAGAGGTCAGACGTTTCTTGTAGTTGGCCACCAGGTTTGCACACATCTCAGGAGGGATTTTGTTCCACTCCTCTTTGCAGATCTTCTCCAAGTCAGTAAGGTTTCGAGGCTGACATTAACCTTCAGCTCCCTCCACAGATTTTCTATGGGATTAAGGTCTGGAGACTGGCTAGGCCACTCCAGGACCTTAATGTGCTTCTTCTTGAGCCACTCCTTTGTTGCCTTGGCCGTGTGTTTTGGGTCATTGTCATGCTGGAATACCCATCCACGACCCATTTTCAATGCCCTGGCTGAGGGAAGGAGGTTCTCACCCAAGATTTGACGGTACATGGCCCCGTCCATCGTCCCTTTGATGCTGTGAAGTTGTCCTGTCCCCTTAGCAGAAAAACACCCCCAAAGCATAATGTTTCCACCTCCATGTTTGACGGTGGGGATGGTGTTCTTGGGGTCATAGGCAGCATTCCTCCTCCTCCAAACACGGCGAGTTGAGTTGATGCCAAAGAGCTCGATTTTGGTCTCATCTGACCACAACACTTTCACCCAGTTCTCCTCTGAATCATTCAGATGTTCATTGGCAAACTTCAGAAGGCCCTGTATATGTGCTTTCTTGAGCAGGGGGACCTTCCGGGCGCTACAGGATTTCAGTCCTTCACGGCGTAGTGTGTTACCAATTGTTTTCTTGGTGACTATGGTCCCAGCTGCCTTGAGATCATTGACAAGATCCTCCCGTGTAGTTCTGGGCTGATTCATCACCGTTCTCATGATCATTGCAACTCCACAAGGTGAGATCTTGCATGGAGCCCCAGGCTGAGGGAGATTGACAGTTATTTTGTGTTTCTTCCATTTGCGAATAATCGCACCAACTGTTGTCATCTTCTCACCAAGCTGCTTGGCGATGGTCTTGTAGCCCATTCCAGCCTTGTGTAGGTCTACAATCTTGTCCCTGACATCCTTGGAGAGCTCTTTGGTCTTGGCCATTGTGGAGAGTTGGGAATCTGATTGATTGATTGCTTCTGTGGACAGGTGTCTTTTATACAGGTAACAAACTGAGATTAGGAGCACTCTCTTTAAGAGTGTGCTCCTAATCTCAGCTCATTACCTGTATAAAAGACACCTGGGAGCCAGAAATCTTTCTGATTGAGAGGGGGTCAAATACTTATTTCCCTCATTAAAATGCAAATCGATTTATAACATTTTTGACATGCGTTTTTCTGGATTTTGTTGTTGTTATTCTGTCTCTCACTGTTCGAATAAACCTACCATTAAAATTATATACTGATAATTTTTTTGTCAGTGGACAAACATACAAAATCAGCAGGGGATCAAATACTTTCTTCCCTCACTGTAGCTGGTTCTTATGTCATGGTTACCTGTCAACATACTGTATAGGTCAGACGCCAGTCTATTGCTCTGAGCTGGGTAATGATTGACAGGTTATTCTTGTTCATGGCAATATACAGCTTAGAGATCAACCGCTATCACAGCCAGGAGTTCGAAGGTCAAAGGTCAGCCATTGTCTGTGTGAGCCTGTGAGGTAACAGGTATGTGTGTGACTCCTTCACGTGGAAAACCCAACTCTAAGGCTGGGATTCAATCTGATCACGCTCTTTCGACAATGCTCCATTTAAAGGTAATTTCCGATTGAGCCTACATATGCAGCGTTTACCGTGAATGAGGTCTCCGCTAATGCGGGAACATTGCCTTTAAAAGCAGCATTGTCTCCAACCTGATTGGATTGAATCCCGGCCTAAGTATTGAACCCAACTCTAACCTGATTGGATTGAATCCTGGCCAAAGAATTGAATCCAACTCTAACCTGATTGGATTGAATCCCGGCCTAAGTATTGAACCCAACTCCAACCTGGTTGGTTTGAATCCCGGCCTAAGTATTGAACACAACTCCAACATGATTGGATTGAATCCCGGCCTATGTATTGAACACAACTCCAACATGATTGGATTGAATCCCGGCCTATGTATTGAACCCAACTCCAACCTGATTGGATTGAATCCCAGCCTAAGTATTGAGTCCAACTCCAACCTGTCTAGATTGAATCCCGGCCTAAGTATTGAACCCAACTCTAAACATTCAACAGAAGTTAAGGGTGTATTCAAAACTCACCTTTTATTGACTTCTACAGAGTAAATCCATAGCAGAACAACGTTGAGTCCTGTTACCTTCCTCAGGCTACATTCAGGGAACCATTTTATTTTTTCCTTCCTTACACACTAAGTCTCAGGGTCTCTTGTCATTGTCGAAATGTCGAGAGCTTGTTGAGAGGTTCTCGAGAGACAATAGTGTTGTGTAAACTTGTGAAATTCTCACGTCTCGAGCGCTACCTCTGTAGGTCGCACATGACACTCACCCGACAGTTCCACCCGTCCAAGCAGGACGGTGTAAACAGAATTGTCTCGTTCAGCCCGACACTCCTACAGTATAAATGGTAATCGCAGAGCAATGTTTTTAAATGTATAGACATTTTCCTAATATTTGAGACTTGTTTTATTGAGTTTTTAACTGAAATTGCAGTAACAGCCTGTTACATTCTGAAATTGTCGGAGTAGCTAACAGCTACACTGAGGCACGTAGAACTATGGAAGCCCAACCCCCCATCATCAAACATGTAAAATGGTTTGAGATCAGACAAATAGGATATGTTTTTTCATTTGTAACAATGTGTGGAGATTTCAGAGGTTCCTCCACAGGTCCCAGAGTGTTGGGGGGGGGGGGGGAATTGTTTTCCTGGGGCCCAGAGTTTTTCCTGATCTGGTAGGCTAACCTAACCAACTCAGGACCTTAGTTGTAGCGTATGACATAGCAATAAATCAGCTGTAAATAAATTTTTAAAAACGGTTTTGGGAGCAGATTATTTTTCTAATCAGGTCCAGTGATGTAGTGGTAAAGAAAATGGGTGGGTAAACTGATCGCCAGTCAGCTATCTGATCAATGTAAACTGATCGCCGTTCAGCTATCTGATCAATGTAAACTGATCGCCGGTCAGCTATCTGATCAATGTAAACTGATCGCCGGTCAGCTATCTGATCAATGTAAACTGATCGCCGGTCAGCTATCTGATCAATGTAAACTGATCGCCGGTCAGCTATCTGATCAATGTAAACTGATCGCCGGTCAGCTATCTGATCAATGTAAACTGATCGCCGGTCACAGTGAAAAAACGTAATGCTCCCTATACTTTTAATGCATTTTTCCGCAAAAGGTGGGTAAACTGTTGGGCAACTAAGGTAGACTGCATTTACTTGCCTGTTGTACCCTCCACTACACCACTGGTCAGGTCATATGTTGTTTTACCTCCTGGAAAAACTCCTGGCCCGAGGTAGGATGAAAACATTAAAACCCTGTCAAACTGCAGAGACCTTGTACCTGTTCATATGGATTCTATTTGAAAACTAAACTAACAGGGGGTGGTCCTTTACGCAGAAAAAGAGACAGCAACTGCGATTGGACAATAGAACTAACAGGGCGGAGCTTGCTGTATGCAGGGTTGCATCGTTAGGCCTTTGCATCTGTAATTAAAGGTATACTCATACAGTATGTCATCACTATTAATGTTGATTGATTAATTCCAGTCAATCATTTTGGATTAAAAAGGCCTAGGTAGCCTAGCAACATGAAGTCTGAATATAAACCAAATTTGATTACATTCACATTTTCTCAGAACACGAATAAATGGGCCTATTTTATGTTATACATACAGAGCTTATTTACATATTATGTCAATTTAAATATTGTCGCACTGCCTCTCCTTAAACTTCCGTCAATGAGAAAAGGGCCAAACACAGGTGTCCCTCAACTGTCAAATCTATCTCTCTCTGCCTCCCCCCCTCTCTCTCTGTCCCCCCCCCCTCTCTCTCTGCCTCCCCCCCCCTCCTCTCTCTGCCCCCCCCCTCTCTCTCTGCCTCCCCCCCCCTCTCTCTCTGCCTTCCCCCTCTCTCTCTGCCTCCCCCCCCCCCCCTCTCTCTCTGTCTCACCCCCCCCCCCCTCCCCTCTCTCTCTGTCCCCCCCCCTCTCTCTCTGTCTCACCCCCCCCCTCCCTCCCCTCTCTCTCTGCCCCCCCCCCCTCTGTCCCCCCCCCCCTCTCTCTGTCCCCCCCCCTCTCTCTCTGTCCCCCCCTCTCTCTCTGCCCCCCCCCCCTCTCTCTCTGTCCCCCCCCTCTCTCTCTGCCCCCCCCCCCCTCTCTCCGTCCCCCCTCTCTCTCTGTCCCCCCCTCCTCCCCTCCCCTCTCTCTCTGTCCCCCCCTCTCTCTCTGTCCCCCCCTCCCTCCCCTCCCCTCTCTCTCTGTCCCCCCCCCCCCTCTCTCTCTGTCCCCCCCCCCCCCCCCCCCCCTCTCTCTCTGTTTCAGAAAGGGAATGCCCTGACTCAGGAGTTGCTACAGCGACTGACGCGGTCCGGCACCATGTACCTTGTCCCCGCCGACATCGACAGGAAACGCATCATCCGCTTCACCGTGACGTCACAGCTGACCACCTCAGATGACATCATCAGGGACTGGAATATCATTCGCAAAATGGCCGCCGACCTTCTGTCCGAGGAGGCCGAGAAACAGGCGGTCAGTAAAATGGAGGAGCAGCAGTCTCCAGTCAGAAGAACTGTTAAGAATCTGTCAGAGACACACAGTGACTCAGGGTATCACACAACGGCAGCAGCGGAGGGCTTGGCTGCCTCTCTCATGACTAGGGAACCAAACGAGATTGAAAAGGCCATCAGTGACACAGAAGATGAGCCACTGAAAACACCCAAAGAGCTAGAGGCCGGCCAGACACAGACCAGCCCCAGGACAGGACCCAGAGAGCTAGAGGTCGGCCAGACACAGACCAGCCCCAGGACAGGACCCAGAGAGCTAGAGGTCGGCCAGACACAGACCAGCCCCAGGACAGGACCCAGAGAGCTAGAGGCTGGCCAGACGACCAGCCCCAGGACAGGACCCAGAGAGCTAGGGACCGGCCAGACACAGACCAGCCCCAGGACAGGACCCAGAGAGCTAGAGGCCGGCCAGACACAGACCAGCCCCAGGACAGGACCCAGAGAGCTAGAGGCCGGCCAGACACAGACCAGCCCCAGGACAGGACCCAGAGAGCTAGAGGCTGGCCAGACGACCAGCCCTAGGACAGGACCCAGAGAGCTAGAGGTCGGCCAGACACAGACCAGCCCCAGGACAGGACCCAGAGAGCTAGAGGCTGGCCAGACGACCAGCCCCAGGACAGGACCCAGAGAGCTAGAGGCTGGCCAGACACAGACCAGCCCCAGGACAGGACCCAGAGAGCTAGAGGCCGGCCAGACACAGACCAGCCCCAGGACAGGACCCAGAGAGCTAGAGGCCGGCCAGACGACCAGCCCCAGGACAGGATCCAGAGAGCTAGGGACCGGCCAGACACAGACCAGCCCCAGAAAAGGACCCAGAGAGCTAGGGACCGGCCAGTTCCAGACCAGCCAGGACCCAGAGACAGGAGCCAGAGAGCTAGGGACCGGCCAGTTCCAGACCAGCCAGGACCCAGAGACAGGACCCAGAGAGCTAGGGACCGGCCAGTTCCAGACCAGCCAGGACCCAGAGACAGGAGCCAGAGACTGCCCTGAGGAGATCCCCTGTCCTCCTGCCTTCAGAGTTCAGAGGGTCCAACCACAGTTCTGGATGGATAAAGCAAAGGGCGGGTCTGAGAACAGGCCGAGGAGGACAGTACGCTCTCTGAGCTGCAGCAGTGAGCCCTTACCTGGCCCCATTGGGCCCCTGTTTGGCCATAACACTGACCCCCTCGCTAAGCCTCTCTCTAGCTCTATCACTGACTCCCAGCCTGGACAGAAAGACCCAGACCTCATCCACCCCCTAAAGGACACCCAGCTCAGGCCTCTCTCCTCCAGCCCCAGCACCTCAGGCCTCTTTCAGATCCCAGAGAGGCCTTCTCCAACCAGTTCGAACCAGCGGGTCCTGAGGAAGCTCACCAAGTTCTACAGCTTGCCCAGTTTCTGCCACCTGTGGGTGCAGTGTGGGCGCTACCAGGTGTGCTGCCCTGTCAGGGGACTTCAGATTGCCCCAAAGCCCTGGTCCTCCTCTGGGTGTAGGAGACTCAGCTGTTGGTCTTGTTCCTCTGTGACTAAAGCAGCTGCCACTAACTTCCCTGCTCTACTGTAGCCCGGGCTAGCTCCTGGGCCGTATTCATTAGGACACACCGTAGCAAAATGTTTTGCAATGGAAAATGAAAATGAATGTTTCTTATTGTACAAGTTCAAGTAGTCCCACCTTGGTCCAATACGTTTTCTTCCATTTGGTGCCAGATACATACGACCCTGTAGTCTCCCTACCAAATATTTACCACAAACGTCTTTTTGTCATTTCAGGGTGTAGAGATGGCAGCGCTCTGAGGACTTTTATTTTGAAAGAGGGACTTCAAATTAAAACAATTATTTCAGATTAAATTTTTAAAGTGACACAGCCACACATCTCAGATAGATATATCTTTAGTATTTATTACAAAATCAATATATATTTATGAATTTACAAACATTCCATAACATTTTCAGTTTTCATTTTCAAATGTTTCTCTCTAGTCATAAAATGCACAACATTTTAAAAGTTGGTCCTTGACGTAAGCATTTGTCTCCCTTTCATTTAAACACAACCCTTTTTTTTGGGGGGGGGGGGGGGGGGGGGGGGGGTTCAAAGTATCACAATAAAATGTACATCAGATTAATAATTTGACAGTTCATTTCAAAATAAAAGATTAACAGTTAGAAAAAAAAAAACTAAAAAAAATCATAACCGTATCTTTCCATCAGAAATAGAGTCATAAATCTCCTGTGTCATGGGGATGTAGCCCTTACTGTCCTCCAGGTAGTATAATCGATCCTGTATCACGGATGGGTTGAATCCCTCTTCGGCTAGCTTTGCCTTCATCTGCTTGAATGTTCCAGTCACAGCCAGGGAATTCTGGGATTTGAAAATTAAATAAATGATGTTCAAATGTGTGTTTTATGAATCTTAAGCGTTTTGAGCAAATCTTTAAAGGTACAATCTGGGATCAGGGAATCTCTTCAACATATCCCAGATCGTAGCTTTAAGTGCTTTGCAAATGAAAGGTATCATGATGATCATTGTAATTTGGGACATTATTCCCATAGGATTACCTGTATGCGTATGAAGCGTGGTCTAGCGTAGCTGGGCAGGGACGTCTTGACGTTCTGGAACGTGGCTTTGCTGTCAAACTCCACGTCAGCTTTCAGTTTGACAGCTGCCATCCCGATCCTCCCCTCGTGTCCTGTGGGGTCACAAAGCAGGATCACCAAGATAGCCAGCTAACCTTGAGAAACTTTCAGACATTACTATTGATTTGGGATTCTCCCCTAATGTCCTGGTGATTCACACCCAACATGAGGAGAACCCTCTGGGATAATACATACACAATGATGTGACTGTGTGTGTTGTGTGTGTGTTGTGTGTGTGTTGTGTGTATTGTTCTATGTAACTATATATAGTATGTCAATTGTGTGTAGTGTATATTAAGAAAATTCAATGAATAAAATAATTATATAAAAAAGATAGATGTTTAATGAGGTGACTGTAAGTCGCTCTAGATAAGAATGTCTGCTATATATATATTTTTTAAAAATTTTAGGGGGTAGATCAGCTTTAATATTGCAGATAGATTGTAACTTCCATCAATGTAATTGTCTGCATCACTTCCAATCCCCCATATGTTTTTTCCCCTCGCATTTATATATATATATTGAAATTGCAACCAACTTTCTATGGCTTGTTTTAGAAATAGTGATATTTGGGAGATTATTTCCTTTTCAAATAACTGAAAGTGTGAGGTTGTAATCTGAATAAAGGGAAAAAGGCCATTCTTGAACATTGGGTGAGACAATCTTACTAATTTGCTAGAGAACCAGTTCGGATTTAAGTATAACTTTTGTATGACTGAAGCTTTTAGTGATAGGTCTAATGCTTTAATCTTAATAATTTCTGTCCTCCGAATTCATATTCATTATATAAATAGGGCCGCTTAATTTTGTCTGGCTTGCCATTCCAAATAAAATGGAATATATTTTTCTCATATAATTTAAAAAACTGTTCGCTAGGCGTAGGCAAGACCATAAGCAAATAGGTAAACTGGGATAATACTAAAGAGTTATTCAAGGTGATTTTTCCACAAATTGACAGGTATTTACCTTTCCATGGTAGCAAGATCTTATCTATTTTTGCTAACTTTCTATTAAAATGTATTGGAGTGAGATCATTTATTTCATTTGGGATATGTATTCCGAGTATATCCACATCACCATCAGACCATTTTATTGGTAAACTACATGGTAATGTAAAATATTTATTTTTTAGTGATCCAATACGTAATATAGTACATTTATCTTAATTTGGTTGTACCAGAGAGGTTAGAAAATGTATCTAGATCCTCTATGAGGCTGTGGAGGGATTCAAGTTGTGGAATTAAAAGAAAACATGAATCATCAGCGTACAATGACACTTTTGTTTTTAAGCCCTGGATTTCTAATCCTTTGATATTATTGTTGGATCTGATTTTAATAGGTAACATCTCGATGGCCATAATAAATAGATATGCCGATAGTGGACAACCTTGTTTCACTCCTCTTGACAGTTTAAAACTTTGTGAGAAATAGCTATTATTTACTATTTTACACCTAGGGTTACTATACATGATTTTAACCCATTTTATAAGAGATTCTCCAAAATTGAAATGCTCCAGGCATTTATATATAAACCCCAGTCGTACTTTATCAAATGCCTTTTCGAAGTCTGCTATGAATAGCAGGCCTGGTTTCCCAGATTTTTCATAGTGTTCTATTGTTTCCAGTACTTGCCTTATATTATCTCCAATGTATCTTCCATGTAAAAAACATGTCTGATTAGAATGAAAATAAATGGAGAAACTTATTCAAGAAAGATCAAGTGTAATATATTATAAAAAATAAAGCAAACTGGATGGATAAATAAAAAATAAATAATGTCCAACAATACCTTATTAATTCTATGAGCTATACATTTTGCTAGAATTTTTGCATCACAACACTGAAGTGTAAGGGGCCTCCAATTTTTTAAATGGACTGGATCTTTGTATATTCCACTTGTATCCTGTTTCAGTAATAATGAAATCAGACCTTCTTCTTGAGTGTCTGATAATCTACCATTTACATAGGAGTGGTTAAAACATGCTAATAACAATCCTCTGAGTATATCAAAAAAGGTTTGATATACCTCGACTGGTATGCCATCCAACCCTGGAGTTTTCCCGGACATAAAGTCTTTAATTGCATCCAGAAGTTCCTCCTCTGTAATTTCACCTTCACATGAGTCTTTCTGCATGGCTGTTAATTTTACATTATCAATAGAAAAAAAAATCTCTACAATTAGCTTCAGTTAGAGGAGATGGAGGCGACTGAAATTAAAACATATGCTTAAAGTACTTAGTTTCCGCCTTCAAAATATCATTCAGTGAATCATGGGTGACTCCGTCATTTGTAACCAGTTTCAGTAAATTATTTTTGGTAGCATTCCTATGCTGAAGATTAAAAAAAGAATTTGGTGCATTTTTCCCCATAATCCATCCAGTTTGCTTTATTTTTTATAATATATTACACTTGATCTTTCTTGAATAAGTTTCTCCATTTATTTTTGTTTTTCCTCTAATTTATTCTGAGCCTCTATGTTACAGTTTTTATTGCTATCTATCTATTCTTTTAGACCTTCTATTTCCTTTGTTAGTATGGACTCTTTTGACCTAAATTGCTTTTGTTTTCGAGATGAGTACTGAATTGCATGGCCTCTAAAGGCACATTTAAAGGTGTCCCATACAATAAGGGGATTTTCTGTACCTATGTTATGTCGGAAAAAATCAGTTATGAATTCCTCTGTCCTAGTTAAGAACAAGTTATCATCCAATAGGCTTTGATTAAATTTCCAATATCCTCGCCCACGTGGAAATTCAGTAAGAATAATGTATATGCCAATTATATGATGGTCCGACCGCATTCTGTCCCCTATCAACACTTTTAAAACTTTTGGTGCCAACAAGAATGACATAAGAAAGAAGTCAAGACGACTAGCTTGATTGAGTCTCCGCCATGTATATCTCACTAGATCAGGATATTTAAGCCTCCATATATCCACTAGTTCTAATGTATCCAAGACATTCATGATTTCCTTAAGAGCATGAGGGTGATTGTTTGTAGTGTGATTTCCTTTACGGTCCATTGAGCTATTTAGAACGGTATTATAATCTCCCACCATAATAATAGAGTATTGAATTTCTTGCAGGGTTGATAATTTATTATATATATTGTCAAAGAAGTGTGGATCATCATTATTTGGTCCGTAAAGGTTAATGAGCCATATCTGTTTATGGTCCAATAACATATTTAAAATAATCCATCTACCTTGCATATCTGTTTGGACAATTTGCACATTCGGATCGAAATTACTGTTAATTAATATCATCACCACTTTTGAGTTTCTTTGCCTATGGGAGAAGTATATTTAGCCCCCCCATTCCTTTTTCCACGCAACTTCATCTAGAATTGTTGAATGAGTTTCCTGTAAAGAATAGATATTATATTCCTTCTCTTTGAGCCATGTAAATATTGTTATTCTTTTGTTATTATCTGCTAAGCCATTACAATTATAACTGGCTATACTTATTTCACCATACACCATAATGAGATACAAGTTTCAAAACTATTTATCATTATATATGTTTGTACATTTACCAATAAAAAGTACCATAGTGATTGAGTGTCCATATAGCTGTACCATGATATTTGCATTGCTACTAAGTAACCCTCCAATTGTTCTCCACTAATTCCCCCGCTAAAGCCCCTCCCCGTCCCAAGTTGGGCCGTCATCCCAGTGATCGGTATACCACCCACGTCCCGCCGGATCCCTAGGGCCCCGAGAGGCCAGGACCTATCCATCGAAAAGAGCACACAGTGCCACCCACAAAACAGAAGCAGGTCAACCGCCAAAAGCATTTCCAATGCTCTCACCTCAATATATATTCAGCTTTTTCTTAAAATCAGCATCTCTAAATGTATGACAGCCATTCCATTCCAGTGTCTATTGAATTCCAACACAGGCACACCTCATTCTACTGAATTAGGTACTGATTAGGTGATCACCTGAACCAAATCTTTTTTAATGAGGAAAAGTATAAAAACCACTGCTGTGGTCATCACTATCCTCTTGCAATAGGACCAGCTTGATGGTAAAAACAGTGCTAATAGTACCTCAAAAGTCATATTAATTTAAAAAATAACGATTGACCATGCCAAAAGAGTTGAAAAGGAATGTTTTGAGTGAGGAAAAGAAGGGTTCAATTCTGGCTTTACTGGCAGAGGGATACAGTGAGCGTCAGGTTGCTTCCATCCTTAAAATGTCAAAGACAGCGGTTCATAAGAACAAGGTCAAGCAGCAGACATTGGGGACAACAAAGCTACAGACCGGCAGAGGGCGAAAACGACTCTCTACTGACCGGGATGACCGCCAACTCATTCGAATGTCACTCAACAACCGTAGGATGACATCAAGTGACCTACAAAAAGAATGGCAAACGGCAGCTGGGGTGAAGTGCACGTCGAGGACGGTTCGAAACAGGGGGGCAGGGCTGAAGTCGTGCAAAGCTAGAAAAAAGCCCTTCATCAATGAGAAGCAAAGAAGAGCCAGGCTGAGGTTTGCAAAATACCATAAGGATTGGACCGTAGAGGACTGGAGTAAGGTCATCTTCTCTGATGAGTCCAATTTTCAGCTTTGCCCAACACCTGGTCGTCTAATGGTTAGACAGAGACCTGGAGAGGCCTACAAGCCACAGCATCTCGCACCCACTGTGAAATTTGGTGGAGGATCGGTGATGATCTGTGGGTGCTTCAGCAAGGCTGGAATCGGGCAGATTTGTCTTTGTGAAGGACGCATGAATCAAGCCACGTACAAGGTTGTCCTGGAAGAAAACTTGCTTCCTTTTGCTCTGACATTGTTCCCCAACTCTGAGGATTGGTTTTTCCAGAAGGACAACGCGCCATGCCACACAGCCAGGTCAATCAAGGTGTGGATGGAGGACCACCAGATCAAGACCCTGTCATGGCCAGCCCAATCTCCAGACCTGAACCCCATTGAAAACTTCTGGAATGTGATCAAGAGGAAGCTGGATGGTCACAAGCCATCAAACAAAGCCGAGCTGCTTGAATTTTTGCGCCAGGAGTGGCATAAAGTCACCCAACATCAATGTGAAAGACTGGCGGAGAGCATGCCAAGACGCATGAAAGCTGTGATTGAAAATCAGGGTTATTCCACCAAATATTGATTTCTAAACTCTTCCTTAGTTAAAACATTAGTATTGTGTTGTTTAAAAATGAACATGAACTTATTTTCTTTGCATTATTCGAGGTCTGACAACACTGCATATTTTTTGTTATTTTGACCAGTTGTCATTTTCTGAAAATAAATGCTCTAAATGACAATATTTTTATTTGGAATTTGGGAGAAATGTTGTCAGTAGTGTATAGAATAAAACAAAAATGTTATTTTTACCCAAACACATACCTATAGAAAGTAAAACCAGAGAAACAGATAATTTTGCAGTGGTCTCAATTTTTTCCACAGCTGTATATATAGCTATTTAAAAATATATATCTATTCAAATATCTTGCATATCTATATTACTCAAATGCAAAATCACCTGGAACCTTGACACCGTAGACGTTGGCTTCTTCGATACATTCCACCATGATCAGGTGCTCAGTCACCTCTGTGGTGGCCACGTTCTCTCCTTTCCACCTGGACGTCAACTCATATCAGATTAATTCAGTAAGTAACCTGGCCTAGAACCCAAAGAGCAAGCAGAAGCAGAGGCAGACTGGAAACACTTCCAAGAAGCAAGAAACTAAGAGAAACCAAGCTCATAACTCAACCTGTAGGTGATTCACAGGACAGGACAACACATTGTATTAAACCCAGCTCATTATTAAACATTTTGTTTGACAACTACTAAACTAAAACAGCATTCTGACCTGAAGGTGTCTCCGATGCGGTCCATGAAGTAAACAAATCCCTGGTGGTCGATCCTCAGCAGGTCTCCACTGTTGAAGTACAGATCTCCCTTAACAAACACATCTGTCAGCTTCTTCCTGTCTGTCTGCTGCTGGTTATTAGCATAGCCACTGAACGGAGCCCGCGCGCTAATCTTGGAAACCAGTAGACCAGTTTCTCCTGAGGACCAAAACAACAAGTAATTGTGTGTGTGTGAATATGTGTGCGTGAATGTGTGTGTGTGTTCTCACCTTTAGGGACTTTGATACAGAAACCTCTAGAGTCTTTGACAGGTTCCTCTCTCTCTGTGTCATACTGAATCAGAGCGTATGAGAAGCTTGCCTGCAAGCACACATAAACAAACAAACAGACAACAACAAACAAACAGACAACAACAAACAGACAGACAACAACAAACAGACAGACAACGACAGACAGACAGACAGACAGACAGACAGACAGACAGACAACGACAGACAACGACAGACAGACAGACAGACAGACAGACAGACAGACAGACAGACAGACAGACAGACAGACAGACAGACAGACAGACAGACAGACAGACAGACAGACAGACAGACAGACAGACATAACATCAGAAAACAATGACATACAGTATCTATGTGGTGTAATGTTTGAATGTAGTATAATTTACATTTACAGTGTAATGTATGTATGTATGTAGTGTAATGTATGTATTTTAGAACACCTACTCATTCAAGGGTTTTTCTATATTTGTACTATTTTTTACAATGTAGAATAATAGCGAAGACATCAAAACTATGAAATAACACATATGGAATCATGTAGTAACCAAAAAAGACTGGCCAATAAAAATAAAAGATTAAGATGGGCAGTCTGAGATATGGCTTTTTCTTTGCAACTCTGCCTAGAAGGTCAGCATCCCGGAGTCGCCTCTTCACTGTTGACGTTGAGACTGGTGTTTTGTGGGTACTATTTAATGAAGCTGCCAGTTGAGGACCTGTAAGGCGCCTGTTTCTCAAACTATTATTCTGACATTTCACATTCTTAAAATAAAGTGGTGATCCTAACTGACCTAAGACAGGGAATTTTTACTAGGATTAAATGTCAGGAATTGTGAAAAACCGAGTTTAAATGTATTTGGCTAAGGTGTATGTAAACTTCAGACTTCAACTGTATGTAGTATAATGTCTATATGTAGTGTAATGTATGTATGTAGTGTAATTAGTATGTAACACCTACGTAATACGAGTATCTAATAACAATGATGTCATAGTGCCACCAGAAAATATGTTCTACTTCTTCTTGTGTTTCCATACAGAACAGTGTCCTGACACACTTCATCACACCGACCTAATACATCTCACATAGACTGTCAGGAATATAAAAATATAATAGTCTTTCTCATAAGCTCAGTGTTTGCATCCCAATGGCACCCTATTCCCTATATAGTGCACTACATTTGACCAGAGCCCTATGGACCCTAGTCAAAAGTAGTGCACTATATAGGGGATAGGGTGCCATTTGGGACACTGCAGCCATTATTGTCCAAGACAGTAGTCTCACTTTGTGAAGGAAGTGCTCTTTGCCGATCGCGCCGACTTTCCCGATGTAGTTGATGAAGCCGCCATTTCCCTCGGTGGCGCCGTAGCATTCACAGACACGGATGTCACCGAAACGCTGCAGGAACTCTGACCAGGTGTCTGCTCTAAGCCCGTTACCCAGGGCCAGACGTACCTTGTGATGCCTGTCATTATCTTTCTGAGGAGGAGAGGAGAGGAGAGGAGAGGAGAGGAGAGGAGAGGAGAGGAGAGGAGAGGAGAGGAGAGGTGAGAGGAGAGGGGAGAGGAGAAGTGAGGAGAGAGGTGAGGAGAAGTGAGGAGAGAGGAGAGGGGAGAGGTGAGGAGAGGTGAGAGGAGAGGGGAGAGGAGAAGTGAGGAGAGAGGTGAGGAGAAGTGAGGAGAGAGGAGAGGGGAGAGGTGAGGAGAGGTGAGAGGATGTACAGGTATTTGGTTTACATTCATTAATGATAGAATGACAATACTAAATCCGACCATTTCTATTTGGTCTTTAATCCTCTGAATGATCAAACTAACAGGAGGCATGTGTTGCAGTACCTTGGGTGCATTACAGAGGTACCTCATGATCTCTCCTATGTACTGGATCACTGTCACGTTGTATTTCCTGCAGTCATCCCAGAAATTAGAGGCAGAGAATTTACGCCTCAGGACAATGGTGATGCCTGAGAGGAGAAGGTAAAGCACCAACATTCAACAGAGCTCACAACCTCATGGACAAACAAACTAACTAACTGACTGACTGCTAATGATTACCTAACCAACTAACTCACTGACTGACTGACTAAATGATTACCTAACTAACTCACTGACTGACTGACTAAATGATTACGTAACTAACTAACTCACTGACTGACTAAATGGTTACCTAACTAACTAACTCACTGACTGACTAAATTATTACCTAACTAACTAACGCACAGTCCCGTCTGAATGGTTCTGGTTAGGGCCAGGAGTTGTTCCTGACCATGTGACTGAACCAGGAAGGAATAACTCTGGGCCCTAGTTAAAGGCTACAGCACCACTAAGGCCTATGAGTTTTCCTGGTTGATTTTATCGTCTAAGGAAATTATTGACATAAACAGCTTTGAACTCTGGGGGTAGTATCCCAAATGGCGCCCTATTCCCTATAAAGTGCACTACTTTTAACCAGAGCCCCATAGAGAAGACACTCTGGCCGCATCCCAAATGACACCCTATTTCCCCATAGGGCTCTGGTCAAAAGTAGTGCACTATATAGGGAATAGGGTGCAATTTTGAATAATATGGGCCATGGACAAAAAAAAACATTAGTGCACTATAAAGGTAATAGCATGTAATTTGGAAGGCGCCCAGGGACTTTGGTTTGAAACACTAGAAATCACCTCAGAGCCAAGTCACCTCTCGTCCAACGCCCCGAGTAAAGAGACATTACACTAAACAACCCTTAGTAAACCCTGGTCAACATCGTAACAACTTTATTACACGTGACGGCACTGAAATAATATGTAACGTGTAATAATATGTAACGTGTAATAATATGTAACGTGTAATAATATATAATAATATGTAACGTGTATTAATATGTAACGTGTAATAATATGTAATGTGTAATAATATGTAACGTGTATTAATATGTAACGTGTAATAATATGTAATAATATGTAACGTGTAATAATATGTAATGTGTAATAATATGTAATGTGTAATAATATGTAATATGTAACATGTAATAATATGTAACGTGTAATAATATGTAATAATATGTAACGTGTAATAATATGTAACATGTAATAATATGTAATAATGTAACGTGTAATAATATGTAATAATATGTAACGTGTAATAATATATAACGTGTATTTATATGTAACGTGTATTAATATGTAACGTGTATTAATATGTAACGTGTAATAATATGTAACGTGTAATAATATGTAACGTGTAATAATATGTAATAATATGTAACGTGTAATAATATGTAATGTGTAATAATATGTAATAATATGTAACGTGTAATAATATGTAACGTGTAATAATATGTAACGTGTAATAATATGTAACGTGTAATAATATGTAACGTGTAATAATATGTAACGTGTAATAATATGTAATAATATGTAACGTGTAATAATATGTAATGTGTAATAATATGTAATAATATGTAACGTGTAATAATATGTAACGTGTAATAATATGTAATAATATGTAACGTGTAATAATATGTAACGTGTAATAATATGTAACGTGTAATAATATGTAATAATATGTAACGCGTAATAATATGTAATGTGTAATAATATGTAATAATATGTAACGTGTAATAATATGTAACGTGTAATAATATGTAATAATATGTAACGTGTAATAATATGTAACGTGTAATAGTATGTAACGTGTAATAATATGTACCGTGTAATAATATGTAATAATATGTAACGAGTAATAATATATAACGTGTAATAATATGTAATAATGTAACGTGTAATAATATGTAATAATATGTAACGTGTAATAATATATAACGTGTAATAATATGTAATAATATGTAACGAGTAATAATATATAACGTGTAATAATATGTAATAATGTAACGTGTAATAATATGTAATAATATGTAACGTGTAATAATATGTAATAATGTAACATGTAATAATATGTAACGTGTAATAATATGTAATAATATGTAACGTGTAATAATATGTAATGTGTAATAATATGTAATAATATGTAACGTGTAATAATATGTAACGTGTAATAATATGTAATAATATGTAACGTGTAATAATATGTAACGTGTAATAATATGTAACGTGTAATAATATGTAATAATATGTAACGCGTAATATGTAATGTGTAATAATATGTAATAATATGTAACGTGTAATAATATGTAACGTGTAATAATATGTAATAATATGTAACGTGTAATAATATGTAACGTGTAATAGTATGTAACGTGTAATAATATGTACCGTGTAATAATATGTAATAATATGTAACGAGTAATAATATATAATGTGTAATAATATGTAATAATGTAACGTGTAATAATATGTAATAATATGTAACGTGTAATAATATATAACGTGTAATAATATGTAACGTGTAATAATATGTAATAATGTAACATGTAATAATATGTAACGTGTAATAATATGTAACATGTAATAATATGTAATAATATGTAACATGTCATATGTAATGTGTAATTATATGTAATAATGTAACGTGTAATAATATGTAATAATATGTAACGTATAATAATATGTAACGTGTAATAGTATGTAACGTGTAATAATATGTAACGTGTAATAGTATGTAACGTGTAATAATATGTACCGTGTAATAGTATGTAACGTGTATTAATATGTACCGTGTAATAGTATGTAACGTGTAATAGTATGTAACGTGTGTAATAATATATAATGTGTAATAATATGTTATATATGTAACGTGTAACAATATGTAATAATATGTAATAATATGTAACGTGTAACAATTTGTAATAATATGTAATAATTTGTAACGTATAATAATATGTAATAATATGTACCGTGTAATAATATGTAACATGTAATAATATGTAATAATATATCATGTGTAATAATATGTAACGTGTAATAATATGTAATAATATGTAACGTGTAATAATATGTAATAATATGTAATAATATGTAACGTGTAACAATTTGTAATAATATGTAATAATATGTAACGTGTAATACTATGTAATATGTAATGTGTAATAATATGTAATAATATGTACCGTGTAATAATATGTAACATGTAATAATATGTAATAATATGTAATGTGTAACCATATGTAATGTGTAATAATATGTAATAATATGTAACGTGTAATAATATGTAATAATATGTAACGTGTAATAATATGTAATAATATGTAATAATATGTAACATGTAACAATTTGTAATAATATGTAATAATATGTAACGTGTAATACTATGTAATATGTAATGTGTAATAATATGTAATAATATGTAACGTGTAATAATATGTAACGTGTAATAATATGTAATAATATGTAACGTGTAATAATATGTAACGTGTAATAGTATGTAACGTGTAATAATATGTACCGTGTAATAATATGTAATAATATGTAACGAGTAATAATATATAACGTGTAATAATATGTAATAATGTAACGTGTAATAATATGTAATAATATGTAACGTGTAATAATATATAACGTGTAATAATATGTAACGTGTAATAATATGTAATAATGTAACATGTAATAATATGTAACGTGTAATAATATGTAACATGTAATAATATGTAATAATATGTAACATGTCATATGTAATGTGTAATTATATGTAATAATGTAACGTGTAATAATATGTAATAATATGTAACGTATAATAATATGTAACGTGTAATAGTATGTAACGTGTAATAATATGTACCGTGTAATAGTATGTAACGTGTATTAATATGTACCGTGTAATAGTATGTAACGTGTAATAGTATGTAACGTGTGTAATAATATATAATGTGTAATAATATGTTATATATGTAACGTGTAACAATATGTAATAATATGTAATAATATGTAACGTGTAACAATTTGTAATAATATGTAATAATATGTAACGTATAATAATATGTAATAATATGTACCGTGTAATAATATGTAACATGTAATAATATATCATGTGTAATAATATGTAACGTGTAATAATATGTAATAATATGTAACGTGTAATAATATGTAATAATATGTAATAATATGTAACGTGTAACAATTTGTAATAATATGTAATAATATGTAACGTGTAATACTATGTAATATGTAATGTGTAATAATATGTAATAATATGTACCGTGTAATAATATGTAACATGTAATAATATGTAATAATATGTAATCATATGTAATGTGTAATAATATGTAATAATATGTAACGTGTAATAATATGTAATAATATGTAACGTGTAATAATATGTAATAATATGTAATAATATGTAACATGTAACAATTTGTAATAATATGTAATAGTATGTAACGTGTAATAATATGTAACGTGTAATAGTATGTAACGTGTAATAATATGTACCGTGTAATAGTATGTAACATGTATTAATATGTACCGTGTAATAGTATGTAACGTGTAATAGTATGTAACGTGTAATAATATTAATAATATGTATATTATATGTAACGTGTAACAATATGTAATAATATGTAATAATATGTAACGTGTACAATTGTATATATGTAATAATGTGAGTATAATAATATGTAATAATATGTACCGTTATAATATGTAACTGTAATAATTGTAATAATTACATGGTAATAATATGTAACTGTAATATATGTAATATATGTAACGTGTAATAATATGTAATAATATTATAATATGTAACGTGTAACAATTTGTAATATGTAATAAATAGTGTAACTGTATAATATAAGTGTAATAATATGTAATAATATGTACGTGTAATAATATGTAACTGTAATAAATATGTAATAGTATGTAAGTGTAATCATAATGTGTAATATTGTAATAATATGTAACGTGAATAATTGTAATAATATGTTAATATGTAATAATATGTAATCAATAGTACATTACAATTTGTAATAATATGTAATAATAGTAACGTGTAATACTATGTATATGTAACGTGTAATAATATGGTAATAATATGTAATAATATGTAACGTGTAATAATATGTAATAATATGTAACGTGTAGTAATATGTAATAATATGTAATAATATGTAACGTGTAATAATATGTAATAATATGTAACGTGTAATAATATGTAATAATATGTAATAATATGTAACGTGTAATAATATGTAATAATAGGTAACGTGTAATAATATGTAATAATATGTAACGTGTAATAATATGTAATAATATGTAACGTGTAATAATATGTAATAATATGTAACGTGTAATAATATGTAATAATATGTAATAATATGTAATAATATGTAACGTGTAATAATATGTAATAATATGTAACGTGTAATAATATTCAGATACATTTGTATTTTTTATCTTCATCATCAGTGCAAAGTCAGGGGGCTTGCAGAGGAATTTTTATATAGAATCAAAATTATTACTTTCTTTCTCTCCATTTGAATGTAGTTATTGTAATTGCTAGAGATGACATGGAACCAGTTCTGAAGCAGTTCTGAAGAAGTTCTGAACCAGTTCTGAACCAGTTCTGAAGCAGTTCTGAAGCAGTTCTGAAGCAGTTCAGCTCTTCACACCCCTTTATCTCTTTATCCCATATACTGCACTACTATCAGGTTAATGTTATCAACGCAGGAATTGAACACACGACCTGGCCGCTGCCAGAACAACACTCTTACCAACTGTGCCGTACAGTACAGTACCTCTCTCTATGGCTCCAGTCAGGCCCATCATGAAGCCGGCGGTGTGGTAGAGGGGCAGGTAGATGTAGATGACGTCATCAGAGGCCACACCTGAGATGGCCTGCAGAGAGGAGGCCATGGACAGCCTCTCCTGGGTGATCACTGCAGCCTTCGGCAGACCTGAGGACGAGACACCAGGAAGGGCAGGAAACAGAGGATCAGGCCTGATGTGAATCTAAAATGGTATCTTATTCTTTGACCAATCAGAGTCGTGCTATCTAAGATAATTTACCTGTCTGGCATAAACATCAGTAGTCTTCTGTCTAATTCACACTACAGGGCTGACCAGAGCAATACCGTATTGGTCTGGACATTTTATTTTAAAAATTGTTATTTCTAGCACGGTTCCAGCAACAATGGTGGATGCATAACCAGGCCAGTCCAGTGCATCTTGGTTTGGCTCGGCTTACCTGTAGTTCCCGAGGTATAGATGTAGAGGGCGGGGCTCTTTAAGGTGACCTTTGACCTGAGCTGTGGGTCCAGAGGTTGATCTGAGGCCTGCTGTATCCTGCTGCTGCTCAGAGTCTTCATGCCCTCCATCACACACTCTGCCTCCTCCACACCCTGACCCAGCACGAACACACTTACACTCTGCTCCCTCAGGGTGGGGAGCACCTCATCTACCTCTCCACGCAACTCTGGGGGTGGGTTGGGCATAGAGAGGGTAAGAGAGGGAGGGACACAGAGAGGGAGAGAGAGGGAGGGTCAGGGAAAGAGGGTGACAGCGAGAGAGACAGAGGGAGAGCGTACATTTCCTCAGTGAAAACAATGTACTGAGCAAATGTCAAATTGGCTTTTTACCAAATTACCGTACGACAGACCACGTATTCACCCTGCACACCCTAATTGACAAACATACAAACCAAAACAAAGGCAAAGTCTTCTCATGCTTTGTTGATTTCCAAAAAGCTTTTGACTCAATTTGGCATGAGGGTCTGCTATACAAATTGATGGAAAGTGGTGTTGGGGCAAAAACATACAACATTATAAAATCCATGTACACAAACAACAAGTGTGCGTAAAAAATTGGCAAAGAACACACACACTTCTTACCACAGGGCCATGGGGTGAGACAGGGATGCAGTTTAAGCCCCACCCTCTTCAACATATATATCAACGAATTGGCGAGGGCACTAGAACAGTCTGCAGCACCCGGCCTCACCTTACTGAGGTCCTCTGTACCTCAATTGGTAGAGCATGGCGCTTGTAACGCCAGGGTAGTGGGTACGATCCCCGGGATCACCCATACGTAAAAATGTATGCACACATGACTGTAAGTCGCTTTGGATAAAAGCGTCTGCTAAATGGCATATTATTATTATTATTATTATTACTAGAATCTGAAGTCAAATGTCTACTGTTTGCTGATGATCTGGTGCTTCTGTCCCCAACCAAGGATGGCCTACAGCAGCACCTAGATCTTCTGCACAGATTCTGCCAGGACCACAAATACAAATTCCATCTAGACACCGTTGCCCTAGAGCACACAAAAAACAATACATACCTCGGCCTAAACATCAGCGCCACAGGTAACTTCCACAAAGCTGTGAATGATCTGAGAGACAAGGCAAGACGGGCCTTCTATGCCATCAAAAGCAACATAACATTTGACATACATTTTACATTTTAGTCATTTAGCAGACGCTCTTATCCAGAGCGACTTACAGTTAGTGAGTGCATTCATTATTTTTTAAATATATTTTTTTCATACTGGCCCCCCGTGGGAACCGAACCCACTACCAACTGAGCTACATCCCTGCCGGCCATTCCCTCCCCTACCCTGGACGACGCTGGGCCAATTGTGCGCCGTCGCATGGGTCTCCCGGTCGCGGCCGGCTACGACAGAGCCTGGATTCGAACCAGGATCTCTAGTGGCACAGCTAGCACTGCGATGCAGTGCCTTAGACCACTGCGCCACTCGGGAGACAATACCAATTAGGATCTGGCTAAAAATACTTGAATCAGTTATAGAACCCATTGCCCTTTCTGGTTGTGAGGTCTGGGGTCCGCTCACCAAACAAGAATTCACAAAATGGGACAAACACCAAATTGAGACTCTGTATGCAGAATTCTGCATAAAATATCCTCTGTGTACAACGTAAAACACCAAATAATGCATGCAGAGCAGAATTAGGCCGATACCCGCTAATTATCAAAATCCAGAAAGAGCCGTTAAATTCTACAACCACCTAAAAGGAAGTGATTCCCAAACCTTCCATATCAAAGCCATCACCTACAGAGATGAACCTGGAGAAGAGTCCCCTAAGCAAGCTGGTCCTGGGGCTCTGTTCACAAACACAAACAGACCCCACAGAGCCCGAAGACAGCAACACAATTAGACACAACCAAATCATGAGAAAACACAAAGATAATTACACATTGGAAAGAATTAACAAAAAAAACTGTGCAAACTAGAATGCTATTTGGCCCTAAACAGAGAGTACACAGTGGCAGAATACCTGACCACTGTGACTGACCCAAACTTAAGGAAAGCTTTGACTATGTACAGACTTAGTGAGCATAGCCTTGCTATTGAGAAAGGCCGCCGTAGGCAGACCTGGCTCTCAAGAGAAGACAGGCTATGTGCACACTGCCCACAAAATGAGGTGGAAACTGAGCTGCACTTCCTATGACCATATTAGAGACACATATTTCCCTCAGATTACACAGATCCACAAAGAATTCAAAAACAAACCCCATTTTTATCAACTCCCTTATCTACTGGGTGAAATACCACAGTGTGCCATCACAGCAGCAATATTTGTGACCTGTTGCCACAAGAAAAGGGCAACTAGTGAAGAACAAACACCATTGTAAATACAACCCATATTTATGTTTATTTATTTTCCCTTTTGTACTTTAACTATTTGCACATAATATGACATTTGAAATGTCTTTATTCTTTTGGAACTTCTGAGTGTAATGTTCTCTGTTAATTTGTATTGTTTATTTCTCTTTTGTTTACTATCTACTTCACTTGCTTTGGCAATGTTAACATACGTTTCCCATGCCAATAAAGCCCTTAAATTGAATTGAATTGAGAGAGAGAGAGAGAGAGAGAGAGAGAGGAGAGAGAGAGAGAGAGAGCGAGAGAGAGACAGAGAGAGAGACAGAGAGAGAGACAGAGACAGAGAGAGAGATAGACAGAGAGAGAGAGAGAGAGAGAGAGAGAGAGAGAGAGAGACAGAGACAGAGAGAGAAAGAGAGAGACAGACAGACAGAGAGACAGAGAGAGAGAGAGAGAGAGAGAGAGAGAGAGAGAGAGAAATAGAGAGAGAGAGACAGAGACAGAGAGAGAGATAGACAGACAGAGAGAGAGAGAGAGAGAGAAAAGCGAGAGACGAGAGAGAAGAGAGAGAGAACAGACGAGAGAAGAGAGAGAGAGAGAGAGAGAGAGAGAGAGAGAGAGAGAGAGAGAGAGAGAGAGAGAGAGAGCATGAGAATCCTATTCATTCTGGCCAGTGCACTACTAGCACTGCCTCCCACTAGCTGCATAAAGGTCTAGACCCCATGGTTCTCTACACTATAGTTATTATAGATATATGAAGTATTATTCAAAATAGATGTATCAATAATATTATTGTAAACAGCAACACCAAGGTAAGTGGGTTTACCTGAAGCAGCCAGGAGCACGTTGGCTCCGCAGCAGGTGAAACAGTGCAATAAGGACTTGGACCTGATGTTGTAGTTGAGCAGCGCGGCTGTACATCCAAGTTTAGCCAGGGCCAGCCAGATAAACACGTACATGGGCTCGTTGCCCATGAAGAGGGCGACAGTGTCCCCTTCCTTCACGCTTGCGTGCTGTGAGAGCGCCCGGGCGAACTTGTTGCTCTGCTTGTCAACATCCCGGTACGTATACGAACTCTTCTCGAATACAATAAACGGTTTGTTGGGGTGTTTTTTGACCTTATCGAGAAAACAGTCCAGCATGCTGTAGAACGGTTTGCTCCTCTTGATTCTGTCCATTCGGAACCCGAGTACGACGCACGTCACTGTGTAGCGCAGGTCCTGCATAAGGTAAGGATTTCGGAGAAAAAGGAAGAGCGGCAGTATAGCCAATCCTGCCAGTATGGTATATAATAACATGTACATATTGAAAGTTAACGTCTACTTCTTTGTGAATGTCAATAAAAGGTTCCTTCTTCTTGGCCGTGCTTTTTAGGCAAGTAACAGATTATTGCAACATCTCCAGTCGGCAACTCTCCACGACCTATGCACGCAGGTAGGCGTGAGATCCCAAACAGCCAATGGCATTGCGAGGAAGCTAAAGTAAGGAGGTAGTAGGCTTTTCTATTCTTCTAATCATGACCATGGTAGTAAAATATTACAGACAGACAGCTCTAGGGCATTGACCTCCGGGGCGGACTGGCCATCTGGCATTTTTTTGCCTATTGGGCCAGTCAAATTTTTATTTCAGTGTGCAAAATGAAAATGGCCTTGAGGAAAAAATGCTCCGTTGTGGTTGGCCTCAAGGAAAAATGGGCTGTGTGTTAGAAATGCCAGAGCCGATTTCTGGTCCCAGTTCACCCCTGCTGACCTCTATCCATAGATCAATATAATTCCTCCTTGTTTGAGAGTAGACATTTTATTATTTTATGGCCTGCAGGGTTGTTACAGCATGCCTGTCACGTTTGAGTGTCAGAAGGAGCCAACTTACGTTTTTATTACATTGTAATAAATCTCAGCAACACTGTTCAATCACTGTCTCTTATGGCTGTGGGTTTTACATTAGACCATGGCCTGCTAAATACATCAAGCAACATATCAGTTTTCATTCTTTTATTTCCTGTTTCTGTAAAAGGGTTTCATTGTTGACCCATGTCTTCTACCATACACCAGGTCCAGACTACTGCTGGTTTTCTGTTCCACCTGATCATTGATTGCACCCACCTGGTGGCCCAGGTGTAATTTTGTCCCGGATAAGAAGAATAGAGAAAAAAGCAGTGGAACTGGCTTCCAGGCCCAGATATGAATTTGCGGGTTGTACACAGCCACTATATGGAATCATGTAGTAACCAAAAAAGTGTTAAATAAATCAAAATATATTTTATATTTGAGATTCTTCAAATAGCCACCCTTTGCCTTGATGACAGCTTTGCACACTCTTGGCATTCTCTCAACCAGCTTCATTAGGTAGTCACCTGGAATGCATTTCAATTAACAGGTGTGCCTTCTTAAAAGTTAATTTGTGGAATTTATTTCCTTCTTAATGCGTTTGAGCCAATCAGTTGTGTTGTGACAAGGTAGGGGGGGTATACAGAAGATAGCCCTGTTTGGTAAAAGACCAAGTCCATATTATGGCAAGAACAGCTCAAATAAGCAAAGAGAAACGACAGTCCATCATTACTTTAAGACATGAAGGTCAGTCAATACTGAACATTTCAAGAACATTGAAAGTTTCTTCAGGTGCAGTCGCAAAAACAATCAAGCGCTATGATGAAACTGGCTCTCAAGAGGACCGCCACAGGAATGGATGACCCAGAGTTAGAGTTCATTAGAGTTACAAGCCTCAGAAATTGCATCCCCAAGGAATGAGGCCATCCGTTCGGGGACTGCAGAGCTTGCTTTCCCCCAAATGGCACCCTATTCCCTATATAATAGTGTACTCCTTTTCACCAAGATTCACAGGGCTCTAGTCAAAAGTTATTCACTATATAGGGAATAGGGTGCCATTTGAACTGTCTGGATACCAGATAACAGTTATTATTGATTAAAACATGCTGGACAGGAAATTCACTGTTCTCGCAATAATGAGCAATAAATAATGAGCACTAAATAAACTTCAGTTAGAGCTAAACACGGCTGCTAGAATCTTGACCAAACAATTGGATCATATTACTCCAGTGCTAGCCTCTCAACACTGGCTTCCTGTTAAGGCTAGGGCTGATTTCAAGGTTTTACTGCTAACCTACAAAGCATTAAATGGGCTTGCTCCTACCTATCTCTCCGATTTGGTCCTACATAACTTCATGTACGCTACGGTCACAAGACACAGGCCTCCTTATTGTGCCTAGAATTTCTAAGCAAACATCTGGAGGCAGGGCTTTCTCCTATAGAGCTCCATTTTTATGGAATGGTCTGCCTATCCATGTGAGAGACGCAGACTCGGTCTCGACCTTTAAGTCTTTACTGAAGACTCATCTCTTCAGTAGGTCCTATGATTGAGTGTAGTCTGGCCCAGGGGTGCGAAGGTGAACGGCAAGGCACTGGAGCGACAAACCGCCCTTGCTGTCTCTGCCTGGCCGGCTCCCCTCTCTCCACTGGGATTCTCTGCCTCTGACCCTATTACGGGTCTGAGTCCCTGGCTTACTGGTGCTCTTCCATGCCATCCCTAGGAGGGGTGCATCACTTAAGTGGGTTGAGTCACAGATGTGATCTTCCTGTCCGGTTTGTCGCCCCCTCGGGCTCGTGCAGTGGAGGAGATCTTCGTGGGCTATACTCAGCCTTGTAGGTTGGTGGTCTGTTGATATCCCTCTGGTGGTGTGGGGGCTGTGCTTTGGCAAAGTGGGTGGGGTTATATCCTGCCTGGTTGGCCCTGTCCGGGGGTATCGTCAGACGAGGCCACAGTGTCTCCCGACCCCCCCGTCTCAGCCTATAGTATCTATGCTGCAATAGTCTATGTGCCGGGGGGCTAGGGTCAGTCTGTTATATCTGGTGTTATTCTCCTGTCTTATCCAGTGTGCTCCCTCTAATTAAGTATGCTCCCTCTAATTCTCTCTCTCTCCCTCCCCTCCCGGAGGACCTGAGCCCTAGGACCTGCCTCAGGACTACCTGGCCTGATGACTCCTTGCTGTCCCCAGTCCACCTGGTCGTGCTGCTGCTCCAGTTTCCACTCTTCTGCCTGCGGCTATGGAACCCTGACCTGTTCACCGGACGTGCTACCTTGTCCCAGACCTGCTGTTTTCAACTCTCTCTCTCTTCCGCACCTGCTATTTCAACCTCTAAATGCCGGCTATGAAAAGCCAAGTGACATTTACGCCTGATGTACTGACCTGTTGCAACCTTTACAACCACTGTGATTATTATTTGACCCTGCTGGTCATCTATGAACGTTTGAACATCTTGGAGAAAAATCTGGCCTTAATGGCCATGTACTGTTATAATCTCCACCCGGCACAACCAGAAGGGGACTGGCCACCCCTCAGAGCCTGGTTCCTCTCTAGGTTTCTTCCTTTCTAGGGAGTTTTTCCTAGCCACCGTGCTTCTACATCGGCATTGCTTGCTGTTTGTGGTTTTAGGCTGGGTTTCTGTATAGCACTTTGTGACATCTGCTGATGTAAAAAGGGCTTTATAAATACATTTAATTGATTGATTGATTGATACTGTGCTTCAGACATTTTTAAAATAGGTTGTTTTGGTGAATCGTTTTTATAGAAAATGTTTTACCACACTGACGGATATGCCTCTCCTCTGTTTCAACAACAAAACAAAAAGAATTACAGTCGCTGGGGCGAAGAGTGGCAGTTTCCCCAAAAGGTCACTAGTCTACTGAACAAACATATAAACGCAACATGCAACAATTTCAACGATTTTACTGAGTTACAGTTCTTATAAGGAAATCAGTCAATTGAAATAAATTCATTAGGCCCTAATCTATGGATTTCACATGACTGGGCAGGGGCGCAGCCATGGGTGGGCCTGGGAGGGCATAGGCCCACCCACTGTGGAGCCAGGCCCATCAGAATTAGTTTTTCCCCACAAAAGGGTTTTATTACAGAGAGAAATACTCCTCAGTTTCATCAGCTGTTCGGGCGGCTGGTCTCAGACGATCCCGCAGGTGAAGAAGCCGGATGTGGAGGTCCTGGGCTGGCGTGGACTAAAACAGGTAGGGACTAAGTAATGCTCATTTTTGTTTTCCGTTGCGAAACGTTTTTTGAAACGTTTTCCATTTTATGCCCTAATGAACAGGACCCAAGAGTAGTTGAAGCTCAGATGTGTTCACAGCTTGATGTTGCCTGACACTATGGCGCTGTAGACCTGGCCAGACATTGGTGTGTAGCTCTGCTTTCTCTCCTGGAGGATGTACAGAGGGTCTGGGATGCAGGCCGGGTCGAAACCTTCCTCCACCAACCTCACCTTCATCTGCTTGAAGGTCCCCGTCACCTCCACCGCATTCTGGATATGAGAGAGAAAGAAAGAAAGAGAAAGAGAGACAAACACACACAGGCTTTTAGCTCAGTGGACGATTCATCTCCAGTGATTTTTCTGCCATTGAAATCCTTGGGCTGGGAAAAACATTTCAGTGTAAACGACTAAAATATATTTGTAAATAATATAATCTTTGAGAACTAACAATCACCAAAATAAAAGCTAGACAGTGGGGGAGGATAGAACATTACAAAAACAATGAATTTAGCAGTATAGATTTAGTTTTTATGTTTGAGCAAAAGAACACAGCATTAAACATGGTAAAATGCCTAGAATGGCAGGAAATTAGCTTTAAAACTGCAAAAACCTGTCTCAGCTTTATGGAGAAAAGTGTAAAATTGCAGGAAATTGGCTTAAAAATGCAAACATTTCTCTACGTCGCCAAGATGGGTGCCTCTAAAAAAAAAATGTATCCAGAAAAGCCCCTGATCTCATAAGCAAAAAAGAGTCCACACCAATGTTCCCTCCAAAAACATTAGGCACTGAGAAATTTCAGGTCTGCTGAGTTCAAACTTGAACATTGTGAAAATTCTGTGCAACTTCCAGCGAGCGTTTACTGTGAAACACTGAGGCTGTACCCGCTTTAAGTTACAGTTTTAACAGTGGTCAAGTAGGCTACTGTGGCTATTTGATCATAATGTAGGCCAACTAGAGTGGCCTACCATAAAATACAATGGAGAAAAATGTATCCCATAACATTTTAACATGGAAATAGCTGTTCTATCAGTCAGCCTACAGTAGCAGCTAATGTGTGGTGTTCAATGTAGGCCTACATTCCATGAGACTTTTGGGAAAAAAACAGGCAGGGCTTGACATTAACCTGTTTATCTACTTGTCCTTCAGACAAGGAGGTGACTGAAAATATTGTTGTGTTTGATGCAAGAAACCACTTTACAAAATAAAATGCATTATTATTATTCCCATTATCCCCCCCCCCCCCCCCCCCCCCCCAGCATGGTAGTCTCTGGGCTACTGCATGGTCGTCTCTGGGCTACTGCATGGTAGTCTCTGGGCTACTGCATGGTAGTCTCTGGGCTACTGCACGGTAGTCTCTGGGCTACTGCACGGTAGTCTCTGGGCTACTGCACGGTAGTCTCTGGGCTACTGCATGGTAGTCTCTGGGCTACTGCATGGTAGTCTCTGGGCTACTGCATGGTAGTCTCTGGGCTACTGCATGGTAGTCTCTGGGCTACTGCATGGTAGTCCCGGGAGCTGCACGGTAGTCTCTGGGCTACTGCATGGTCGTCTCTGGGCTACTGCATGGTAGTCTCTGGGCTACTGCATGGTAGTCTCTGGGCTACTGCATGGTAGTCTCTGGGCTACTGCATGGTAGTCCCGGGAGCTGCACGGTAGTCTCTGGGCTACTGCATGGTCTCTCTGGGCTACTGCATGGTAGTCTCTGGGCTACTGCATGGTCGTCTCTGGGCTACTGCATGGTAGTCTCTGGGCTACTGCATGGTAGTCTCTGGGCTACTGCATGGTCGTCTCTGGGCTACTGCGTGGTAGTCTCTGGGCTACTGCGTGGTAGTCTCTGGGCTACTGCGTGGTAGTCTCTGGGCTACTGCGTGGTAGTCTCTGGGCTACTGCGTGGTAGTCTCTGGGCTACTGCATGGTCTCTCTGGGCTACTGCATGGTAGTCTCTGGGCTACTGCATGGTCGTCTCTGGGCTACTGCATGGTAGTCTCTGGGCTACTGCATGGTCGTCTCTGGGCTACTGCGTGGTAGTCTCTGGGCTACTGCGTGGTAGTCTCTGGGCTACTGCGTGGTAGTCTCTGGGCTACTGCGTGGTAGTCTCTGGGCTACTGCGTGGTAGTCTCTGGGCTACTGCGTGGTAGACTCTGGGCTACTGCGTGGTAGTCTCTGGGCTACTGCATGGTAGTCTCTGGGCTACTGCATGGTAGTCTCTGGGCTACTGCATGGTAGTCTCTGGGCTACTGCATGGTAGTCTCAGGGCTACTGCATGGTAGTCTCTGGGCTACTGCATGGTAGACTCTGGGCTACTGCATGGTAGTCTCTGGGCTACTGCATGGTAGTCTCTGGGCTACTGCATGGTAGTCTCTGGGCTACTGCATGGTAGTCTCTGGGCTACTGCGTGGTAGTCTCTGGGCTACTGCATGGTAGTCTCTGGGCTACTGCGTGGTAGTCTCTGGGCTACTGTGTGGTAGTCTCTGGGCTACTGCGTGGTAGTCTCTGGGCTACTGCGTGGTAGTCTCTGGGCTACTGCGTGGTAGACTCTGGGCTACTGCATGGTAGTCTCTGGGCTACTGCATGGTAGTCTCTGGGCTACTGCATGGTAGTCTCTGGGCTACTGCATGGTAGTCTCTGGGCTACTGCATGGTAGTCTCAGGGCTACTGCATGGTAGTCTCTGGGCTACTGCATGGTAGACTCTGGGCTACTGCATGGTAGTCTCTGGGCTACTGCGTGGTAGACTCTGGGCTACTGCATGGTAGTCTCTGGGCTACTGCATGGTAGTCTCTGGGCTACTGCATGGTAGACTCTGGGCTACTGCATGGTAGTCTCTGGGCTACTGCATGGTAGTCTCTGGGCTACTGCATGGTAGTCTCTGGGCTACTGCATGGTAGTCTCAGGGCTACTGCATGGTAGTCTCTGGGCTACTGCATGGTAGACTCTGGGCTACTGCATGGTAGTCTCTGGGCTACTGCATGGTCGTCTCTGGGCTACTGCGTGGTAGACTCTGGGCTACTGCATGGTAGTCTCTGGGCTACTGCATGGTAGTCTCAGGGCTACTGCATGGTAGTCTCTGGGCTACTGCATGGTAGACTCTGGGCTACTGCATGGTAGTCTCTGGGCTACTGCATGGTAGTCTCTGGGCTACTGCGTGGTAGACTCTGGGCTACTGCATGGTAGTCTCTGGGCTACTGCATGGTAGTCTCAGGGCTACTGCATGGTAGTCTCTGGGCTACTGCATGGTAGACTCTGGGCTACTGCGTGGTAGTCTCTGGGCTACTGCGTGGTAGTCTCTGGGCTACTGTGTGGTAGTCTCTGGGCTACTGCGTGGTAGTCTCTGGGCTACTGCGTGGTAGTCTCTGGGCTACTGCGTGGTAGACTCTGGGCTACTGCATGGTAGTCTCTGGGCTACTGCATGGTAGTCTCTGGGCTACTGCATGGTAGTCTCTGGGCTACTGCATGGTAGTCTCTGGGCTACTGCATGGTAGTCTCAGGGCTACTGCATGGTAGTCTCTGGGCTACTGCATGGTAGTCTCTGGGCTACTGCGCGCCTGCCCGCAGCTTAGAGGGAACATTGGTCCACACACACTCTGATATATGCTCCATTTTTCAACCCGTAGGTTGAGACAAAAGCAAAAATGTTGATTCTACTTTCTAATATATAATAATATGAATTGTCTACAATTAATAATGTAATGTAAGAAGAAAGACTTTTCAATAGTTACCTGAATGCGTATGAAGCGTGGCCGTGCATATGGCGGTAAGTAGCTGGCTACATGGCTGAACGTTTTGTTGCCATCAAACTGTTCTCCCTCCTTCACCGTGACGGCAGCCATTCCAATCCTCCCCTCGTGGCCTTGGAGACAGAACACAACAATCACTCATTCCAACAACTAAACAATCAGAACGCAACAATCACTCATTCCAACAACTGAACAATCAGAACGCAACAATCACTCATTCCTACAACTGAACAATCAGAACGCAACAATCACTCATTCCAACAACTAAACAATCAGAACACAACAATCACTCATTCCAACAACTAAACAATCAGAACGCATCATACTGTGACACTTTCTGTATTTTAAAGTTATTTTAAACTTGACTGCTGACATGCAAAACATTTTGGGACTGTATCAACAGTGGACTAATGAAACAAACACCAGAAGATAATTCCACTAAAACTTTCAACAAGAAGTTAAGTTTCAAATGATCATCGTCTGGTGAGTGGAACAGTGGTTCTTATATCAGCTCGCTTGCTGTTTTTAGCTATCGCGTTGAAAAGAACGTCTGCGAAACATTGTTGTAGTTTTTAAACTTTAGAGCACTGGTTAAACTTTAGAGCACCAGTTAAACTTTAGAGCACCGGTTAAACTTTAGAGCACCAGTTAAACTTTAGAGCACCAGTTAAACTTTAGAGCACCGGTTAAACTTTAGAGCACCAGTTAAACTTTAGAGCACCAGTTAAACTTTAGAGCACCAGTTAAACTTTAGAGCACCGGTTAAACTTTAGAGCACCGTTAAACTTTAGAGCACCAGTTAAACTTTAGAGCACCAGTTAAACTTTAGAGCACCAGTTAAACTTTAGAGCACCAGTTAAACTTTAGAGCACCAGTTAAACTTTAGAGCACCAGTTAAACTTTAGAGCACCAGTTAAACTTTAGAGCACCAGTTAAACTTTAGAGCACCAGTTAAACTTTAGAGCACCAGTTAAACTTTAGAGCACCGGTTAAACTTTAGAGCACCAGTTAAACTTTAGAGCACCAGTTAAACTTTAGAGCACCAGTTAAACTTTAGAGCACCGGTTAAACTTTAGAGCACCGGTTAAACTTTAGAGCACCAGTTAAACTTTAGAGCACCAGTTAAACTTTAGAGCACCAGTTAAACTTTAGAGCACCAGTTAAACTTTAGAGCACCGGTTAAACTTTAGAGCACCGGTTAAACTTTAGAGCACCGGTTACTTTGTGTGCTGAATGTGAAAAATATGTTTGCAATGGGAAGTGATTGTTGTACATTTCGATTGGGAAATGCTTAGCCTAATGGTTGTGTTTTTGTATTCTTATGACTGGGACCTACTGGCTTTTTGCAGTGTATTTGGATAGTATTCTGACCCCTTGACTTTTTCCACATGTTGTTAAGATACAGCCTTATTCTAAAACGGATTCAATACCCCCCCCCCCCTCATCAATCTACACACAATACCCCATAATGACAAGGATCTCTCTGTACTTTGCTCCGTTCATCTTTCCCTCTATCCTGACTAGTCTCCCAGTCCCAGCCGCTGAAAAACATCCCCACAGCATGATGCTGCCACCACCATGCTTCACCGTAGGGATGCTGCCAGGTTTCCTCCAGACGTGACACTTGGCATTCAGGCCAAAGAGTTCAATCTTGGTTTCATCAGACCAGAGAATCTTGTTTCTCATGGTCTGAGAGTCCTTTAGGTGCCTTTTGGCAAACTCCAAGCGAGCTGTCATGTGCCTTTTACTGAGGAGTGGCTTCCGTCTGGCCACTCCACCATAAATGCCTGATTGGTGGAGTGCTGCAGAGATGGTCGTCCTTCTGGCAGGTTCTCCCATCTCGACAGAATAACTCTGGAGCTCTGTCAGAGTGACCATCGGGTTCTTGGTCACCTCCCTGACCAAGGCCCTTATCCTCCAATTGCTCAGTTTGGCTGGGCGGCCAGCTCTAGGAAGAGTCTTGGTGGTTTCAAACTTCCTCTGCCACCTTTCACCGCAGATGCGGAAGTGTGACATCGGCGGATGTGGTGGATTGAGACGCATCCAATGCAAGATATCTCTATCTTAAACTAACAGATTTTGGGGGGATTTTTTTTTTTTTTACACCATGTTGAGTGTGACTGCTCTCTTTCTATAAACCCTATGTGTGTTCTCTCCTACATGGCGCGCTGCATATTACAGTCACTGTTCTTTCAGCATCACCAGCCTGTCAAACACACATCCTCTGATGTGTCACTGTTGTTGTCGTGGTGATAGTGTGATAGTGATGGCGTCAGGCTACCACAGGCTGTGTAAGCAGCGTGGTTGTGGTTGTTGGTAGCATTATCCATGAGGGTGCTGCCTCTGTGTGAGTGGCAGACCCAACCATGGCTCGGCCTCAGGCCTGTTTCATTTAGTTGGGTGCATTAAGTGATGCTATGTTTCTGTTATTTTTCTAGATTTTTTAGTTTGGTACAACGTGTTGGAAGGCTTAGGTCCAATTGCCACTGTTTGCGTTCGAGTTAATGTTACCTGGTACTTGGATCAAGATTAGGGTTACCTGGTCCCTCGATCAAGGTTAGGGTTAGGGTTCCCTGGTACTTGCATTAAGGTAAGGGTTAGATTTACCTGGTACTTGGATTAAGGTAAGGGTTATATTTACCTGGTACTTGCATTAAGGTAAGGGTTAGATTTACCTGGTACTTGGATTAAGGTAAAGGTTAGATTTACCTGGTACTTGGATTAGGTATGGGTTAGATTACCCTGGTACTTGGATTAGGTAAGGGTTAGATTTACCTGGTACTTCCTTAAGGTCAGGGTTAGATTTTAACCTGGACGGATTAAGGTAAGGGTTAGATTTACCTGGTACTTGGATTAAGGTAAGGGTTAGATTTACCTGGTACTTGGATTAAGGTAAGGGTTAGATTTAACCTGGTTACTTTGGATTAAGTTAAAGGGTTTAGTATTTACCTGGTAATCTTGGATTCCTTAGGTTAGATTTACACTGGTACTTGGTTAAGGTTGGGTTAGATTTACCTGGTACTTGGATTAAGGTAGGGTTAGATTTACCTGGTACTTGGATTAGGTAAGTTAATTTACCTGGTAACTTGGATTAAGGTTCAGGGTTAGATTTACCTGGTACTTGGATTATGTAGGGTTAGATTTTACTGGTACGTGGATTAAGGTTAGGGTTAGATTTACCTGGTACTTGGATAAGGTAAAGGGTTAGATGTACCTGGACTTGTATTACGGTTCGGTAGATTTACCTGGTAACTTTTGGATAGGTGGGTTAATTTACCTGGTACTTTTGGATTAAGGGAAGGGTTATATTTACCTGGTACTGTTGGATAAGTAAGGGTGTTTAGATTTACCTGGTACTTGGATTAAGGTTAGGGTTAGATTTACCTGGTACTTGGATTAATGTTAGGGTTAGATTACCTGGTACTTGGATTAAGGTTGGGTTAGATTTACCTGGTACTTGGATTAAGGTAAGTGGATAGATTTACCTGGTACTTGGATTAAGGTAAGGGTTAGATTTACTGGTACTTGGATTAAGGTTAGGGTGTAGATTTACCTGGTACTTGATTAGAGTTAGGGTTAGATTACCTGGTACTGGATTAAGGTAAGGGTTAGATTTACCTGGTACTTGGATTAAGGTAAGGGTTAGATTTACCTGGTACTTGGATTAAGGTAAGGGTTAGATTTACCTGGTACTTGGATTAAGGTAAGGGTTAGATTTACCTGGTACTTGGATTAAGGTTAGGGTTAGATTTACCTGGTACTTGGATTAAGGTTAGGGTTAGATTTACCTGGTACTTGGATTAAGGTTAGGGTTAGATTTACCTGGTACTTGGATTAAGGTTAGGGTTAGATTTACCTGGTACTTGGATTAAGGTTAGGGTTAGATTTACCTGGTACTTGGATTAAGGTTAGTGTTAGATTTACCTGGTACTTGGATTAAGGTTAGGGTTAGATTTACCTGGTACTTGGACGCCGTAGACATTCGCCTCTTGGACAAAGTCTATCAGGGTGAGGATGTCAGCTACTTCAGTTGTGGCCACGTTCTCTCCCTTCCACCTGTAGGGGTCAATACAACTCCAGTCAATATCATATAATATGTTCTCTCCCTTCCACCTGTAGGGGTCAATACAACTCCAGTCAATATAATATCATAGAATATAATAGAGTATGGTTCCATATATTTGGAAAGTCATACTGTAGGTCAGGATATGTACCTGAATGTATCTCCGACTCGATCCTGAAAGTAAATAAAGTTGTCCTGGTCTATCTTCAGCAGGTCTCCACTGTTAAAGTACAGATCTCCTTTCTGAAACACGTCTCTCAGTCTCTTCTTCTCTGTCTGCTGGCTGTTCTTAGCGTATCCAACAAAAGGAGCGATGTCTGTGATCTTCGACACCAACAGTCCTGTCTCACCTTCAGGAAGACACACACACACACCATAATGTAGACCTACACCCAACAGTCCTGTCTCACCTTCTTGAAGTCACACACACACCATAATGTAGACCTACTCCAACAGTCCTGTCTCACCTTCAGGAAGACACACACACCATAATGTAGACCTACTCCAACAATCCTGTCTCACCTTCTTGAAGACACACACACCATAATGTAGACCTACTCCAACAGTCCTGTCTCACCTTCAGGAAGACACACACACCATAATGTAGACCTACACCCAACAGTCCTGTCTCACCTTCAGGAAGACACACACACCATAATGTAGACCTACACCCAACAGTCCTGTCTCACCTTCAGGAAGACACACACACCATAATGTAGACCTACACAGTCTCTGCCTTAGGGAAAGGGCCATACACACACACATGAATAGCATAATATACATTGAGATCTGTGTGATTTTCAGGTCATTATTGTAAACCAGAATGTGACCACAATAACCTCCCTGGTTGAATAAAAGCAATTAATAAATGAATAAACAGTACAGAACGAGCCTCCAACTCCAGCCCTGGAGAGCTAGAGTACAGTGGGTGCAGGCTTTTGTTCCTGCCCAACACTAACACACCTATGAAAGAGTATCTCACCTTTAGGAGCTTCTACACACAGTCCGGTAGAGTCTCTGATTGGTTCATCTCTCTCTGTGTCGTATTTAATCAGAGCATAAGGAAACAGCTTCTATAAGAGGGAGAGACACCATGATCAGAACATAGTGAAACAGCTTCTATAAGAGGGAGAGACACCATGATCAGAACATAGTGAAACAGCTTCTATAAGAGGGAGAGACACCATGATCAGAACATAGTGAAACAGCTTCTATAAGAGGGAGAGGAGAGACATCACTGTGATAAAGGCACGGTATTTCAGTTGATTTTCGGACCTGGTAAAATGTCCAATGTACATTTTCTACAACGTAAAACCTTTACCAATTTAATACAAATAAAAGTATCTAGCTATCCTAAGATAAACGTTACTAACTGTAAGTGAGTCTTGGATAAGAGCGTTTTCTAAATGACTAAAATGTGATGTAAATGTAGAGGGAAGCATGATATCTCAGTAGAGTTGGGGTCAATTCCATTTCAATTCAGTAACTGATATTAAATGGAATTGTCCCCAACCCTGGTTCTTAGAAGTCAGATCTTCAGTCCCCTTATTCATAAAGTGTCTCAGAGTAAAGAGTGCTGATCTAGGATCAATTTGACCTTTTAGATCATAATGAATAAGATTTAATGAACAGGGGGGGACCTGATCCGAGATCAGCACTCCTACTCTGAGAGGCATTATGAATCCTGGCCCCAGGAGTCAGGGCTGTTCAGGAGTCAGTCCTTACCCGGTGTAGGTAGTTGACTCGTCCGATAGCTCCTATCTTCCCGGTGTAGTTGACGAATCCCACGTTGCCCTCAGTTGAAGCATAAAACTCCCTCACGTCCATGTTCCCAAAGCGGTTGAGGAACTCCTTCCATATCTCTGCTCTCACACCGTTACCAATGGCCAGCCTGACTTTGTGCTCTCTGTCGTTGTCTCTCTGGAACGTTGGGAGAAAACAGAAACATTCATCTTTTTCAATGTTTATTTTTATTTTTTATGTCAATCATGTTATTGTGAAGACAAACACACATTTACTCATTGGGTGAACAATAATGTTTTTCTAATTCTGATTTTCATTTGAACAGCCATATAGTGTATTACCAATACCTGGAAAATATCCTGTGGTTTGAGTACCAGGCAGTAAAACAGACATTTTAAAAACAACTCAAATGGAAATCATGTAACCTCAGTACGACCTTGCCGTCAAAAATTGTTTTCAGAATGAAAATCAAAACCTTAAAGTACCAATATCTTTGCCTGGCTTCCCAAACTCCTTGCACTGGCCAAACGCTAGGCCACGCCCACGGACGTTAGTTTCTTCTCTGCGATGAGTCTGGATCTGAGTACCTCCCTGTCAATTTCTAGAACGCAAACACATTCTAAACTTTCTGATTGGTCCCAGAAACCAATGGGTTGAGCCAGAGACAGAACACACGTGGATAAAGCTACGTTTTGAAAATGCGTAATTGGCATTGATACTCTGATTGGTTAGAGATGATCCAATCGCTGATGACTTTGTTTTGTACAACACCCCTCATTTTGATGTCACCACAAACGACTTCAGCGATGGCAGTCTCAGACTGAAGTATGTAGCGAACACAGGGCAGCGGAACAATTCAGTTTAAGTCGTCAGGCAACCAATATCTTTCCTTTTCAATATCTTTCAATATCTTTCCTTTTCAATATCTTTCAATATCTTTCCTTTTCAATACCTTTCAATTTCTTTCCTTTTCAATACCTTTCAATATCTTTCCTTTTCAATACCTTTCAATATCTTTCCTTTTCAATACCTTTCAATATCTTTCCTTTTCAATACCTTTCAATATCTTTCATTTTCTATACATTCTACAGTATATGTAGGTACAGTACATTCAGTTCCAAAAGTCATTTGGAAACAACTGAAATGAAAACTAACATTGTAAGCTAACATTCTATTAGGTTCTATTAACATTCTAACCTAACATTCTAACCTAACATTCTATAACATTCTAACCTAACATTATATTAGGTTCTATTAACATTCTATAACATTCTAACCTAACATTATATTAGGTTCTATTAACATTCTAACCTAACATTCTATAACATTCTAACCTAACATTCTATAACATTCTAACCTAACATTATATTAGGTTCTATTAACATTCTAACCTAACATTCTATAACATTCTAACCTAACATTCTATAACATTCTAACCTAACATTCTATTAGGTTCTATTAACATTCTAACCTAACATTCTATAACATTCTAACCTAACGTTCTATAACATTCTAACCTAACATTATTTTGAACTATCCAATGAAAGGTTCGAATACATGACCCGCAATACATGATTACATTCCCCTTCCCTGACGCAGAGATATGGTTTCCCAGCCTCAGCCCCAGTCCAAGCCTCAGCCCCAGCCTCAGCCCCAGCCTCAGCCCCAGCCGCAGCCCAAGCCTCAGCCCCAGCCTCAGCCCCAGCCCCAGCCTCAGCCTCAGCCTCAGCCCCAGCCTCAGCCCCAGCCTCAGCCCAAGCCCCAGCCTCAGCCCCAGCCTCAGCCCCAGCCCCAGCCCAAGCCTCAGCCTACCACTGACTGTCATTCCACATGGTAGAGTTCCTAAGTAAAGGCCACTAGCTATTCCGAGAGGACCACCAGATCAGAACCACGAGGGTGGGTCCTAAATGACACCCTATTCCCTATATACTGTAGTCCACTACTTTTGCCCTGGTGAAACTATATAGGGAATAGGGTGCCATTTCAGATGCAACTCTAGACCACTAGGCTGTGGGAGGGTCACATGGTGTGTCTGTACGTGGAGAGGGGTTCAGTTTCAAATGGCGGAACACAGAATGTTTACATTGCTCTCCAGGACACGCCTTTCAGGGCCCTGAAATATGACATAACAAGTAAGGGGACGTGGATGACGTGCAAACCAATATTTCATTTCTGAATTGGTTCAAATTAGTTTAGGGTTGGAGTTAGGGTTAGAGTTAGGGTTAGGGTTAGGGTTAGAGTTAGGGTTAGGGTTAGGGTTAGGGTTAAGGTAATGGTTAGGGTTAGGGTTAGGGTTATGGTTAGGGTTAGGGTTAGGGTTATGGTTAGGGTTTGGGCTAGTTGAGCGGTCAATGGGATGCTGGTCAGAAAAGTATTTTAAGTCTCCCCCCATACATTTTGGGGAAAGGCTCCTTTTGGGAGATTTGGTGATGAGAAGAAGACAGAACTGCCTGCATGTAGCCTAGTCCAGAAAATACAAGGTGATGGCATCTTCCATAAAATGGCGTCTCTCATAACCGCCTGCATATTTTTACCGTAAAAAAAAAAAGAGGCACATGAGAAACATCTGCTACTATAATATCCAGATTAAAACCTAACCTATCGATGAAATGTTGAACTCGATCATCTGTCTGGATTCAATCCAACTCAATAGAAAATATCACCTTAGAACATTCCAGGTCAGTGATATTGATAACAGTAAGGTGACACAGTGAATCTATTTCCGACGCTACAGCTGTGGCCGGGTTGTAAGACAACCTAGCTGGAGAGTTTTGGAAGTGGCCGAGAGGGTCTCGGTCTGATTGGACAAACAGAAGGAGCAGTTCGCGCCACAAAGTCTGGGAGTAAACCACACCTGGCTTCACTAGTCTGTAACACTATAAGAGCGTCTGCTAAATGAATAAAATGTAAAATGTAGTCTGTGACACTAGTCTGTAACACTAGTCTGTGACACTAGTCTGTAACACTAGTCTGTGACACTAGTCTGTGACACTAGTCTGTAACACTAGTCTGTAACACTAGTCTGTGACACTAGTCTGTGACACTAGTCTGTAACACTAGTCTGTGACACTAGTCTGTAACACTAGTCGGTAACACTAGTCTGTAACACTAGTCTGTAATACTAGTCTGTGACACTAGTCTGTAACACTAGTCTGTAACACTAGTCTGTGACACTAGTCTGTGACACTAGTCTGTAACACTAGTCTGTAACACTAGTCGGTAACACTACCCTGTACACTATCTGTAAACTATCTTGACCTAGTCGTAACCCTAGTCGTACACTAGTCTTGACATTATCTTACACTAGCCCTGTAAACTAGTCTGTGACACTACCCGGGTAACCATCTGTAACACTTGGGGACCAGTCTGTAACCTAGTCGTACCAGTGGGGACACATCGTAACACTAGTCTTACCTATCTGTGACACATCTGAAACCTATCTGTAACCTACTGTACACTTCTTAACCCATCGTACAAGGGGACACTGGGGCGGGGGAAAAAGCGGAACAAGTTTACACAGCTGTGAAACTAGTCGGAATACTGTGACATAGGGGAACATACGGTGACCAGTCGAGAAAGGGTGAAAGGGTGCACTTCTTCACTTTCGTAACACTACTAAAACACTAGTCTTGAACTAGTCGTAACACTACCCCTGTAACCTAGTTGTAACACTGTCTGTAACACTATCTGTGCCTATTCTGTACACTAGCTTGACACTAGTCTGAAACACTAGTCTGAAACACAGTCTGTGACCTGTCTGTGACACTATCTTTAACACTAGTCGTACCAGTCTTGACCCTAGTCTGTATACTATTTTAAACCCTAGTCTGAAACCTATCTGTAACCTATCTGTGACCTATCTGTACCTAGTCTGTGACCAGTCGGAAACACTAGTTGAACCTAGTCTGTGACCTATCTGTACACGGTCAAACACTGTCTGTGACACTTCTGTGACCATCTGTACACTACCCTGCGACACACTAAACCTAGTCTGTAACAATAGTCTGTGACACTACTGTGACCTAGTCGTAACCTATCTTAACATATCTGTCACTAGTCTGTAACACTAGTCTGTGACACTACCTTACACTATCTTGACACTAGTCCCAAAAAGTCTGTGACCTAGTCGTACACTATCTGTGACACTTCTGTACCGTCGTGACCAGTGGGAAACACTAGTCTGTAACACATCTGTGACCTAGTCTGTGACACTGTCTGAAAACCTAGCCCTGAAACCTAGGCTGGGACCTATCTGGGACCTATCTGTGACACTACTGAAACACTAGTCTTAAAAACCAGCTGAGACACTATTTTGTAAACTAGTCTTCCCTATCGGTGACACTAGTCTTGACACATCTTTCACTAGTCTGTGACACAGTCTTAACACATCTGAAACACTATGGGTGACACTAGTCTGGGACCTATCTTTACACTATCGTAACACTATCGAAACACTAGTCTGAACCTGTCTGTACACTATCTGTGCACTATCGGTGACACTAGTCTGTGACACTAGCTTATCATATCTGTGACACATCTGAAACACTACCCTGTAACACTAGTCGGAAACACTTCTGGGACACTATCGGGGACACTTCTGTAACCCCTAACTGTAACACTATCTGTGACACTAGTCTGGTACTAGTCTGTACACTAGTCTTAACACTATCTGTCACTAGCTGGACCTATCTGTAACACTATCTGAAACATATCTGAACCTATCTGTGACACAGTCGGTGACACTAGCTGTGCCTAGTCTTATCACTATCTGTGACACTATTGTAACAACTGTAACACTAGTCTGTCACTAGTCTGTGACACTATCGTAACCTAGTCTGTGACCACTTTTACACATCGAACACTATTCTTGAACATCGTGACACAGCGTAACACTATCTGTAACACTATCTGTGACACTGTCTGGACACTATCGGTAACACTATCTGTGACACTAGTCTGAAAACCTAGTCTGTACACAGTCGTAACATAGTCTAAACACTAGTCTGTAACACATCTGTGCCTAGTCTAAACTATCTTCACTACTGTGACACTACTGAAAACACTAGTCTGTAAACCCTAGTCTGTCCCCTAGTCTTAAAACTAGTCATACCTGTCTGTACACTAGTCAGTAAAACCATCTGTGACACTAGTCTGTGACACTACCTGCCTATCTTGCACTACTGAAACCCTAGTCTGTAACACTAGTCTGTGACACTAGTCTGTGACACTAGTCTGTGACACTAGTCTAACACTTGGGTTCACCATAGCTCAGTGGGTTAGAGCATGGATGCTGCCGGAAACACCAGAGATGTGAGGTTTGATTCCAGCATGGCCCCTGCATGGGAAACACCAGAGATGTGATGTTTGATTCCAGCATGGTTCCTGCATGGGAAACACCAGAGATGTGAGGTTTGATTCCAGCATGGCCCCCACATGGGAAACACCAGAGATGTGAGGTTTGATTCCAGCATGGCCCCTGCATGGGAAACACCAGAGATGTGAGGTTTGATTCCAGCATGGCCCCCAGATGGGAAACACCAGAGATGTGATGTTTGATTCCAGCATGGCCCCCACATGGGAAACACCAGGAAGTGGAGTTTGATTCCAGCATGGCCCCCGCATGGGAAACACCAGGAAGTGGAGTTTGATTCCAGCATGGCCCCCACATGGGAAACACCAGGAAGTGGAGTTTGATTCCAGCATGGCCCCCGCATGGGTTCCTCATGGCCCCTGCATGCTGCCAAGTGGCCTACTAGCATGTTATTATTATTAGTGTGTACTCTACAGCACTCGGTCAAAAATATAATGTCAAATACTTTCAAATCCTTGTCTGAAACATGGCTGAAAACATGGCTGGTCAGCCATATACCCTGTACCTGAGAGAATAAGTAAGCCTTGTCCGAGACAGAAAGGGTCCATATCTCCTGCTTATGTGGCATGAGGCAGCTTGATGTGCAAATAAACCCCCTGGACAGGATGCTAGAACCATAGCAACTACTATGGAATTACTATGTCATAAACCCCCTGGACAGGATGCTAGAACCATAGCAACTACTATGGAATTTCTATGTCATAAACCCCCTGGACAGGATGCTAGAACCATAGCAACTACTATGTAATTACTATGTCATAAACCCCCTGGACAGGATGCTAGAACCATAGCAACTACTATGTAATTACTATGTCATAAACCCCCTGGACAGGATGCTAGAACCATAGCAACTACTATGGAATTACTATGTCATAAACCCCCTGGACAGGATGCTAGAACCATAGCAACTACTATGTAATTACTATGTCATAAACCCCCTGGACAGGATGCTAGAACCATAGCAACTACTATGTAATTACTATGTCATAAACCTCCTGGACAGGATGCTAGAACCATAGCAACTACTATGTAATTACTATGTCATAAAGCCCCTGGACAGGATGCTAGAACCACAGCAACTACTATGTAATGACTATGTCATAAACCTCCTGGACAGGATGCTAGAACCATAGCAACTACTATGTAATTACTATGTCATAAACCCCCTGGACATGATGCTAGAACCATAGCAACTACTATGTAATTACTATGTCATAAACCCCCTGACAGGATGCTAGAACCATAGCAACTACTATGGAATTACTATGTCATAAACCCCCTGGACAGGATGCTAGAACCATAGCAACTACTATGTAATTACTATGTCATAAACCCCCTGGACAGGATGCTAGAACCATAGCAACTACTATGTAATTACTATGTCATAAACCCCTGGACAGGATGCTAGAACCACAGCAACTACTATGTAATGACTATGTCATAAACCTCCTGGACAGGATGCTAGAACCATAGCAACTCCTATGTAATTACTATGTCATAAACCCCCTGGACATGATGCTAGAACCACAGCAACTACTATGGAATTACTATGTCATAAGCTAGTAATAATGATGAATGACAAAACGAAGGTCCCGTTGTATAGAGCTTGCAGCTGAGGTTGCTTACCTTGGGTGTGTTACAGAGGTAGCGTAAGACCTCTCCTATGTACTGGACCACGGTAACGTTGTACTTCCTGCACTCATCCCAGAACTGAGAGGCCGAGAACTTCCTCCTCAGAATGATGGTCGAGCCTGGAACACAGACAGATAGAAGAGATGAAAGAGGAACAATGAAAAGATCGGTTTGAAGAACATGCAGGTGATATAGCTTCATATCAAACAATGGCAGAACTGAAATGCTGACAAAACTGTCATGGTAAGTCAGCAGTGTTGACAAAACTGTTATGGTAAGTCAGCATTGTGTACATGGTCATCGCCAAACACCCTAACACGCAGGCGCGGGTATTAGTTCAGGCACAGGAATGAAACAAGACAGAGCTCTTATAAATGAGGTACATGCTGTAAAACGGGGACCTTGTAGCGGCCGTGAGAGCAGAAATGTTGCCACACATGCTGTGAACCTGTTGTATTCACTTCAGTACCAAAATGTCCCGTAAATCTGCACCCGTGAGCTGGTACTGCATGTGCATCATAATCAGCTTGGGAGTTATTCCTAACCACGTGACCTGACCAGGACATTTCAAATAAAACTTTATTGGTCGCATTCACATATTTAGCAGATGTTATTGCGGGTGTAGTGAAATGCTTGTGTTCCTAGCTCCAACAGTGCAGTAATCTCTAATACACAACAATACACACAAATCTAAAAAGTAAAATAATGGAATTAAGAAATATATAAATATTAGGATGAGCAATGTCCGGAGTATATATACAGTACATATATATATATATGATGGGATGTATATACATTATGGACAGTATATGGATAGAATATGTAGTATATCTGAAGAATAGCATACAGTGCATTCGGAAAGTATTCAGACCCCTTTACTTTTTCCACATTGTTACGTTACAGACTTATTCTAAAATGGATAAAATTGTTTTTTCCCCCCTCATCAATCTACGCACAATACCCCCTAATGACAAAGCAAAAACAGGTTTTTAGAAATGTTTGCAAATGTACAAAAAATAACAAACTGAAATATCACATTTACATAAGTATTCAGACCCTTTACTCAGTACTTTGTTTAAGCACCTTTGGCAGCAATTACAGCCTCGAGTCTTCTTGGGTATGACGCTAAAAGCTTGACACAACTGTATTTGGGGAGTTTCTCCCATTCTTCTCTGCAGATCCTCTCAAGCTCTGTCAGGTTGGATGGGGAGTGTTGCTGCACAGCTATTTTCAGGTCTCTCCAGAGATGTTAGATCGGGTTCAAGTCCAGGATCTGGCTGGGCCACTCAAGGACATTCCAAGATTTGTCCCGAAGCCACTCCTGCGTTGTCTTGGCTGTGTGCTTAGAGTCGTTGTCCTGTTGGAAGGTGAACCTTCACCCCAGTCTGAGGTCCCGAGCGCCCTGGAGCAGGTTTTCATCAAGGATCTCTCTGTACTTTTCTCTGTTCATCTTTGCCTCGATCCTGACTAGTCTCCCAGTCCCTGCCGCTGAAAACATCCCCAAAGCATGATGCTTCCACCACCATGCTTCACCGTAGGGATGGTGCCAGGTTTCCTCCAGACGTGACGCTTGGCATTCAGACCAAAGAGTTCAATCTTGGTTTCATCAGACCAGAGAATCTTGTTTCTTATGGTCTGAGAGTCTTTAGGTGTCTTTTGGAAAAATCCAAGTGGGCTGTCATGTGCCTTTTACTGAGGAGAGGCTTCCGTCTCCGGCCACTCTCCCATAAAGGCCTGATTGGTGGAGTGCTGCAGAGATGGTTGTCCTTCTGGAAGGTTCTCCCATCTCCACAGAGGAACTCTAGAGCTCTTTCAGAGTGACCATCCGATTCTTGGTCACCTCCCTGACCAAGGCCCTTCTCCCCCGATTGCTCAGTTTGGCCGGGCGGCCAGCTCTAGGAAGAGTCTTGGTGGTTCCAAACTTCTTCCATTCCCAAACTTCTTCCATTTAAGAATGATGGAGGCCACTGTGTTCTTGGGGACCTTCAATGCTGCAGAATTTTTTTGCCACCCTTCCCCAGATCTGTGCCGCGACACAATCCTGTCTCGGAGCGCTACGGACAATTCCTTCGACCTCATGGCTTGGTTTTTGCTCTGACATGCACTGTCAACTGTGGGATCTTATATAGACAGGTGTGTGCCTTTCCAAATCATGTCCAATCAATTGAATTTACCACAGGTGGACTCCAATCAAGTTGTAGAAAAAACTCAAGGATGATCCATGGAAACAGGATGCACCTGAGCTCAATTTCTAGTCTCATAGCAAAGGGTCTGAATACTTATGTAAATATGATATTTCTGTTTTTTATTTTTAATACATTTGCAAAAAAATCTAAAAACCTGTTTTCGCTTTGTCATTATGGGGTATTGTGTGTAGATTGGGGAGGAAATTGTTTTATTTAATCCATTTTAGAATAAGGCTGTAACGTAACAAAATGTGGAAAAAGTCAAGGGGTCTGAATACTTTCCGAAGTTACTGTATGTACAACCATAGTTTTATACAGGTAACGAGCTGAGATTAGGAGCTCACGCTTAAAGGGAGTGCTCTTAATCTCAGCTTGTTACCTGTATAAAAGACACCTGTCCACAGAAGCAATCAATCAATCAGATTCCAAACTCTCCACCATGGCCAAGACCAAAGAGCTCTCCAGGGATGTCAGGGACAAGATTGTAGACCTACACAAGGCTGGAATTGGGCTAAAAGACCATCGCCAAGCAGCTTGGTGAGAAGGTGACAACAGTTGGTGCGATTATTCGCAAATGGAAGAAACACAAAATAACTGTCAATCTCCCTCGGCCTGGGGCTCCATGCAAGATCTCACCTTGTGGAGTTGCAATGATCATGAGAACGGTGAGGAATCAGCCCAGAACTACACGGGAGGATCTTGTCAATGATCTCAAGGCAGCTGGGACCATAGTCACCAAGAAAACAATTGGTAACACACTACGCCGTGAAGGACTGAAATCCTGCAGCGCCCACAAGGTACCCCTGCTCAAGAAAGCACACATACAGGGCCGTCTGAAGTTTGCCAATGAACATCTGAATGATTCAGAGGAGGACTGGGTGAAAGTGTTGTGGTCAGATGAGACCAAAATCGAGCTCTTTGGCATCAACTCAACTCGCCGTGTTTGGAGGAGGAGGAATGCTGCCTATGACCCCAAGAACACCATCCCCACCGTCAAACATGGAGGTGGAAACATTATGCTTTGGGGGTGTTTTTCTGCTAAGAGGACAGGACAACTTCACTGCATCAAAGGGACGATGGACGGGGCCATGTACCGTCAAATCTTGGGTGAGAACCTCCTTCCCTCAGCCAGGGCATTGAAAATGGGTCGTGGATGGGTATTCCAGCATGACAATGACCCAAAACACACGGCCAAGGCAACAAAGGAGTGGCTCAAGAAGAAGCACATTAAGGTCCTGGAGTGGCCTAGCCAGTCTCCAGACCTTAATCCCATAGAAAATCTGTGGAGGGAGCTGAAGGTTCGAGTTGCCAAACGTCAGCCTCGAAACCTTAATGACTTGGAGAAGATCTGCAAAGAGGAGTGGGACAAAATCCCTCCTGAGATGTGTGCAAACCTGGTGGCCAACTACAAGAAATGTCTGACCTCTGTGATTGCTAACAAGGGTTTTGCCACCAAGTACTAAGTCATGTTTTGCAGAGGGGTCAAATACTTAATTCCCTCATTAAAATGCAAATCAATTTATAACATTTTTGACATGCGTTTTTCTGGATTTTGTTGTTGTTATTCTGTCTCTCACTGTTCAAATAAACCTACCATTAAAATTATAGACTGATCATGTCTTTGTGAGTGGGCAAACGTACAAAATCAGCAGGGGATCAAATACTTTTTTCCCTCACTGTATGTGCATAGGGCAGCAGCCTCTAAGGTGCATGGTAGAGTAACCGGGTGGTAGCCGTCTAGTGACAGTGACTAAAGTTCAGGGCAGGGTACTGGGCGTAGGCCAGATAGTGGTGACTATTTAACAGTGATGACCTTGAGATAGAAGCTGTTTTTCAGTATCTCGGTCTCAGCTTTGATGCACCTGTAGTGACCTTGACTAGAATACAGTATATACATATGAAATGGGTAAAACGGTATGTAAACATTATTAAAGTGACCAGTGTTCCATTATTAAAGTGACCAGTGTTCCATTATTAAAGTGACCAGTGTTCCATTATTAAAGTGACTAGTGTTCCATTATTAAAGTGACCAGTGTTCCATTATTAAAGTGACCAGTGTTCCATTATTAAAGTGACCAGTGTTCCATTATTAAAGTGACCAGTGTTCCATTATTAAAGTGACCAGTGTTCCATTATTAAAGTGACCAGTGTTCTATTATTAAAGTGACCAGTGTTCTGTTATTAAAGTGACCAGTGTTCCATTATTAAAGTGACCAGTGTTCCATTATTAAAGTGACCAGTGTTCCATTATGGTGCATCTTTTGGTGCATCTGTAGAAGTTTGTGAGGGGCCAAGCCAAATTTCTTCAGCCTCCTGAGGTTGAAGAGGCGCTGTTGCACCCTTTCACCACATTGTCTGTGTGGGTAGACCATTTCAGATTGTCAGTGATGTGTACGCCGTGGAACTTGAAGCTTTTCACCTTCTCCAATGCGGCCCTGTCGATGTGGATGGGGGCGTGCTCCTTCTAATGTCTCAATTTACATTTTAGTCATTTAGCATCAAACATTGTTATATCCAGAGCAATTACAATCAACCTCTGGGCAACCTCCAGGCCCCAGTTATACATTAGACCATAACTAGAGTCTTGTTTAGAGTCTGTCCTGGTCAGATTACGTGGTGAGGGGAAACTCTGGGCCCTAATCATAGTCTATAACTAGAGTCTGTCCTGGTCAGATTACGTGGTGAGGGGAAACTCTGGGCCCTAATCATAGTCTATAACTAGAGTCTTGTTTTAGAGTCTGGTCCTGGTCGGTCAGATTACGTGGTGAGGGGAAACTCTGGGCCCTAATCATAGTCTATAACTAAAGCCTTGGTTAGAATCTGTCCTGGTCAGATTACGTGGTGAGGGAAAACTCTGGGCCCTAATCATAGTCTATAACTAAAGCCTTGGTTAGAGTCTGTCCTGGTCAGATTACGTGGTGAGGGGAAACTCTGGGCCCTAATCATAGTCTATAACTAAAGCCTTGGTTAGAATCTGTCCTGGTCAGATTACGTGGTGAGGGGAAACTCTGGGCCCTAATCATAGTCTATAACTAAAGCCTTGGTTAGAGTCTGTCCTGGTCAGATTACGTGGTGAGGGGAAACTCTGGGCCCTAATCATAGTCTATAACTAAAGCCTTGGTTAGAATCTGTCCTGGTCAGATTACGTGGTGAGGGGAAACTCTGGGCCCTAATCATAGTCTATAACTAGAGTCTTGGTTAGAGTCTGTCCTGGTCAGATTACGTGGTGAGGGAAAACTCTGGGCCCTAATCGGAGGAAAACTCTGGGCCCTCATCATAGTCTATAACTAGAGTCTTGTTTAGAGTCTGTCCTGGTCAGATTACGTGGTGAGGGGAAACTCTGGGCCCTAATCATAGTCTATAACTAGAGTCTGTCCTGGTCAGATTACGTGGTGAGGGGAAACTCTGGGCCCTAATCATAGTCTATAACTAGAGTCTGTCCTGGTCAGATTACGTGGTGAGGGGAAACTCTGGGCCCTAATCATAGTCTATAACTAAAGCCAGGAGATTTTCCTGGTCATGTTAAGTGGTGAGGGGGGAAACCTGGGCTGGCCTTAAACCAACTCTGACATTCCAGAACCACAGTTCTATCAGACATAACAAGGTAAAAGAGGCTGTTTTGTTTTCGCCACGTGATTAAATATCCCTTCAATTAGTAACTCTGCTCTGAGGTCAAACAGAAGAGTGAAATGAACTATAGCCCACTTGGAGAACTCAGGAAAACGGTCTCACTAAGAGAATTGGCATCTCAAATGGCACCCTTTTCCCTACACAGTGCACTACTTTTGACCAGAGCCCAATAGGCCTTGGTCAAAATTAGTGCACTCTGAAGAGAAAAGGGTGGCAGTTGGGACGGAGCAGAAAAGAAAGAAGTGGCGAGCCAACTCGTTTGCTGTTTTTTCTGCCCAGTGGCTTTGGCTGTGTTGAGATAACCCGGGTTTACATGCACAAGGACCTCTTTCATTTGATTTCCCCTTCCGTGGGAGGGGGGGGAGTAAATGGCTAAGTAAATGGCTTCAACTAGAAAGGCCAAGCCACAGACCTTAACATTACCCCTTACACACCTACTACCTCAATATTGCCTCTACCCACCAACTACCTCATAAAATATTACCCCGTACCCACCTAATACCTCATATTACCCCCTACCCACCTACTACCTCAATATTACCCCCTACCCACCAAACCAAAAGGAGCCCCGGCGCAAACCCCCACCACCTAAACCCAAAACCCCACCCCCCACCCCGAAATTACCCAACCCACCTAACCTCAAAATATTACCCCGTACCCACCACTACCCATATTACCACCTACCCACCTAAACCTCAAAGACCCCCCACCCCGAAAACCTCAAACACCCCACCCACCACCCCAAAACCCCCACCCACCACACCCCAATAACCCACCACCCACCACACCAAAACCCCCACCACCTATACCCAAATAACCCCCACACCCACCACTACCCAATAACCCCCACCCCCCCCAAGACCCAAAACCCCACCCACCACACCCCAATAACCCCCCCCCAATACCCAAATACCCCTAGCCCATATACCCCTACCACCACTACCTCAATATACCCCTTCCCCACCTACTAAACCCCCAATTTCCCCTACCCAATAATACCATATTAACCCCCCACCCACCTAACCTCAATATTACCCCACTACCCACCTACTACCTCATACAATACAATATCCCGTGTGTATCAAGAATGGTCCACCACCCAGCCATCTTGACAATGTGGGAAGCATTGGAGTCAACATGCTTTCAACACCTTGTAGAGTCCATGCCCCGACAAATTGAGTATGTTCTTAGGGCAAAAGGTGGGGTGCAACCCAATATTAGGAAGGTGTTCTTAATGTTTTGTACACTCAGTGTAAACTCACCTGTCTCGATGGATCCTGTATAAACTCACCTGTCTCGATGGATCCTGTATAAACTCACCTGCCTCGATGGATCCTGTATAAACTAACTCACCTGTCTCGATGGATCCTGTATAAACTCACCTGTCCCTCGATGGATCCTGTATAACTCACCTGTCTCGATGGATCCTGTATAAACTCACCTGCCTCGATGGATCCTGTATAAACTCACCTGCCTCGATGGATCCTGTATAAACTCACCTGTCTCGATGGATCCTGTATAAACTCACCTGTCTCGATGGATCCTGTATAAACTCACCCTGCCTCGATGGTCCTGTAAAAACCACCTGTCTCGATGGATCCTGTATAAACTCACCTGCCTCGATGGATTCCTGTAAAAAAACTCACCTGCCTCGATGATCCTGTAAAAAACTCACCTCCCCCCGATGGACCCTGTATAAACTCACCTGTCTCGATGGATCCTATATAAACCAACCTGTCTCGATAGATCCTGTAAAAAACTCACCTGTCTCGATGGATCCTGTATAAACTCACCTGCCTCGATGGATCCTGTATAAACTCACCTGCCTCGATGGATCCTGTATAAACTCACCTTCTCGATGGATCCTGTTAAACATCACCTGCCTCGATGGATCCGTATAAACTCACCTGTCTCATGGATCCTGTATAACTCACCTGCCTCGATGGATCCTGTATAAACTCACCTGTCTCGATGGATCCTGTTAAACTCACCTGCCTCGTTTGATCCTGTATAAAATTTCACCTGCCTCGATGGATCCTGTATAAACTCAACCTGCCTCGATGGATCCTGTATAAACTCACCTGTCTCGATGGATCCTGTATAAACTCACCTGTCTCGATGGATCCTGTATAACTCACCTGCCTCGATGGATCCTGTTATAAAACTCACCTGTCTCGATGGATCCTGTAATAAACTCACCTGTCTCGATGGATCCTGTATAAACTCACCTGCCTCGATGGATCCTGTATAAACTCACCTGCCTCCGATGGATTCTGTATAAACTCACCTGTCTCGATGGATTCCTATATAAACTCACCTGTCTCGGTGGATTCCTGTATAAACTCACCTGTCTCGATGGATCCTGTATAAACTCACCTGTCTCGATGGATCCTGTATAAACTCACCTGTCTCGATGGATCCTGTATAAACTCACCTGTCTCGATGGATCCTGTATAAACTCACCTGTCTCGATGGATCCTGTATAAACTCACCTGCCTCGATGGATCCTGTATAAACTCACCTGCCTCGATGGATCCTGTATAAACTCACCTGCCTCGATGGATCCTGTATAAACTCACCTGTCTCGATGGATCCTGTATAAACTCACCTGCCTCGATGGATCCTGTATAAACTCACCTGTCTCGATGGATCCTGTATAAACTCACCTGCCTCGATGGATCCTGTATAAACTCACCTGTCTCGATGGATCCTGTATAAACTCACCTGCCTCGATGGATCCTGTATAAACTCACCTGTCTCGATGGATCCTGTATAAAACTCACCTGTCTCGATGGATCCTGTATAAACTCACCTGCCTCGATGGATCCTGTATAAACTCACCTGCCTCGATAGATCCTGTATAAACTCACCTGTCTCGATGGATCCTGTATAAACTCACCTGTCTCGATGGATCCTATGAAGCCGATGATAAAGCCGGCGGTGTGGTAGAGGGGCAGGTTGAGGTAGATGACATCACCAGGCGTGACACCGGTGGAGTCCAGCACGGCCAGGGCAGCCAGAAGACGGTTCTGATTAACCACCGCTGCTTTAGGCAGACCTACAGGAGCAGTAGAAAGAGGAGAGAGATGATTACAGCAGGAGAGAGAGAGGGCTGTTCATATAGAGGTCCCCTGTAGCTCAGTTGGTAGAGCATGGCCCTTGCAACGCCAGGGTTGTGGGTTCGTTTCCCACGGGGGGCCAGGTATGAAAATGTATGCACTCACTAACTGTAAGTCGCTCTGGATAAGAGCGTCTGCTAAATGACTAAAATCTCAAATGTAAATGTAATATACAAGAGCACTGGCAGGAGAGAGAGGGCTGTTCATATACAGGAGCACTGGCAGGAGAGAGAGGGCTGTTCATAGACAGGAGCACTGGCAGGAGAGAGAGGGCTGTTCATATACAGGAGCACTGGCAGGAGAGAGAGGGCTGTTCATATACAGGAGCACTGGCAGGAGAGAGAGGGCTGTTCATATACAGGAGCACTGGCAGGAGAGAGAGGGCTGTTCATATACAGGAGCACTGGCAGGAGAGGGAGGGCTGTTCCATATACAGCAGCACTGGCAGGAGAGAGAGGGCTGTTCATATACAGAGCACTGGCAGGAGAGAGAGGGCTGTTCCATAGACAGGAGCACTGGCAGGAGAGAGAGAGCTGTTCATATACAGGAGCATGAGCACTGGCAGGAGAGAAGGGCTGTTCATATACAGCAGCATGAGCCACTGGCAGGAGAGAGAGGGCTGTTCATATACAGGAGCACTTGGCAGGAGAGAGAGGGCTGTTCATATACCGGAGCACATGGCAGGAGAGAGAGGGCTGTTCATAGACAGGAGCACTGGCATGAGAGAGAGGGCTGTTCATATACAGCAGCACTGGCAGGAGAGAGAGGGCTGTTCATAGACAGGAGCACTGGCAGGAGAGAGAGGGCTGTTCATATACAGGAGCACTGGCAGGAGAGAGAGGGCTGTTCAATACAGGAGCATGGGGCACTGGCAGAGAGAGAGGGCTGTTCATATACAGGACACTGGCAGGAGAGAGAGGGCTGTTCATATACAGGAGCACTGGCAGGAGAGAGAGGGCTGTTCATATACAGGAGCACTGGCAGGAGAGAGAGGGCTGTTCATAGACAGGAGCACTGGCAGGAGAGAGAGGGCTGTTCATATACAGGAGCACTGGCAGGAGAGAGAGGGCTGTTCATATACAGGAGCAACTGGCAGGAGAGAGAGGGCTGTTCATATACAGCAGCACTGGCAGGAGAGAGAGGGCTGTTCATATACAGGAGCACTGGCAGGAGAGAGAGGGCTGTTCATATACAGGAGCACTGGCAGGAGAGAGAGGGCTGTTCATATACAGTGGCTGCTTCAGGCAGAAGAGAGAGGGAAGGAAGCAGCAGGGGACAGAGGAGAGAAAGAAGGAGAAAGGAAACAGAGAGGAGGAAGCAGAGAAGCAGTGCTCTAGAAGGTGATGTCTGACTAGTAGACCATACCTGTGTAGCACCCTCTCCCTTCCCCTCTGTCCTCCCCCTCACCTGTACCCCCTCCCTCTCCCTTCCCCTCCCCCTCCCCTATACCACCTCCCTCTCCCTTCCCCTCTGTCCTCCCCCTCCCCTGTAAACCCCCCTCCCCTGTAACCCCCTCCCTCTCCCTTCCCCTCTCTCCTCCCCCTCCCCTGTACCCCCTCCCTCTCCCTTCCCCTCTGTCCTCCCCCTCCCCTGTACCCCCTCCCTCTCCCTTCCCCTCTGTCCTCCCCCTCACCTGTACCCCCTCCCTTCCCCTCGGTGTCCTCCCCCTCCCCCTTACCCCCTCCCTCTCCCTTCCCCTCTGTCCCTCCCCCTCACCTGTACCCCCTCCCTCTCCCCTTCCCCTCTGTCCTCCCCCTCACCTGTACCCTCTGTTCCTCCCCCTCACCCTGTACCCCCCCTCCCCTCTCCCTTCCCCCTCTGTCCTCCCTCCCTCCCTTCCCCTCTTCCCTCCCCCTCACCTGTACCACCCCCTCCCTTCCCCTCTGTCCTCCCCCTCCCCTGTACCCCCTCCCTCTCCCTTCCCCTCTGTCCTCCCCCTCCCCTGTACCCCCTCCCTCTCCCTTCCCCTCTGTCCTCCGCCTCACCTGTGGTCCCAGAGGTGTAGATGTAGACAGCAGGGCTTTTGAAGGTGATGTCCGAGCGGAGGGACTGAGGGAGAGGTGTGTCCGATGCTTCCTCCACCTGGTCAGAGAAGCCCTCCACGCCAGGTGTGTCACACTGTTTAGTCATCAGGTACACACACACACCCTGCTCCCTCAGGGATGGGAGCACCTCCTCCACCGCTTCCTGCAGCTCTGAGAGAAGAACTCAATATTCAATACTTGATCAAAACTGGACTCCAGCTGTTCTAGACTGCAGAGAAAAAAATTAACTTTTGCCCCCACGGTCATGAATTATCATTTGATTATCATTATCATTTGAGTTTCAATAGGCTATTGGCAGACCTTTGTCTTTTTCATTCCATCCCTCTGGATGTGCATGTCTCTGATAAACTCATAACACACCTGTGATTTTCACCTATTGTCATAATGTAGTAATCTCAACCAGACACTTCTGCCTATGAGGAATTAGCCTCGGGATGAGTTTACTTTGATAGTGATATCCGCCTGCTGAAGGGCCAACGGGTAGGCCTTGGGGTATTGGTCACTTACCCGCGGCTGCTATGAGCAGCTTGGCGCTGCAACAGTTGAAGCAGTGCAGCAGAGATCTAGATCTGATGTTATGGTTGAGAAGCGCTACGGGACATCCCAGTTTTGCCAGGGCCAGCCAGGTGAAGATGAAGGCAGGTTCGTTTCCCATAAAAAGAGCCACGGTATCCCCCGGTCGCAGCTCCGAGTGCCTCTGTAAAGCGTTGGCTATTTTGTTGCTTCTTCTGTCCGTGTCCTGATACGAATAGGTTTTATTTTCAAACACGATGAACGGTCTGTCCGCATGAGCGGCGGACTGCTCTAAAAAACGGTCCAAAACCAAAAATAACGGTTTCCTTCTCCTCCGTAAAACAAACTTCAGCAAAATCCGAACCAAGTCCGCGAGGTAGAAGGCATCTTTCCAGAAGTAAGGAAATAAAGTTTTAAGAACTAGCGGTGTGACGGCCAGACTGGCGAAAAGGATAGAAACCAAGTACATTGTTGAGCACAACGTCGAGCTCCTCTGCTTCTGGGTGAATTGTAGATTCGTTTATTCTCTGTGGATAAAAAAAAATAGGATAACCATCGGATCAACACAAAAGTGTAGCGCGCCGCAAACTGTTATTACCGTCGCAGGCGAATTTCTTTTCAAATGTGGAATGCCTCAAATCGACTAAACATGTTCGTTTTTTCAAGTGTGGGCGGGACATTGAGTATTTAATAGTGCAGGAGGCCCAGGTTTTTCATTATTTCTTCTGAAATCCTCTTACAGGACATAAACACACACAGAGAGCCGCCTCTAGCGTTTTGGGGGCCCTAAACGAGATTTGGGCCCCCACCTCGCAGGCATAACAATTTAGTGGCCCCACTCATGGCTGCAAAGAGAACATTTTGTCCTGCAATTCTACACATTTTGCCATGGGGTGCAGAGAAAATGTTGTCCTGAATTTGCAGTTTTAAAGGTAATTCCCTGCAGTTCTACACATTTTGTCATGGCTTACACTACCAGTCAAAGTTTTGGACACACCTACTCATTGTAGTAACGATGGCCGGGCACGCAAGGCACGTGCCCAGGGGCCCTGACCTCCAGTGGGCCCCCGTTTATTTTCACTCAGATATCATTTGATCATGACATACAGTACCAGTCTAAAGTTTGGACACACCTACTCATTCCAGGGTTTTTCTTTATTTTTACTATTTTCAACATTGTAGAATAATAGTGAAGACATCAAAACTATGAAATAACACATATGGAATCATGTAGTAACCTAAAAAGTGTTAAACAAATCAACATATATTTTATATTTGAGATTCTTCAAATAGCCACCCTTTGCCTTGATGACAGCTTTGCACACCCCTTGGCATTCTCTCAACCAGCTTCATGAGGTAGTCACCTGGAATGCATTTCAATTAACAGGTGTGCCTTCTTAAAAGTGAATTTGTGGAATTTCTTTCCTTCTTAATGCGTTTGAGCCAATCAGTTGTGTTGTGACAAGGTAGGGGGGGTATACAGAAGATAGCCCTATTTGGTAAAATACCAAGTCCGTATTATGGCAAGAACAGCTCAAATAAGCAAAGAGAAACGACATTCCATAATTACTTTAAGACATGAAGGTCAGTCAATACTGAACATTTCAAGAACTTTGAACGTTTCTTCAAGTGCAGTTGGAAAAATCATCAAGCACTATGATGAAACTGGCTCTCATGAAGACTGCCAAAGGAATGGAAGACCCAGAGTTACCTCTGCTGCAGAGGATAAGTTCATTAGAGTTACCAGCCTCAGAAATTGCAGCCCAAATAAATGCTTCACAGAGTTCAAGTAACAGACACATCTCAACATCAACTGTTCAGAGGGAACTGTGTGAATCAGGCCTTCATGGTCGAATTTCTGCAAAAAAAAACACTACTAAAGGACACCAATAAGAAGACGAGACATGCTTGGGCCAAGAAACACGAGCAATGGACATTAGATTGGTGGAAATGTGTCTGGAGTCCAAATTGGAGATTTGTGGTTCAAACCGCTGTGTCTTTGTGAGACGCAGTGTGGGTGAACGGATTATCTCCGCATGTGTAGTTCCCACCGTAAAGCATGGAGGAGGAGATGTTATGGTCTGGGGGTGTTTTGCTGGTGACACTGTCTGTGATTTATTTAGAATTCAAGGCACACTTAACCAGCATGGCTACCACAGCATTCTACAGCGATACACCATACCATCTGGTTTGGGCTTAGTGGGACTATCATTTGTTTTTCAACTGGACAATGACCCAACACACCTCCAGGCTGTGGAAGGGCTATTTTACCAAGAAGGAGAGTGATGGAGTGCTGCATCAGATGACCTGGCATCCACAATCCCCCGACCTCAACCCAATTGAGATGGTTTGGGATGAGTCGGACGGCAGAGTGAAGGAAAAGCAGCCAACAAGTGCTCAGCATATGTGGGAACTCCTTCAAGACTGTTGGAAAAGCATTCCAGGTGAAGCTGGTTGAGAGAATGCCAAGAGTCTGCGAAGCTGTCATCAAGGCAAAGGGTGGCTATTTGAAGAATCTCAAATATAAAATATATTTTGATTTGTTTAACACTTTTTTGGTTACTACGTGATTCCATATGTGTTATTTCATAGTTTTGATGTCTTCATTATTATTCTACAATGTAAAAATAAAGAAAAAAACCCTGGAATGAGTAGGTGTGTCCAAACTTTAGACTGGTAGTGTATGTCATGATCATATGATGTCTGAGTGAAAATAAACGGGGGCCCACTGGAGGTCAGGGCCCCTGGGCACGTGCCTTGCGTGCCCGGTCAATAATTTGGCCATCGTTACTACAAGGTTTAGATAACTGGCTAGAGGTTTAGATAACTGGCAATCTATAAAATGTTAGCTGACATGGGCTAATTGATTGACAGTCAGTAACTGACATAACAAGAGGATAACTGCTGATGCACAACCACATTTCAAAATAGCACTTTGTGCATTCTACTATGCTATCTCTCAACAGTAAGTTGAGACCCTGACTGACCTTGACATCAGCACGTTGTCTGCGTATAGGCAGAGGCGGCTCTGCCTGTGATAGAAGGAAAGTTAGCAGATGGCTCCCGGCTGACAGGAAGCTTTATGTCACTTAGAAGCCTACCTGCTGATCCCTGATCAGATTGACACCACAACAGGACAGTACAGAATGTAGGCTACAGTCACTGGGTCGTGTTGTGGGGTTGAAAGGGCTTATTTACTAGACTGAGACCTTACCTTATATACAGTACACCATGTTCATGTTTATTCTAATGACCCAGGTGCCACACACACACACAAACACAAACACACACACACACACACACACACACACACACACACGCACACAAACACATACACACACGCACACGCACACAAACACACACACGCAAACACATACACACACACACACGCACACGCACACAAACACACACACACACATACACACACACACACACACATACACACACATACACAAACACACACACACACACACACACACACACACACACACAGCATAGCAGGCTGCAGGGAGGGAGCAGAGTTAGCCTACTATCAGACTACTCAGATTATCAGGATCTAGGATAGCCTAGTGATTGAGCTAATTCACTCAGAGCGGGATTTCCAAATGGGCCCCCAACCTTTTTTTGGGTGGGGCCCCAGATAGCATACGATAGCAAAATGGGTAGAATTGCAGGAAATTAGCTTTCAATCTGCACAATTTTCTCTCAGCCTCATGGCAATATGTGTAGAATAGCAGGAAATAAGCTTTAGAACTGCAATATTTTCTCTTAGCCTCATGTCAGGATGTGTATAATAGCATTATAAAACGGAAAATTTTTCTCTCTGCACCGTGGCAAAATGTGTTGAAATGCAGGAAGTTCACTATCAAATTATTTTTTGCACCCCGGGGCCGCAAATGCAGTAGTCCGGCCCTACATGCACAGGTTTGATGCCTATAAATCAAATCTTGCACTTTGACAAGGAAGTGACCAATACATTCAACGTGGTTGACCAATCTTTGTTATCATAATTCATAACCAAATAGGATCCTCCTAGAGCCAAGTTCCATCATTTCATAACTTCCCTACTGATATCACACGTGAATCCAGGCCACTGACTCCATTGGCCTCTATAGCCTCTCTTTCCCTGACTGGAAATCTGCCCGTCTCTGGAAATGTGAGGGTTCAAGCGACTGCTCTGCCCTACACCCTTACGCACAAGGAGCTTGGCGCTAGTAGTGAGCAGTGGCATGGGAATGATGTGCATCTCAGATCAGGTTTTAAAGCACCGTATCATGCCCAGTACAGTATGTACTACGTAGGGTACTTCAAGGATTGATACTGTAGTGGGGGGGGGGGGGGGGGGGGTTGTCTGTTGATTTCGGCTACATCTCAAATGGCACCGTATTCCCTATATAGTGCGCGACTTTCGACCAGAGCCTTTGGGCTCTAGTCAAAGTAGTGCACTATATATGGAATATGGTGCCATTTGGCACGCAATTTGGAAACACTGGACTCGAACCAGCAACCTAGCCCAGGGCAATGAGGACATCCCCATATAAAAACGTGTGTAATACATGGCCAAACCTCTTGGCAGAAGCCGTAGTGAGTTTTAAAGAGCAGGGATGTTATACTTTATAGACTCTTGGAAGATTAGCAACCTTTGAAGGCTAAAAGACATCCAAACAAACAAACGAATAAAGTCCCTCGGTGTGTATGCTCTCTGATGGGAGCAGTAGTAATTTACAATACATGAATGTCAGACTGTCAGTGATAATGTATATGATAGAGAGAGAGAGAGAGAGCTGGGGACTATTTCTGTAGCTTTTTTAGGTTTTGTTTATTCACACCAAAGAAAACAAGTGAAAGACAAAACAGTACAGATAAAAATAAACTGGTCAAAACGGTGTGCAGGTGAGGTTGGAAACCCAAAAGGGCTGATATGGAAACCACACCTCCAAAACCAATATACAAATACAAGTATAAATAAAGTTTGTTCAATCAGTTAGACAGAGCATACTCATTAAACATGAACATGCTTCAGTATACAAGAGAAAAACATGTTTGATTATGTGTATGTGTGTGAGAGTTAGGCGACATGGAGGGTACTACTGACCCCTGACCCCTAGTCTACTACTGGGTAGTTTGGTTCATCAGGCTGACCCCTGACCTCTAGTCTACTACTGGGTAGTTTGGTTCATCAGGCTGACCCCTAGTCTACTACTGGGTAGTTTAGTTCATCAGGCTGACCCCTGACCTCTAGTCTACTACTGGGTAGTTTAGTTCATCAGGCTGACCCCTGACCTCTAGTCTACTACTGGGTAGTTTGGTTCATCAGGCTGATCCCTGACCCCTAGTCTACTACTGGGTAGTTTAGTTCATCAGGCTGACCCCTGACCCCTAGTCTACTACTGGGTAGTTTGGTTCATCAGGCTGACCCCTGACCCCTGGTCTACTACTGTGTAGTTTAGTTCATCAGGCTGACCCCTGACCCCTAGTCTACTACTGGGTAGTTTAGTTCATCAGGCTGACCCCTGACCCCTAGTCTACTACTGGGTAGTTTAGTTCATCAGGCTGACCCCTGACCCCTAGTCTACTACTGGGTAGTTTGGTTCATCAGGCTGACCCCTGACCCCTAGTCTACTACTGGGTAGTTTAGTTCATCAGGCTGACCCCTGACCCCTGGTCTACTACTGGGTAGTTTGGTTAATCAGGCTGACCCCTAGTCTACTACTGGGTAGTTTGGTTCAT